CAGCAAAGCAAGACAAGCCACCCCTGGTCTCAGCACGCCCCGCAGAGGACCTTAAGGTCCATAAATAGCAACACTCTAGAGGTCCCGGGCCCTAAGGAAGTCAGATTAGCCTCAACCAGAGTCAGGGCCTTTTCAGCACTGGCTCCAGCCTGGTGGAACACTTTTTCTCATGAGACCAGGGCCCTGCAGGATCTGATTTCTTTCTGCAGGGCCTGTAAGACACAGTTGTTCCACCTGGCCTTTGGCTTGGAATCAACTTGATCCTCTCCCCCTCTTTCTTTTTTTCCTTTCTCCTTCTGTGATGGAACTCCTATCTGGGGACTTCCCTGGCTTTTTCTGGCCCATGTAGGACCAGTCTGGATAGTTAGCCTTGGTGAAGACTTGACGTTTTCATCCCCAAAAAAGTTTTTGAATTGAGTTTCTACTGAAATGAGGCTGCATTTTAATGTTGTATTTTAATCTTGTTTTTTTTAAGTTGTATTTCAATCAATTGTTTTTATACCTGGTGTTAGCTGCCCTGAGCCTGGTCTTAGCTGGGGAGGGCAGGGTATAAATAATTTTTTTTATTATTATTATTTATTAAAGCCTGCCACCTCATTCAGAGACCTGGCCTAACTTTTAAGAAATTGCATTTTTGTTTCCAACCAAGCACATAACGGAGTAACTTCAATTTGTCTGTCGAAACCTAATGTACAGTGAAATGCTTAAAAAGGACAAAACAACAACAACAACCCAAGTCGATAGTTAATTCAGCATGTAATTGAACTGAACTAATGATGAAACAGTCTCTCAGTTGCCAAAGATTACAGAAGCTGTGCTTACTGAGAATGTATAATACAGAAGTGAAAGTCAGGTCACATCATGAATAATTTCTCCCCTTACGGATATAAAAGCAGGCATGTTTATTCTAGTTAATGTTGGGGAATTTGTAGGCTGCATCCCTGCAAATCGCACACACATACGGAATCCTTCTATGAAAATGCTGGGATATTGTCCTAGTTAAAAAGGGTAAAGGGATCCCTGACCATTAGGTCCAGTCGTGACCGACTCTGGGGTTGCGGCGCTCATCTCGCTTTATTGGCCGAGGGAGGCGGCATACAGCTTCCGGGTCATGTGGCCAGCATGGCTAAGCCGCTTCTGGTGAACCAGAGCAGCACACGGAAACACCGTTTACCTTCCCGCTGGAGCGGTGTCTATTTATCTACTTGCACTGGCGTGCTTTCGAACTGCTAGGTTGGTAGGAGTAGGGACCGAGCAACGGGAGCTCACCCCGTCGCGGGGATTCGAACCGCTGACCTTCTGATTGGCAAGTCCTAGTGGGTTTAACCCACAGCGCCACCCGCATCCCTATTGTCCTAGTTAGAGCAAAGTTATTCTTATGGCAATCTACCCTCGATTGTGGGGAAGAGGCTGTCATTGGAATTCTACTCAATATTGATCCAGAGCGGATTCCAACGTATAGTTAGCAGAGTAAAAACTTAAATACGTTGCAGGATCCCCCCAAAATAGACCAGAGGCAATTATATTTCATCCAGCAGAGCTTTACTACTACTGAAGGCAAATGAGCATCATGGTCACAAATCCAATACACTCAGGACTGGTACTGTCCATAAGAAATCCAGTTGCAGCAGACTTAACTTAAACTTACAATAAGACTAAACACAATATACAGAACATCACATCAGAAGGAAGAGAGATAGAAAGAGAACGTGAAACACAGGCTCCTTCTGGCCTCTTATTATAGTCAGCATGACCTTGAAGAAGAGATAACAGAACCAGTTTAAGGCAGCTGTACTCAGCTTCTCTGAAGGAATAACCCAAACATCACGAACCTTCTGCTTGTTTATTTCACACAGAGAAGTTTCCAGAACCCTCTTGAATTAATTAGAATAGGAAAGATCTCTACACATCAGATCAATACTTTCTGTACAGTGGTACCTCAGGATAAGTACTTAATTAGTTCTGGAGGTTTGTTCTTAACCTGAAACTGTTCTTAACCTGAAACACCACTTTAGCTAATGGGGCCTCCTCCTGCTGCTGCTGCTGCCGCCGCACCGCCGGAGCACGATTTCTGTTCTCATCCTGAAGCAAAGTTCTTAACCTGAAGCACTATTTCTGGGTTAGTGGAGTCTGTAACCTGAAGCGTATGTAACCTGAAGCGTATGTAACCCAAGGTACCACTGTACTATATTCACCACAGTACAGGTATGGTATGGAGAGCCAGCGTGATGTAGTGGTTAAGAGCAGTGAACTCATAATCTGGTGAACCGGGTTCGCTTCCTCCACATGCAGCTGCTGGGTGACCTTGGGCTAGTCACACTTCTCTGAAGTCTCTCAGCCTCACTCACCTCAGAGAGTGTTTGTTGTGGGGGAGGAAGGGAAAGGAGAATGTTAGCCACTTTGAGATTCCTTAAGGGGAGTGAAAGGCAGGCTATCAAGTCCAAACTCCTCCTCCTCTCTTCTTCTTCTTCGATGGTCTCCTCCTTCAGGGGAAAGTGTGACTCAGTCTCCTTGCAGTAGTAGAGAAGGGCAGAACTACAGAGTTTACCTCCAGAAATGGTTCAGCCTGCTTGGGCTTCTCACTTTATATTATGCCAAACCTCTGAAATGCAAACAGAAAATTCAGTCTGGAATTCACTTCCTCGCAGTCCTCTTCCTTCACAGGTGGCTAGTCAAATAAAATAAAACCTACATACAGCAACAGTGTTTTGGGTTGTGCAGGCTCCTATGATATAAGTAATGGGCCCCGCCTTCTAGCCTGCTCCCTAAAATATCACTGGTTTGCTCATTTCTATCATTTCACTATTAATATATTTCTTAACTGTATTTCAGTTCTACAATTACTTTGATAAAATACACATTTTGTTATGTGCAAATGGCTTTAGATACTTCTTAGGTCCATAAATTACCATATAGCATGTATTCAACACAAAAGACAGTGCTAATTTGTTGTTGACAAAGGATAAAAAGGTAAAGGGACCCCTGACCATTAGGTCCAGTCGTGACCGACTCTGGGGTTGCGGCGCTCATCTCACTTTATTGGCCAAGGGAGCTAGCGTACAGCTTTCGGGTCATGTGGCCAGCATGACTAAGCTGCTTCTGGCGAACCAGAGCAATGCACGGAAACGCCGTTTACCTTCCCGCCGGAGCGGTATCTATTTATCTACTTGCACTTTGAGGTGCTTTCGAACTGCTAGGTTGGCAGGAGCTGGGACCGAGCAACGGGAGCTCACCCCGTCATGGGGATTTGAACTGCCGACCTTCTGATCGGCAAGTCCTAGTCTCTAGCTGGACATATAAAGGGCCCCATTACCTTCAGTAGCTTAGGGCCTCATCAAACCTAAATCCGGCCCTGGGTTTGAGACAGTCCAACTGCAAATGACATCAGCCATTGTCAGATCTCAGATTATTTATGGAACTTGGAAGTAACCTCCCTGAATATGGATGTAGACTAGTCCAGTAGTAGCCATTGTCTTGTTTCTGGCACTGGTTAATTAGTATATAATTTCTTTCTTGTCCGTGATGCTGCTGAGTCCCCAAGTATCAGATCACTCCTCCTCAAAGAATCCAAAAGGAATAATTTTCCCAGCAGCAGATCTCAGAAATTAATCTGGGTCATTTGTTTCTAAATGCTATTATTAGGTTGGAGAGGCTCTGTGACAAATTCAGGAAGGGAGCTCATTTTTGTAAATAATCTTTTAGTGCTTCGTGCCTTCTGTTGCTGTTACGAAAGGCTGTTGCTTTATAATGCCGTTGTAAACACTGGGACATTTCTGGATTATTATTTTTTGCCAGTGGTTGCTAATAACTAATCATGATTCCCGAGTAGATAATGGAAGTACAATTCTGCAGCATTTTGTGCTAATGTTCTGTGGTGGATCAGAAGGCATTCAGCCCACCAGACCTGTTTCCAGGGCAAAGGCAATCTGTGGCTGACTTTATTTTGTGCAGTGTGTCAAAAGTAGTGCTCTCTGGTCATAAGTCCTATGGATAGGGAGATAATTAAATAATAATAATTGTAATCGTTTAAATAATTTTAATGCATATTATTTGTATAAGAAAATGCTTGATATATTTCTTAGCTAATCTGACATGTGAACATATGTCATTTGGTCTGTATATTTCAGTTTCCTCTTGTTACCACTAAGGATGGATGGATCTGTCCGTTTCAGTTTCCTCTCTTTCTTATTTTTCCCATTTTAATTCCAGTTTCCCCCATTTCTGCAGCAGGGGGTTGGACTAGATGATCCTAGCGGTCCCTCCCAACTCTACAATTCTACGATTCTATGAATTTGCGGGTGGTGGTGGTTGTTTAAACCCTCGTGAAAATTCAGCAGCATTTTCCTGCATATTCCTCCCAATAAACACATTTTTTTGTATGCAATTTTGCTATATTTTCACAGATACATGCATTTAAATGCACACCCTCTCTTAGTATATGCATCTTTGTACACATTACTTGGTGTAAGAACAATGTTGCAAAATTCGGAGATGTGCGGATTTCAAAAGATGGTTGCATTTTGCTTCTTGTATTGTTTTGGAAAGTGCAGATTAGGTAGCTTCACCTTTAAAGGTGAACTGAATCAGATTTATCTTCCACTCCCAGACTCTCCCAGTGTCCCTATTTTCCAGGGACATCCCTGATTTAGAGAAGTCATCCCAGTTTCTGATTTGATCCCGGAATGTCCCACTTTTCCATAGGACGTCCCTATTTTCATCAGAGAAATATTGGAGGGTATGGAGTTATCCAACCCCCAAGCCATCTGAAGGCAGTCCTGTATAGGGAAGTTTTAAAATGTTAAATATTATATTATGTTGGCAGCTGCCCAGAATGTCTGGGGCAACCCAGTCAGATGGATGGGGTATAAATAGTAAAATTGTTATTGTTGAATAAAATGTCCCTGTCTTCATCAGAAAAACGTTGGAAGCTCATGTATGAGATCCCCAATACAAGGGGATAAGTAACTTTAGAAGACATCTGAAGGCAGCCTTATATAGGAAAGGTTTCTTGGCCTTTTGGCTAAGATCAAGTGTAGGAAAGGTGTTTTTTTAATGTTTAATGTTATATTGTGTTTTTATATATATATATAGTGGTGCCCCGCAAGACGAATGCCTCGCAAGACAAAAAACTCGCTAGACGAAAGGGTTTTGCGTATTTTGAGCTGCTTCGCAAGACGAATTTCCCTATGGGCTTGCTTCACAAGACGAAAAACGAAAACGTCTTGCAAGTTTGTTTCCTTTTTCTTAACACCGTTAATACAGTTGCGACTTGACTTCGAGGAGCAACTCATAGACAGCGGTGTGGTAGCCTTTTTAGAGGTTTTTGAAGACTTTGGTGATTTTTGAAGCTTTTCCAAAACTTCTTTTAAACTTTTAAAACTTTTTTTTGGTTTTTGGATTTTGGGTTGGGGTGTTTGGAATTCAAGGACTTGGTGTTGGGGAGGGGTTTACAAGAATCTGGAAGCTTGTGTGGTTTTTTTCTGCATTTTTATGATTTTCTGTGACCATTGGGCCACTCTGCTGTTTTTTAGAAAAATTTCTGGGTTTGAATTTCTGTGTGGTGGGTGGCTGGGGGAACAGTTGAGGAGGGGGTTCTTCAGCAAGAAGCAAAGAGTGGAAGAGGAACCTTCTTCGAGTTGTCCCCCAGAGTCTTAGAAAATGTACTGTACACTTTGTTGATTTTTAAATGTTTTTCTGTCATGTTTAGAAACTTAATTTATTGTTCCTTCAGTTTTTGAAATGCTCTTTACAGTATGTGTGACTTTAAAGAGCACTTAATAAACTCTTGTTGTACCAAATTTGGCTTTGTTTGGACTTTTTGACCATAGGAACGCATTAATGGATTTCAATGCATTCCTATGGGATTTCGATGCTTCGCAAGACGAAAAATTCGCTAGGCTAGAAAAACTCATGGAGCAATTAATTTCGTCTTGCGAGGCACCACTGATATATATATATATATATATATATATATATATATATATATATATACCAAAATGCCAATAACATACCCTCCAACATTTCTCCAATGAAAATAGGGGCATCCTATTCAACAACAACAACAACAGGATTTTTCATCACTCGGAAACCTAAATATTGAAATGCAAAATATTAGGATACCCCTGTTTTCCTTACAGAGCTACAATTCGCAGAGTGATTTGAAAACCAATCCTTCTTTCCAGGGAAGTCTGAGAATTGTAGCACTGTGAGGGGAATTAGGGGGTCTCCTAGCAACGATCAGCACCCTTAACAAACTACAGTTCCCATGATTCCCATGATTCTTTGGGGGGGGGAGGCATGACTATTTAAAGTGGTATGATAGGGCAACAAGGAGGCTCCTCCACAGAACCGTTGCGTGTAACAGGCCTTATTTAATCATGTCCACGTGGCAGTCTTAAAGGACTTGAAAGTGAAATTGCTGGTCTTCTAGCAAAAATAGGTAACTTTCCCCTAAGATCGGAGGGCTGAAAAGCGTTCATTGTGATGCAGCGTTTTAAAAAGGGATTTGGGGCATTAAAATATAATTCAATGTGAGCAGTGTGAAGCAAGGCACACACAAAAATTTTCTAGCTTCACATATTTGCTAATGGGGTGTGAACTGGTTTTAAATGACCAGGAATGACTTCAGAGGTCTGGCTAAATGAAAATGTTGACCAGTTTGTGGTGGCTATGGAAAGGGTAAATTCCACGCTTGGGAACATTAGGAAAGGAATTGAAAATAAAACTGCCAGTATCGTAATGCTTTTATATAAATCTATGACGCAACTACACTTGGAATATTGCGTTAATTCTGGTCACTGCACCTAACAGCATGTACGGCTTTTTCTTTTAGGTAGAAGTTGGTGGTGGAAGGAGAGGTGTTTAAAATTATACATAGTGGGGGGAAAGTGGCTAGACAGAAGTTTTCCTCCCTTTCTCATAACTGCAAATACAGTGGGTGATTTAGGACAGACAAATGGAAGTATTTCTTCACACAGCTGTGGAACTCACTGCCACAAGACATTGAAATGACCAACAACTTGGACTGCTTTCAAAGCGGATTGGAGAAAGTCTTGGCGGATACGGCTTTCCATGATGAATGTCCATTATAACATGTGTTATCAGAGGTCTGAATACCAATTGCTTGGGAGCACAAGAGGAGAGTAGGCTCCTGCTGGAGCAGATAGACCATGGGTGGCACGGGGACGCGGGTGGCGCTGTGGTCTAAACCACAGAGCCTTGGGCTTGCCGATCAGAAGGTTGGCGGTTCGAATCCCCGCCACGGGGTGAGCTCCCGTTGCTCGGTCCCAGCTCCTGCCAACATAGCAGTTTGAAAGCACGTCAAAGTGCAAGTAGATAAATAGGTACCGCTCTAGCAGGAAGGTAAACAGCGTTTCTGTGCGCTGCTCTGGTTCACCAGAAGCGGCTTAGTCATGCTGGCCACATGACCTGGAAGCTGTATGCCGGCTCCCTTGGCCAATAAAGTGAGATGAGCGCTGCAACCCCAGAGTCGTCCGCGACTGGACCTAATGGTTGGGGGTGCTTTTACCTTTTAGGAGGCAAACTAAGGCTTGGGGACTGGATTCTGCCCAATTGCCTTCTCAATCCAGCCCGCGGATGGTCTGGGACTCAGTGTGTTTTTACATGAGTAGAATGTGTCCGTTTATTTAAAATGCATCTCTGGGTTATTTGTGGGGCATAGGAATTCGTTCATATTTCCCCGCCCCAAAAAATATAGCCCGGCCCCCCACAAGGTCTGAGGGACAGTGGACTGGTCCCCTCCTGAAAAAGTTTGCTGATCCCCGAGATAGACCTTTGGCCTGATCCAGATGGACTCTCCTTATGTCCGTACATGTCACAGGAGCATGCCATTAAGTAACCACACATTTCAAAGATGGAGTTAGCTCTTTATTAGCAAAAACACAATCTCCACAGACTCGACTGAATGTCAGACCCAGGGCTGGATTTAGATGAAGAGAGGCCCTAGGCTACTCCACTTGTGAGGCCCCTCCCAACCCCCCCACCTTCATGACTAGAAGAAAATGGAAGCGTGTTATAAACAAAAGTGAATGAAGCCAAGGATGATGACGGGTATTTAAAATTCTGCAATTCACAATTTCTCCTCTAAAGGATCTCTCTAAGATTCTGCAGATTTTCGCTGTGAACTGGGGCCTCACAAAAAAAAATTCAAGTTGGGCCCTAGAGTTTCAAATTGGAACCCACTCATAGTTGCTGGGCCCGAGTTGCTCTGCCCTCGCATGAAGTCTTGGGTTTGCAGTTTTGGGAGAGGGGAGACTGCCCGCTGGGGGGGGTGGACTGGGGAAGCCCCCTAGATTTAGAGGCCTTAGGCTTCAGCCTACTTAGCCGTTGCCGAGACTGAAGTACCAGCCTCCCCACAGTCCTCTCTTCTCCAGAGCTTTCCCCCAAGCAATCAGAGACTATGCCTGCGTGCAGACAACCTCTTCTCTGCCCATTTCATGACTCTTCTGGGAGACCAGGGTGGAGGGGAGCTTCTCGCTTCAGGAGGAAGAGACACACAAGCCTCTTCAACCTCTGACCCTTGGCCTCCCTCCTCTCCTGCTTCAGCTTCTACCTCTGATTCTGGACTTCTCTTTTCTGCAGACTCTCCCAGCTGACTAAGCCCTATTACCTCTTCAGCTTCCAACACCACCTCCTCTCAGTCTTCTCCCTCTGATCACTCATTGTTGCCCCACTACTAACCCCCTGGCTCTGAGACTTCTTTCCTTGGTGGTTTCCCAGCTGGTTCCTCCCACCACTCCTTGGACTCCTCCAACCAGTCCAAGACAATATGTGAAGCTCCTTGTATATATTGCACCAAGCTAAAGGGATCTGTATTGAGTCTGCCTTGTCCTGCGTAGGGAAGAGCATTTAAGAGCCGAACTACATGTTATACCAGTTTCCCTCCAAGATAAGAGGGCCAAATTAGGTACACTTGTTTTAACCATGTGATTAACCTCACAAGTAAAGGTAAAGGGACCCCTGACCATTAGGTCCAGTGGTGGCCGACTCTGGGGTTGTGGCGCTCATCTCGCTTTATTGGCCAAGGGAGCCGGCATACAGCTTCCGGGTCATGTGGCCAGCATGACTAAGCCGCTTCTGGTGAACCAGAGCAGTGCACAGAAATGCTGTTTACCTTCCCACCAGAGTGGTACCTATTTATCTACTTGCACTTTGACGTGCTTTCAAACTGCTAGGTTGGCAGGAGCAGGGACCGAGCAACGGGAGCCCACCCCGTTGCAGGGATTCGAACCGCCGACCTTCTGATCGACAAGTCCTAGGTTCTGTGGTTTAACCCACAGCGCCACCCGCGTCCCTTAACCTCACATGTAGTTCGGACCTAAGAAAGGAGGCCTACTGCCGTTTGTTTCCTTGTCAATATCCTTCTGCACAAAGAAGTTTAATTATGGAAAGTTTTTATATGACCCATTTCCTCCCCCCCCCCTCCTTTCATAATTCTCACTGTATCATCCACAGGATTTGCATTCCCAAGTACCAAAAAAGCAGCAAAAGGCACAATTAGTGCATTTTATGTAATAACTTTGTCATTTTTAATTAGAACAAAATATAATGAAAGAGAGGGGGGAAGGTAGGGCAGGCCTCTGAGGAATGCTCCTATTAGAGTTAGTTTGCTTGGACAGCACTCTGTTTTGATCAGAGGCAGCAATTAGAAGAATTTTACGGAACAATTTGAGGACTCCTACATTAAAGTGAAAGCAGAAGCTACATGCATACCATATATTTAAAGCACATTTTAAGCCCCCTCTCCACAAACCCTGGGAACTGTAGTGCTTGAAATAGTTGTGACAACCTACACAGAAGTTTGCATGTTTTGTTGTTGTTGTTTAGTCATTTAGTCGTGTCCGACTCTTCGCCAGGCACTTCTGTCTTCCACTGCCTCCAGCAGTTTGGTCAAACTCAAGTTCATAGCTTCGAGAACACTGTCCAACCATCTCGTCCTCTGTCGTCCCCTTCTGCTTGTGCCCTCCATCTTTCCCAACATCAGGGTCTTTTCCAGGGAGTCTTCTCTTCTCATGAGGGGGCCAAAGTATTGGAGCCTCAGCTTCAGGATCTGTCCTTCCAGTGAGCACTCAGGGCTGATTTCCTTCAGAATGGATCGGTTTGATCTTCTTGCAGTCCATGGGACTCTCAAGAGTCTCCTCCAGCACCATAATTCAAAAGCATCAATTCTTTGGCGATCAGCCTTCTTTATGGTCTAGCTCTCACTTCCATACATCACTACAGTTTGCATGTTACTTCCCAGTATATAAATTATTATTGTTACTGTTTATTAAATTTATATACCAACCTCCATCCAAACCCCACAAAGGGGTTTACAATTCTATAACATGTGAACTAAACTTTAAAAGTCACAGGCAGAGGTGGCAACCCCATTTCTGGGAAGAGCATTCGAAGCTGGGACACAGACGCTTGCACAATGCTCAGCCGTGTCACCCTCGAGCACCAAGCTGCATGTGTGAAATGGGCCATCACCCACACAACTCAAGTCAACATCAGTTCCATATGGGTTCAAACACAAGGCTTCTTGGCGGGGGTGTGGGAACCCACCCATTCACACGTTCTCAGTCACATGCATCACTTGCTTTCTCAGCACTAGGTGGCTTCCTTTTTAAACCCTGGCAGCAACCGAACGTGTGAACGGCCTACCCCAGAGAAAAGCACTTGGGGGCCAGTTGAGGGAAAAGCCCAGCCCTTTCCGGGTGGCTGCTCGCCCTGTTTCTCTGCGCTGGTGGCGCGTTCACACGTTCAAGTCCCCGCTGGCTGAGTGGCGGGTTGCAGGGAGAGGCTGACCTTCTGCACGTGTGAACCCTGCTGGACAGCTCCTTTCCCCTCCTCCTCCTCCTCTCTAGCTATGCGCTGCTGCGCGCTCTCCGGGGATTCAAGCAGCCTGGCGCGCGGGCCCGGGGGATGCGCGGCCGCGGTGGCGGGGCTCCTATCCCCGCCGAGCGCCAAGCAAGCCGGCTCCCCTCCCTCCCTCCCTCCTTCCCGGCCTCGAGCGAAGGGCAAGCGGCGGGGCTGGCACGAGGAGGCGGCTCCTGCCTGCGCTCTCCTCCCCTTCCCTCCCCTGCGCGTCGGAGAGAGAGGCAGGCAGGCAGCAGCCCTTGCCACCTCCGCCTCTTGCAAGCAGCCGCGGCTGGAGCTAGGAGGCGGCGGCGGTGCCCGCAGAACGCGCTGCCCGTCCCTCGCAGCCTCCGCGCCCGCCCGCTTGCCTCTGTCTCTCTGGGCCCCGCGGCTCCGGGCAAGAGGCCGGCTGCGTCCCTGGAAAGGCAGTGGCCGGAGCCAGGGCTGACCGGGCAGGTGAGTGCCACCGAAGCGGGCGAAGGTTGCCGGGCGAGCCTGGCTCTTGGAGACGAGCGGATGGAGGCTCGGGGGGAGAAATCGGGGTCCAGACGCGCGTTGACGCTTCACGTGTGCACCCGCTGGTTGCGTGTGCATACGCATCCCGGAGAAAGCTGCCTTCACTCGAGTCAGTGTTGTCTACACTGGCCGGCAGGGGCTCTCCAGAATTTCAGGCTGGGAATATTCCCAGCACTACCTGGAGATGCGGTGTGTGTGTGTGTGTGTGTGTTTTGATCTGGGACCTTCTGTTTGCAAAGCAGGTGATTGCATTAATTAACCCTGGATAACTAGAACTGCAAATGTGCATTTTTAAAACAGCAATTCTGCGCTACCTGAAGCGTGCATTGATTGAATCTGGCGTGTGTGTGTGTTGGGGACCCAGCTCTTGACAATTTATTAATTGACCTAGCTGAGAGCAATACCACAATTATTATTTACTTTATTTGCACCTACATCGTATGGCTCCAGCAGAAAGGGTAGGGGAAAGATGCGAGGTTGCTCTCCATCTATGTGCAATAAGAGAGGGGAGGGGGGAACTTCACAACTATGCGATGTTGGGCATGCAGTTGTCTGCTGGGGGAGAGATTTGTGCTGGAAGCTAGGAATAGCGGGCTTCTCTGGAGTGCGACATGTTTAAAGCTCAAAATGCATACAGGTTTTTCTGAGGAATCCAGCGTCCTGGCATTCCACCCGTGTTCATTGCTGGAGCTAGGATTTTGCTAATGTAGAAGACATTTAGTACCATGTCACATGTCTGAGGGACTTCATTCCAGCTTTATCTCATCCTGCTATTTATTGCTCCTGTTATTACCATTGATTTATTAATTGCCTTCTGAACCGCCATCTCAAGGTGATAATGAAAAAAACCACTTCTAAGTTTATTGTGTGTTAGGGTTTCATGTACAAAGTGGGATGTTATTTCGTGTGGTTTTTTTCATGGGGGGGGGAGTGGGGGAGAGAACGGAGGGGGGGCCTTCACCCAAGTGTCAGTGCTGAAAATGTATGTATGTTTGTATGTCGGTGGCTTTCTCCTTTTCTGTTGGTATATAATAGGGGAAATCAAGTTTATATAACATGCCTATATGCATAGATTAAATAACCACTGATGGGAGAGATTATAGTAATTGTATCACCTCCAGGAAGGGCAGTAGTTTAGAGCTGTTTGCTTGGAGCTAAAAGCACATGTATCCTTGTTCCTTCTGCAGGATAGGGGAGAGGAGGAGATGAAGATCTGATGTGACTTGATCACACACTGGTCCCTGTGTTGGTTAATTAAATAGCATAGCAGCAAAGAAGAGAGATGGAAGAGTTTTCAGACCAGCAAGCTCCTGTTCTCTATATGGTCATTATCAATGGTTTATTAGCTATTTAGTGTCACTGTTAGAGGTGAAGTGGGGGGCGCAAATCGACCCTTCTGGAAAAGCTGAAGTGGCTCTGCTTTCTCGGAGTTCTTTAGTTATGCAAGTCCATGTGTTGTAGAGCGTCACACTTGGACCAGGTAGGCACAGATTCGAATCCCCATTCATTCACTTGAACCCACCCAAATTGGCCATGTGGAAGGTTCAGGAATGGCAGTGCAAATAGCTCAGTCGACAGAGCATGAGACTCTTAATCCCAAGGTTGTGGGTTCGAGCCCCACGTTGGGTGAAAGATTCCTGCAATGCTGCAGGGGGTTGGACTAGATGACCCTTGCAGTTCCTCTGCATAATCAGGCCCAGTATACCTGAAGGAGCGTCTCCACCCCCATCATTCTGCCCGGACACTGAGGTCCAGCGCTGAGGACCTTCGGGCGGTTCCCTCATTGCGAGAAATGAGTTTACAGGGAACCAGACAGAGGGCCTTCTCGGTAGTGGCGCCCGCCCTGTGGAACGCTCTCCCATCAGATGTCAAAGAGGCATCTTCAGAAGACATCTTAAGGCAGCCCTGTTCAGGGAAGTTTTTAATGTGTGACATTTTAATGTATTTTTAATCTTTGTTGGAAGCCGCCCAGAGTGGCTGGGGAAACCCAGCCAGATGGGTGGGGTACAAATAATTTATTATTATTATTATTATTATTATTATTATTATTATTATTATTATTATATGATTCTGCAGTAGTTCTTTGTGCAGTGAAGGGCAGTGCGAAACGAAGGCATTTGCTCCCACAAGAGGTTGTGACGACCACCAGCTCGGTTGGCTGTTAAAAGATGATGAGAGAAATTCATGGAGGATTGGACTATGAAAGATTTCTAGGCAGAGAGTTGAGAGGGACCTTGAAGATCTTCTAGACCAACCCCCTTTAATGCAGGAATATGCAGACGTCCCATACAGGGATCGAACCTGCAACCTTGGCTTTATCAGCACCACACTCTAACTGAGCTATGCAGGCTCTTTCACTGTCAGATGGGGTATGTCTCATAATACCAGCTGCTGGGAATCACAACTGGGGAGGGTGCTGTTGTGCTTGGTTTCTGCCTTTGGGCTTCCCACAGGCATCTGGTTGGCTCCAGTGAGAACAGGATGCTGGACTAATTTTTCTGGTCTGTTTTGAACCAGCCAACCTAACCTCCTCACAGGACTCTGTTGAAGATGAAATGAGAAGTCTTGTGTCTGTCAGCTTGAACCTTTTGGGAAGAGACTGGGCAACTCGGGATATAAATGTACGTTTCAACTTAGCTCACATTGGGCATTTTGCAAGAATAGTGCAAAAATTGTTGCAAGAGGTAGGAAGCCAGCCATATTTTGCTGGTATAGAGTCATCACCTTTTGGGGGTCTGTGGTCAGACTTGACATAATCTTCCTTCGCTCCTATGGTTCACAGCTGCACATGGAGCCATAGCTGTCAACTTTTCCCTTTTCTTGCAAGGAATCCTATTCGGAATGAGGGAATTTTCCTTTAAAAAAAGGGAAACGTTTACAGCTATGCATGGAGCCAGTTGCCAAGTTCATCTTTTAAGTTCCAAATGGCTTCTGGGCACCTGAATTTTTGCACAACTGTTTCTCTCTCTCTCTCTTTTTAATTACATTTTATTAAGGATTTTTTGTGTTACAAAGCAGGGAAAGCTACACCTATCGCCTCCGCTTTCAATTCACAGTCTTTTTCACAGTTCATTTACATTTAGTGAGAGACACTTTTGTCATAAACACACACAGTGTTCCCATTACTGCTGACAACATTGGTTAAAATCCTGCTACCGGAACATCACAATTCAGGTGCCACAAAGGCGCCTGACATTGTCTCACTGACATGCCCCCCCATAAGCAATGGGGAGATGACCTGCTCTTAAGCAAGTCCCCCCCCCCATCATTGAGACACAGGACCAATCGGCTGAAAGCCATGTGGTCCAAACTACCCCAAACAATGCTATTTCCCCACTAATTGTTTCTTTCTCTAGCCCAGACGTACAGCCCGGAATAGATGCAAATCTATAAATAATGACATGCATATTTTAGAACCTGGGTAACTTGTGCGGTAATACAGAGAGCAGAATGAGCAGGCTAATTCTGCAGCTGGGCTTGTGGCGGTGCTTTGCCAAGGCTTTTGGTGGTGCACTGGAAAAAGCGAGCTATGCTCCTCCAGCAGCAAAACAGCATGAGAATCTGCAGAACAACAACAACAGCCCACAGAGTCCTTTGCAACTTCATTGCCACCCATCAATCACAGTGACATCCCTGCTAGCCATTCGCGGAAGTCACAAATCAACGTGCGTTGATGGCACTGAGATAATGTTACAGAGCTCTCTCTTTCTCATGTACACACACAAAGAGAGAGTGTTCGTAAGGAAGAAGAACCTATCACACAGCTTTCCCTTCCAGGCTATGGAGATAGCTCAGGCCTCGACACAGTTGCAAGCATAAGCTACAGGCTATCCATGAGCAGTTTGAGTCCCAGTGTGGTTCCCCCCTGAGCATTCACCAAACTGCAGACAACATACATTTGCATCCCTTCTGTGTGTGGGAACAAGCCCTTTTGAATGGAGAGATATAAGGAAGGGCCAATGTCACAGTAATAATGGCCCCGGAGGCAACGTCAGCACCTTGCTGGCAGTTCTGTGGAAGAGTAGGCTTCAGTCTTCCTGGGAGATGTTGGGAGAAACCACACAGGGTCTTCATTTTGGGTGTCCAAAGGGCCACCATAATTTCAGAGGGGAGCTGGAGAAGCAGTGAGATTGGGAGTCTCCTGTGTCACAACCTCCCCATGCTGGAGCAGACAGGAGAGAGAAAGAGGGAGAGGCAAGGAAGGATTAGGGAAAGGGTCCCTAGCTCTGTGGTGGAACATCTGCCCTGTATGCACAAGGTCCCAGGTTCAATCCCTGATGGGAGAGACTGCTGCCTGAAACCCTGGCAATCAGGCTTCTGCCAGCCAGTGATGGCAATACTGAGGGCACTAGTGGTCTGGCTAGTGGTCTGGCTCTGTGTAAGACACCTTCCTGAGTTTCTGTGATAGGAAACTTTGTAGACACCAAGAGTCTGATGGAGCCTCTGACTACCTGCCTGCCTTCCATGAAATCCAGGACTCGCTGTGCTATATAGCCCAGTACTGAAGCTGCCCTATGTGAGAGCAGCGAAACAGCTCAAGCTTATCATGTAAGAAGCTCCCAAGTCTGATCCTTGACTACAGATGTCCATGAAAAGGGGATGGGGATCACTACCTGAGACCCAGAGCCTCATGCAACAACTGTCTAAGTTATGGTGGGGAACCTACAGTTCCCTAGGATTCTTTAGAGAAAGTCAGAGTGTGGATAGTATAGCCAGTAGAGCCAGTGTGGTGTAGTGCTTAAGAGCGGTAGACTTGTAATCTGGTGAACCGGGTTCACGTCTCCGCTCCTCCACATGCAGCTGCTGAGTGACCTTGGGCTAGTCACACTTCTCTGAAGTCTCTCAGCCTCACTCACCTCACAGAGTGTTTGTTGTGGGGGAGGAAGGGAAAGGAGATTGTGAGCCGCTTTGAGACTCCTTCAGGTAGGGATAAAGCGGGATATCAAGTCCGAACTCCTCCTCCTCTTCTTCTCTCATCTATTTTTCAGCCATGTGTAGGTTTGGTAGCTCAACATTTCATGTTTGCAAGCTGAAATGATGTTCCAGTTCTGTCATTGACACGTGTGTGTGTGTGTGTGTGTGTGAGAGAGAGAGAGAGAGAGAGAGAGAGATTTAGACTTAAACATCAAAACATAACTGCTACTTTTTCAAAACCACACCAGTAGCTTTCTTGCAGCAGAAAGTTGACTTTTCTTTTCTATTTTTTCCTACCTCCCACATTTCCAATGTTGCTATTTGGTTTTATTTCCTTCTAGCAGCCTGACACCAGAATTTCAGTTTCAATGTGTGAAATTCTTTGGAATGCTCAACAAGAGCAGCAGCAGGTTGCATGAGACGTCGGTTTGAAATGCACAGTGGCACATAAGCTGACTTCTGGCTAGATGGATTATTTTTTTTTAAGGGGGGATAAAAGGATTGAAGTTTTCTTTCTGTGCAGTGAGAAAACCTGCCAGTCTTAGCATTCGCCTTTCAGGTAAACAATGCTCCGTTTGTTTGATCCCATTATCACAGTGAGGGTTTTGAACTGGGTTTATTTCTTTTCCCTTTGTCCAGGTCACCTGCCCAAATGGGAAATGGGTCAGTGAAACACAAGTACCTGAAGAGGCCAGACAGTCATGTGGGAAACTGCCCTCTGGGCTGCTCAGGGAGCAGCAAGTTCTTGAAAGACCCAGGACTGAACATCAGTACCATCACAGGTGCGGCGGATATTCTGAGGAGCAAGATTTGGGAGCTTGAGAGGGAGTTGAAGAGGCAGGAGGAAGAGCTCCACGAGAGGAACTACCACATCATCGAGCTGCAGGAGCAGCTGGCGAAGCAAACCCGGACCATTGCCGACCTCACCGAAGAGCTTAAGTGCAAATGCATCCAGCTCAACAAGCTGCAGGATGTTGTGGACACCCAGGGGGCAAACCCCTTCCTGTTCTCCCCTCTTAAAGAAGCGCCCAGGGCCAACCATGCAGCCCCCTGCAGCAACAGGAGGAGAGGCGCGAAGGAAGGCGTGTCTGCAGAGCCCACGAGCCGGACGTACGACTTGAGCGAGCAGCCTCGCTTCTCCTTCGAAAAGGCGAGAGTCAGAAAGGCCTCAAGGTGAGAGGGCACACTGTGCTGCGCTGGGGCGATTGGTGTGCACACCAAAGTATGCGTAGCTAGGTGCATCCTTCACAGGGTGGGTTTGATTTAAGTCAAATCGATTTAAATCATGATTTAAGTCAAATCGATTTAAATCATGATTTAAGTCAAACTGATTTAAATCATGATTTAAGTCAAATCGATTTAAATCATGATTTAAATCACTAGTCAGTAAGACTTGATTTTAATCTCTTTTTTTTACAGAAAGACTCATTCTTGCTGGTATAATCTTAATATTCACAACCAGGTGAAGGTTTTATTTATTTATTTCACTCAAACAAGAACATTATAGCATATGTATCCATGTTTGTTAACTGATGTGGTTAAACGATTTAAAAAAACAACAACAACAAACCCCTTAGACTGAGTTTTAGCAAACATGAAAAACTTAAAACAAATCCCTATTTCCTGATGAATAGCCTTTGGACTATAATGTAACCACAATAGAAAACTATCTTTAGAAAGATTTTCCCCCCAAAAGCATTTCATTTTTAAAATCTGATTTAAATTTTTAAAAATCTGATTGAAATAAAAAAAAACTATTTAAATAAAAATCTTTTTAAAAAAAAAATCATTGATTTTTTATGCACCCTGATCCTTCACAGGATACTTGCCTGCTGCTGTGATAGCTGTAAGTGTGTGAGACAGTTCTAATGCTGCGGTTTTAGATGCACGCTTCTGGTTGTTTATATAATTTGGGCAAGGAGCCAGTAGACTACCACAAATGTGTGTGGAAGTTTGAATGCCTCATACGGACAGATTTGCCCCTATCCCTCTGATTCCCCTCCCTGTCTGCCGTTGAGCAGCTGAAAGGGGCGAAGGCTCTGAGTTTGTGCAGAGGAATGCATTTGCAGCCGCCTCCTCTCTAAGAACATTTGCTGCAAGAAGAGCAATGGATCTGGGGCAGGAAAAGATTGCACCACAATGTGCCCTGGGCTTTCATAGCTGGCATGGGCTTTCAGAGCGGCCTTGGGATCACACTGCCTCGCTGTACTTTGTTGTTTAGTTAAGAGGTATACCTTGAGCGTAAGAGAATGCCTTTTTTGTTCATGCTGCCACAGCAAAGCTATAATTCTTCGGAGCACAGATGACGAGAGAAAAGGAGCGTCTGTCTCTGAGGAACTTGCCTATAGTTGGACAAGAGGGAAAGGCTGGGGTGGGGTGAGAAACAGCTTGTGTGCAAGGCTTGTGAACTAGTGCATGTGAGACTTCAGTACTCATGAACAGGAGTCCAAAATGGGGAGGTGGTGGTTGGTGCTCCCCTCAATAATGCCCATTTGGTGTTTGCAAATGGGTGTGGTAGATTACGCTTAAATGTGTGTCTTAAACTGTGTGTTTGTTTATTGCCCATCAAATTTATTTCTGGATTTATTTCTGGAATAATAGTGCTGGCTGTGCACAACAGACAGGTTTTTCTGGATGGTGCCTGTTACTGCGCAGAAAGAAACTAAACCCAGGCTTTCAAATACCCATTCATCTGTTGCCCTTCTAAGAATTGCTTTCAGACCCTGAAGCAGAGAAGCGTTTGTAAACTGGGAGAGTTTATTCTTTTCTTCTCAGGTCCTCGGTACACCACAGATGGCTGGCATAGGTCTGTTTGAGCAGATAGGCTAGTAAGAATTCATGTGCACTAAAGACTTTTGATGTTGTATCATTCTGTTCCAGGACACACTATCAATTAAGGCACTCATTTTCTTTTTTGTCTTCTTCCCCACTCACTATGCTCTTCTGGAACTGTTCTTTAAGGCTGCCTCATTCACTCCAGAAGCAGTTCCTAGGTCTCAGCACTCACAGACTTTGTGAGACTATGTCTCACCCAATTAAGGCAGTGTCCAAAACTACTTCTAGTATGTTGACTAGAGCCTATTTTAGACAGAGCATTGAATGGGCCTTTTCAGTGGTGGCTCCCTGGTTGTGGAATTCTCTCCGGGGAGACTCACATGGCACCATCTTTATCTATTTTTAAGAACAAGAAAATTGTTTTCCCCTTTTCCCTGGGCTTTGCGCCTTTAATTTGAGCAGTTTCAAGTACTTGTCACCTCTTTTTCGTGGGATAGGTTTCGTAAGACCTGTCATTTATTTGTATGGATGTGGTTTTTTAGGTTTTTATTGTGTGGTTCATTGTACTCAGTGACTAAATAATAATAATATAATATAATCACTTTTTTGAAGAGGGAAGCTGGTGGCACACTTGTTAGATGTATATTTTTGGTAAGACAAAAGCAGTTTCAGCTTAAAACAGGCTATGCACTGCAAGAATTAGGAACTAGGAACTAACAGTTGCATTTTTTTATTGTCTGCCATTGCCTCCATTTAGGGCATTGGGATTTTCAGAGACTCAGTCCCAGTTCTTTGGCCACAAGTATTCAGCACCATTGTAGGGAAACTGGAGCACCATTGGTCCTCTGGGTCACAAACATATCCTTTGTCCACTAGTTATGGAAAGAGGCTATGACTCTTGTGGGTTATAACTGAATTTGCAGTGCAATTAGCTCTGGAAACTACATAATGAAATTCTGCTGCAGTTTGGATTCCACTGGAAAGAAACTCAAATCTGCATGGTAAAGCAAGGAAGATTCTACAATAGCAGGTTTTTATTTTCCCCTTTGGGGCCTTTCCCCAGGAGCTTCAGATAGAGCAATAAGGTGGATAGCTGCTCACCACCTGATGTTAACAGCATTAAATTGCCACTGGCCACATGAGAGAGCCATAGACAAGCAGGTATTTTTTTCCAGTTTCCTAACCTTGCACCCTCTGCCGTTTCCTTTGAATTAAGATTAAAAGGGGCGTTATAGGTGCCAGGAAGCCACCTTTCAAACATTTGAGAAATCTTGCTTCTCATATCAAACCAAAACAGTTGTATACCTCTAGTGTGTGTAGCAAGTCAGAGAGTTTAAATGCATGGGCTAAATGTATAACAAAAGCCTAAGCGATAGGGCTGTTAATGTGGTAAATAATAATTATATGGATTATTAGGCTCTTGTGCTTTTATTTGGAACCGAAAATATAAAAGGAAACAAGTTTCTTTGCCCTGGATTTTACGACATTATGGTTTCACAGTGACATAATTCTAAGAGTTCTGTGTCCCTTTCCCAAAGCCAGATTCTGAGACTAAAGGGAGGTAAGCAACTTCCTTGAGACTTGAACACTCCTATTTCAGACAGCAAACAAGCAGGAAGAGTATGTTTACTTCACCCTAAGAAGAAAGCTCAGAGCCTAGGACTTGCCGATCAGAAGGTTGGCGGTTCGAATTCCCGTGACGGGGTGAGCTCCCGTTGCTCGGTCCCTGCTCCTGCCAACCTAGCAGTTCGAAAGCACATCAAAGTGCAAGTAGATAAATAGGTACTGCAGCGGGAAGGTAAACGGCGTTTCCGTGCATTGCTCTGGTTCGCCAGAAGCGGCTTAGTCATGCTGGCCACATGACCCAGAAGCTGTACGCCGGCTCCCTTGGCCAATAAAGCGAGATGAGCGCCGCAACCCTAGAGTCATCTGCGACTGGACCTAATGGTCAGGGGTCCCTTTACCTTTAAGAAGAAAGTTCAGAACATCTCAGTCCCTCTGCCATTAGAGACCTACTAAATGCAACACACCAAACTGGGGGTGCAATTCAGTCAATGGCATACAATACTGCAAGGGACAGGATGTGTGAATAGCCAGCGATAGTTAGTAAGGTGTGAGTGATATTACGCTCCTGAGCTGGCCAGCTGCATTCTTCCTGTCGAAATGGCTTAACATTTGCATGGAGAAAATATGGGGGTTGGCCAAGAGACAGCATGCTTGTTCAGACGACAAGGTGCAGCAGACCTCTTGCTCTGTTCATTGGCTTGCGGACTCACCAGTGTTGAGCTGGAGACTATTTTTAAAAAGAAGCCAGAATGTCAAGCTTGCCAGACTAGTCATTAGAGCCAACAGTAATCTGGTCCATCATTTGGTGTTTTGCTCTGTAGATGCCAATAAAAGGTCATTCTGTCCCATCATCTCTAAGGGACATGGCTTATAGTGACAGAAGTGCCAATAAATTCATGTGGTTAATAAATTTAACAGTTTAATGCTGGAAGGGCCATTGCATGCAGATAGGCACAAGTTCAATTCCGTGTTGGCTGAAAATACCCCCAGTCTGAAACTCTGGAGAGCTATTGCCAACCAGTGTAGAAAACACTGGGTTCGAAGGACCGATATCCTCAATTTGTATAAGGCAGCTTCCTATGTACCCCGTGTTTCAAAGTGGCATGTCCATTTCATTCCTTGTAAATACGAAGGGTGAATGTATAGGCATGCAGAGAACCTTGCAATCTAGTCAGATGATCTTTCGGCTATTGCTACAAGCCTGCAAAATTCCCCAGGCAATTCCGACTTTTTCCACTCGCTTTGGTATTGATTGACCTGAAAGCACAGCAAGCTGCGACCTCTCTGAGATGCTCACTCGCATCCTCCTGCTCCACACAGTCCAGTCTAGTCTTGCATAATAAGCTCTCTCCACCATTCACTCTTGTGAAAAGTGAATGATTGCAGTCATTGGATTTTTGCCTATCACATGATGGTGTATGTTTTGATTCCACAAAGTGGGAGGTGACAGAGACAGGATGTTTGTGTTACTGTGTTCCATGGACTATTGTCCTTTGTTCTTTCTCTTTGCTGTCTGATGCTAGAGAGAGAGGGAGCCATGTTGCAGTGCTCCGTGTGTGTTTATATGTAAATAAAGTAGATTAGCCAAAATGCTGAGTTGCTGAGGTCTGTTACGCAAGCTGCAAAGACTCTGAGGATCCCTAAGTGTGCCGATGTCTGTTGGCATCGGTCGCTGTGATGTTCGGGCTGAAGAAAGCTTTTGAAGCTCCCAAATGATCGACCAGGAAGGAGAGAACATGCTAGTCTGGCATGTGTCTCTATCAGGGTCCTGCTCGAGTAGGTCCATGATTCCATCCTCAAAGAGCTACAAAGGGATCTGTTTCCCTTGTCAAGGGAAGCTGTTGTCACTGAATGTTTGCTAAGCCCGTCTTTCAAATGTAGTTATTATAGGCATTTTTTTAAAATACTGTCCTTCATGCAGAAGACCCCAGGCAATCCCTGTCATCTCCAGTCATAAAGGAACTTGGATATTAGCACTAGGAAATCCCATAAACCTTGGGGCACCCCTGCGGGTCAGAGCAGATGATATTAAACTAGGTAGCACAATGGCCCAACAGCTCCATTTTTCTCCGCATCTTCCCCCTCCTGGAAAAAGGCAGTGCAGTGTAGTGCAGTCTACACAACCGAACAGCAAAGCACAAAATGCAACCAGCAGGTTGTCTACTGCCAGGGCAGGTGCCAAATTCTGATTTTCTTACTTGTGGGGAAGGGCGAGTAAGAAATCTAAATGATACGAATATATTCTGGAGCCCAAGGAAGAGCGCCTGTAGGACATCAAGGGAAAAACCAAGATATGTTATGAAAAAAATGAAGTTGGTTTTTATCTCAAGCTACAGTTATTAGGTTGGATTTAGCAGCTTCCCTCCCACCCCAACTCCCCAAGCAACAGCGACTGAGCTCGAAATGTCTTCCAAACAACAGATCCCCTTCCAAAACATGTCATTATCACTGAGATGAGTGCCAGAGCGACCCAGCCCGTCGTAAAACAGATCTGGCTTTTGAAGCACATTCCTGGTGTGTTTGAAAACATAGCCTATGAAATAGAAGTACAGTGGTACCTCGGGTTAAGTACTTAATTCGTTCCGGAGGTCTGTTCTTAACCTGAAACTGTTCTTAACCTGAAGCACCACTTTAGCTAATGGGGCCTCCTACTGACGCTGCGCCGCCGGAGCACAATTTCTGTTCTCATCCTGAAGCAAAGTTTTTAACCCGAGGTACTAATTCTGAGTTAGCGGAGTCTGTAACCTAAAGCGTATGTAACCTGAAGTGTATGTAACCCGAGGTACCACTGTACTAATAAATAAAATGTACAGTTTGCAGCAGCCCTGTTTGAACTTCGAACTATACATAGCTGTCACGAACGGTATGGCCTCGTCCAGTGTATGAATGGGGATATTTCTCCACTCGTAGATTGCTGAAGAAGGATAGCAAAAGTGTTAGAGAACATGATAATAATTACAATAAAGATCAGGAAGGGAATAAATAAAGGAAGGGTTGCTCTATTCTCACCCCACATTTTCTCACCCCTGGTCCTGCTAGCTAGGGATCTTGGGAGTTGTAGGCCAAAAACATCTGGAGGGCTGAGGTTGAGGAAGCCTGGTCTAAGCAATAATAAGTTCTCACAACATCTACTTTTTGTAGCCCAGAACATCTGGAGGACACCAGGTTGGGGAAGCTGCCTTAGGAAGTGTGAGGCTAAATCAAATGGAAGCTGGTTGTCTCTTCTGCCACTCAACCAGGCAGAGGGCCTTCTCTGTAGTGGCACCCGGCCTGTGGAACGCCCTCAAAGAAATAAACAACTATCTGACTTTTAGAAGACATCTGAAGGCAGCCCTGTTTAGGGGAGTTTTTAATGTTTGATGTTTTATTGTGTTTCCAATATTCTGTTGGGAGCCGCCCAGAGTGGCTGGGGAAACCCAGCCAGATGGGTGGGGTATAAATAAATTATTATTATTATTATTATTATTATTATTATTATTATTATTATCATCATCGAGAGCCAGTGTGGTGTAGTGGTTGAGAGCGGTAGTCTTGTAATCTGGGGAACCGGGTTTGCGTCTCCGCTCCTCCACATGCAGCTGCTGGGTGACCTTGGGCCAGTCACACTTCCTTGAAGTCTCTCAGCCCCACTCACCTCACAGAGTGTTTGTTGTGAGGGAGGAAGGGAAAGGAGAATGTTAGCCGCTTTGAGACTCCTTAAAGGGAGTGAAAGGCGGGATATCAAATCCAAACTCTTCTTCTTCATTATTATTATTATTATTATTATCTCGTCTGCTACAAGATTCTACATGCACCCCACTGAAGTGAATGGGAGTTGTATAAGAGCAGCATAATGCACAACTCAGCTTCCGTTAATGTCCATGGGATTATGCAGGAGAGATTCCCAGTGGATTGTCCCTTTAATTCCTTTAGTTTTTGCCTTGGCTTCTCTTAATTCCTCATTGCAATTTTGTTTTCCATTTTTCCTTCAGCTCTTGATGTTTGAACCTCGTAATTTGTGTTTCCCCCCCACTTCAATATCATATAATGCAGGTGATTGTCTACGATTATGCACCCACTAATTACTACCCTGAGAAAATTTAATGGGGAAGCAGGGCGAAGTTTGTAATTTTTGTTTCATCAATCAACGTTTATAGGGAGAAAGTAACTGCGCCAGACGGGCCTTTAATGGAGTTAATGTTTCTTTATGTTCCCAGCAATAAATAAGCACACCCGTGCAAATAAAAATTACAAATTGAATTGTTGGCAATGGGAGTGGAGAGTAAGTTGATAGGAAAGTAATAATTAGGAAAAGAATAGACTATACATTTGGTTCATTAGTGTATAGGCTGCACGTAACAGTGGGTTGGAACAAAGAGCAATTCTGTATAGATCCTTCAAGGCCCTTCTGCCATGACCTTCTGCCATGTGAGAGCAGCTACAGTGTGGCCCCCACTAGTGCAGGCATGGCCAAACTTGGGCCTCCAGCTGTTTTGGGACTACAACTCCCATCATCCCTAGCTAACAGGACCAGTCGTCAGGGATGATGGGAATTGTAGTCCCAAAACAGTTGGAGGGCCAAGTTTGGCCATGTCTGCCCTAGTGGTAACATCAGATGGCCAGGACCAGATGGGAGGTAGCCAAGTCTTGACCTCTCTTCCCCTTGGCAGCAGCATCCCTCATAGAAACTGGGCCAATGCTGGTTTGGCACTCCAGCTATTACCTTTGGTGCCTAGGGAGGAGACACATTGCAGTTTCATGTGAGGAGGCTATTTCCTGAAGCTAGCCATGCAACCATCATTGAGAACTCAGTATACTGTTCAGAAACTAGTCTCCTCTTGGAAGCGGCAAGTTCTGTGAACTAATGCACTCTCATTCCCTTTCCCTTTCTCTCTCTCTCTCTCTCTCTCTCTCTCTCTCTCTCTCTCGTATTTTGATTTTTTCCTATAGTGCTTTTAAGATATAACAGGATCAGATGGGGTGGGGGAAGTAAATATGGAAAACCAAGACAATTAAGCCGTAGAAACCCCATAAATGGGGAAAACCAAAATTCAGCTTGCATGAGGGACCATCGTCACGAGAGTGAAATGTTAAGGTAGCCTGAATTGGTCCCTTAGGGACCATATCTAATGCATTGGCCAGCTCTGTGGAAATGTTTAATATTTGGGTCTAATTAGGAATTCCTGATGTAAAGAAGAAAAAAACCCACTTATGCAAGATGGCAGTGGGGGTTAGCCTATACTTAGAAAATTGGTTTTCAGCTGAACATTGTGACCTATATACAATGTGATTTGCTAGGCCTAAAGTTTCCTAAATGCCCAAAGTTTCTATTTCGGCCAGGAAACACGACGACTTCTGTGCTTCTGATTTTATTTTTCTAGGCTTTTATCATTGCCGTTCTTCGTTTTCAAGCTTGCTGCACAGGTAATAAAGCAAATGAATCAAGCTGCAAAACAGGAAGTGATCACTCACTCTTAAGGTGCCCTCTGGAGATTTTGCAGCAAAGCCTCGTTCCCTGGGACAGTTTTACTTTGTTTTATGAATCCAAGTCGGAAGAGACCCTGGAGGGCTTCCAAAGTGCTGTGTTGAGATTCGCTTCATTAGATGGATGAGCCTCACACAGGCAATAATGAAGGCACTGCGTTCCGGGGCAAAGGTTGCCCTTCATGTTAGCTAGATGCAGATTCAGATCCCTTCATTTGCATAGGTCCGTATAGTAAAAGCTATGGTTTTCCCAGTAGTGATGTATGGAAGTGAAAGCTGGAGTATAAAGAAGGCTGATTGCCGAAGAATTGATGCTTTTGAAGTATGAAGCTGGAGGAGACTCTTGAGAGTCCCATGGACTGCAAGAAGATCAAACCTATCCATTCTGAAGGAAATCAGCCCTGAGTGCTCACTGGAAGGACAGATCCTGAAGCTGAGGCTCCAAGACTTTGGCCACCTCATGAGAAGAGAAGACTCCCTGGAAAAGACCCTGATGTTGGGAAAGATGGAGGGCACAAGGAGAAGGGGACGACAGAGGACGAGATGGTTGGACAGTGTTCTCGAAGCTACGAACATGAGTTTGACCAAACTGCAGGAGGCAGTGGAAGACAGGAGTGCCTGGCGTGCTCTGGTCCATGGGGTCACGAAGAGCCGGACACGACTAAACGACTAAACAACAGCAAAAATATATTTCAGTTTCTCAGTTTCTTGGGCTCATGCAGTGCGTGTTTCATGCAGTGTTGGTACGAAGAACCTGTGACCCTTTTGATGTTGTTGTTCCAATAACATTTGGAGAGCTGCAGGTTCCCCCTCTTCACCTAAAGGGTGTTTCACACAGTTACTGTAAGGTAGCCGATGGGTCTCAAACCCTCCGTGAGTTAGGGACTTCCCCTTTGTGCAAAGACAGGCTCTGGCAGATTTTTGTGGACAAGACCAATGGTGGGTCCAACGGTCAAGAAGGCGGTTTCTGCATGTGCTGTAGAGGGAAGTCAGGGGCAGTTGGGGCTCATCAACCTGGGAAGGTAGCCCATGTAGGAGAAGGAAAACTCTGGTCCTAACCTTCCTCTGCCTTGTGGGACATCTTTGGGATAAGAAATGCTAAAGAGCAAACCCTACATAAATCCAGACTTGAGTCCCTAAGATGGTTGGATGGCGTCTTGTACCCCTCCTTCCAGCAACTCCTGCAGCCAAGCTGGTGCCAATCGTACTGCTCTGCTTTCCTTTGGACCACATCAGGAAGGCCATGCCTTCTTGTCATTAGGATATTGATGTTCCATTCTGCCTTAAGAGGAACAGATATGTGTAGTTGTTGTATGTCGCAAGTCTGTTTACTTCCAGCACAGTCTGCTGGGAACTTCCGTTGTATATTGCTTTTGCTATGCCGCTGTTGTGCTTGAACACGAAGGGAAGCAGACATGTTTTTCCTTTGTCCTGCTGTTGAATAAATGCTGTAAATATGCTTACACATGTCTCTGTCTGCCACTTCCGTTGCAAAGAGTTCTTATATCTGTTGGCTTGCGTGCTTAAGCTTCTGAGGTCTTCTGAGGGTTGAGTCGCAGTTTTTGATGCTGTTCCAAGAACCGGAGTTTCGCCCGGCTGCCAGCTGGTGGCTGGAGCCAGCTGGAGGCCCGCCAGTTGCCCCCATCTCCTGGCAGCATCCCAACAGTTGTCTGGGCAGTCCAGGACCTCCACACACAGGCTTGCACCCCTAGGAAGGTACTTGGGTGCTGCTAATGCCGTGGTTTGACACCCATTGTCTCTCAAGACAGATGGATGCCAACAACGCGGTAAGGTGGAGTGACTAACCTTCGGCTCTCTAGGTTTCGTTGGACTCCAGCTTTCCGCATCCCTTACAAACAAGTGGTATATAAATTTTATGAAAAAATAACTGTATAAAATTGACCATGTTGGCTGGGGCTGATGGGATTTCAAGTCTGCAACATCTGGAGGGTCACAGCTTCCCCCCTCCTGGCTTTTGCAAGAAGTCTACATAGCTTGAGTCATCTTAGTTTGGGGGGGGGGATAGGACTAAAGAGGGATGTGGTAAAGGTAAATTAAATGGTGTGTGGTATGGAAAAAAACAGAGTTTTTCTACCTTTTTCATAATACCAGAATATTCAGCCATTGTTTCTGACTGGAGATTCAGTGCAGGCTAGAAGAAATGCTTATTCACATAGCTATGGGTGTGATAGAACTTGCTGACCCAGGATTTAGTGATGACCACCAGTTTTGATTGCAGTGGGTACCTTGGTTTAAGAACAGCCCTGTTTATGAACGATTCAGTTTACGAACTCCGCAAAACCAGAAGCAGTGTCCCCGTTTGCGAACTTTACCTCAGTCTAAGAATAGAATCCGAACAGTGGAAGGGCACTGGCGGCGGGAGGCCTTGTTAGGGAAAGCGTGTCTCGGTTTAAGAATGGTTTTGGTTTAAGAACGGACTTCTGGAACGGATTAAGTTCGTAAACCGAGGTACCACTGTACTTGAAAAAGGCACTAGGGTTACTTCCAGACAGCCTGATTATTGACCGTTTATCCTGACTAGTTAGCAGAAGGTTGTGGTGAGACTTGACATTGCCTTTATATTTTTCATTATTCATTCTGGTTTGTTTTCATAGGGGGTTGTTGACGTTGTGTCAAGGAAGTCCTACACTTCCCAGTGCATTTTCCTATCCCCTTTCTTGTCCCTTTCAAAGATGTGGGGGGCAGTGAAATGCATTTTCTCCAAAAATGCTCCATATCAGCTTAAATGGCACAACCCGAATTTCCCAGTATGTGTTTGAATTCCACCCCTAAACAGCAACAGCCTTGAAGCCCCCATAGAGACGAATGGAGGATAGATACATCAATGGCAGCTTGTCATATTATGACTGTGTGCAAGCTCTATGTTCAAAGGCCAGGGAGCTCCGGCTGCTGGGGAAAACAACAAGAGAGGGTTGTTGCCTTCATGAGTTGCTTTCAAGTTTCTCAGAGGCAAAACAGGATGCTGAAGATGGATTTTTGGTCTGCCACAACAGGGCTTCTTCTTAGGAGAGCACAGGAAAGTGTCTGCTGTAAGGTGAAAAGATTGCAAAAATGCAGAATCCACGTTGCTTCGGCATTGCAAATTCTAAAAATTGCCAAAAGCAATGCGCAGGTAATTTGATGAAAGCATTGCCTAATATCTGTAAGTCAGTCTGCCGTTTCAGAGCAGTGTACTATTCTGATGAAACCATGGGCTGGATTCAATTCCACAAGTCCTGCTAGCACAATGGGACTTCCCCATCTTCTCCTCTTCCCACACCCTTCCCAAATCTGTTGGGAGGTTCAGGAGAACTCCCAGAGCATTGAATAGGGCAGGGATGTCCAACAGGTCGATCGCGATCTACTGGTCAATCCCTGCAAGGTTTTGGTCAATCACTGGCCCCCTTCTGGCCCCGCCCCCTTGCCCCACCCCACCCTCCATTGTTGGAGAACAGAAGATGGAGTTTACAAACCAAGGCTGTTTTTCCACCAGCAATCATTCGGTGATGAAAACTCATTTGGTGAGTTGCTATCTTTGACCCCAAAATGTAAAAACGTTACGCCCCACCTCCCAAAGTTAAGCAACTTATGCCTCCCAAACCCCCAATAAAACAGAGCCTTTCTCCTCCTTAGAAAAGCTCAACAACTTTTACCTGAACCCCCCCCAAAACAGAGGTAGATCGCTGCCAGTTTTTAACTCTGTGAATAGACTGCAGTCTCTTGGAAGTTGGCCACCCCTGGCATAGGGCACTGAGAGCAAAGATCATTCCATCTTGCAGGCGGAAATGATTGCACTTGTTGGAGATTTGTGAAAGTCACTTCACCATACCTCAACCTGTGGGATGTATCAGCAGAGGATTCAGAGCCCCAGCAGCAGGGGCGCATGGAGGGGGGTGGGGGTGGTTCACCCCGGGTGCCACCTGGGGGTTTGTTGGCAAGATGACCCACTGCCTCCTCCCAGCTGTAGAGCGGCCGAGGGCACCCATGCTGTCAGTATGAGCGCTGCTCAAGCGCCGTCTGTACGGGCTGCTGCTCGAGCTCTGTCCATATGGGCACCGTGCATGCGCAGTCTGTATAAGCTGCCACGCATGTGTCCGTATAGGCACCACGCGTGTGCCACCAGGCTGTTCGCCTGCCCTTTGGCACCTTGCACCACGTGTCGAAGAGGTTTCCTTTGCCAGTGCCCAGCAGAGTCTTCAGAGATTTCTAGCTCCCAGCAGAATAACTTCTTCCAAAATCCCCCCCGTTAAGGGGAAAACTCCTTTCCCACAAAGTGTTTATTGTCCCCAAGTGCAAGACAAAGCTAAACACTACTGTCTACTGTATGCAGTTCTTCTGGTCTTTGAAGGAAAAATACACATGTACAGAGAGATTCACTAACACAGTCACCATGCTAGCTTACGTTGCTGTGTAAAACCCATAGACTCTTCCCCTGACTCTCACAGATTCAGAGTCAGATGTCGACAGCGAACAGGACAGGGCATGGACAAGACATGCACCAGGACATAATGAAAGCAGTGCCCTAGAGACTATTATACCTATTTCTAATTGTAGGCATATTTCCTGAACCAATGGAAAAACTCAGCATGACCTCGCTGGTTTTGCTATAGTAACCCAGTACACCTGACACCCTTATCGCAGAACATCCAAGCATGGGGGGATGTGCTCCTAAAGACATGAGACCAAGCACTGTGTACATCAACCCATTGTTCACATTACACCAACAGCACTGATGGAACAATCTTCTTAGCGCTACATTGAGTTCCATTGCATGCAACTTCAGCCAGATTTCACATTTGATAAATTACAACAACAGTCCTGTTCTTACTTCTTAATCATATGGTCCAATCTTCTGAATCTCATCATGGAGCCAACAAAAATGTAATCTCTGTGTGTGTGTGTGTGTGTGTGTGTGTGTGTTTGTGTATGCTTCCACACTGTAAGTATTTTTGGGAAAGGATTCGGCTGCAACAAATGGCACAACAAATTTTCCAGCCCACGTTGCCGAGCTGAGTCCCTGGCATGCCCTGTTTGAAGGACCAGGCAGCAAGTGATGTGACAAGCTTCAGCCTGAGACCTTAGAGATCTGCTGCCAGTAGAGATGGAGGGCAGGGCAGGGGGGACAGGATTCAATACAGGTCACATTTAAACCAGAATGTATCAGAGCTGCACTTCCTGAAACAGCATGAGAATCAAAACACAGCCATCCTCCAAAACTCACACTTTTCCAAATGCTGGGATGCAGTTCTCCAACAGATCAGTGTTTACAGAAATGCATATGTTAGGGGAATGTGCGTATCAAAATGCACATGTTTGTGAAACGACAAACAAAAAAATGCATTATATTAGGAGAATATATGCACGCGAAAAACATGCACTCTAGTCAAAACTGTGGGCAGAATTGTCTTCAGCAGGAGAAAATCACACTAAAATACTGAAGAATCTTCCCGAGGATTTAAAAACGACAACAGCAGCCTGCAAACCGCTGCAGAAATGTGGAGGACTGAATTTATAATGGGGAAATCGAGAAACTTAAGAGAATTGAAATCTACAGATCCTCCCATCCCTAGCTCAGGCAGTGCTGGGCTAGATGGACAAATGCTTAAGCAACAACTTCCTATGTGCTGAATGTTTTAGGTTGCAGAGAAAAATGTAAACTACTTTCATGGGCACTGGACTGTGAATACCATGATGGGGGGAATAAGTTGTGCATAATGCAATCCATTTATATGCTGCAAATGAATGTGACTTTTGCCTTCCTTTCTTTCTCTCCTCTCTCTGGTTTACTGAATATAAGTGAGAAAAAGCTCATCACAGACGCCCTGAGTAGAAACCAATTTCTGAAGAGGCTGGACCCGCAGCAGATCAGAGATATGGTGGAATGTATGTATGGGAGAACATACCAGCAAGGGAGCTACATAATCAAACAAGGAGAGCCTGGCAACCATATATTTGTACTGGCAGGTTAGTAAACCACATTAAGTTGTACATTTAAAAGGCTAGCACTGGGAATTTTGCTGCTTAGACCTGGAATGAACTTGCCATTCTGCAATCCTAGCCCCGCTTACCTGGGTGTGAGTCCTGTTGAATTAAGGAGGACTTGCTTCTGAGTAGATATTGTTGGGTTGAAATAAACGACAGATGAATGGCAAGTGTCATATGGGAGGCATCTCTCGAGCATGTCTCGGAGAGTCCCTTTTATTGAATATTACAGCATTGCCACATATGTGCTTGTTGCTGATTGGTTAACACAAATACAATGCAAAGGTTGAATATAGGCATTAATCATCAATAGATTAAAGGTTGGGAAAGGGAACACATGGTTAGACAGGTATGAAATCCTCCTTGTTAAACTATTACTAGTGATTAATAATAAACAATTACTAATGATTGATATTGCATGACTTGAAAAAGCATAACAATCGCATTCCGTAGATGTGGTCAACAATGCGTTAAGAACAGGTCAGGGTATGATGAACTCAATGTGAACTGAACATTCCTAGACTCATGTGCAAAGGCAGAACTTCCCATCAAGATATGGTTAAACTCTTAATCTCAGGGTTGTGGGTCCAAGGCCCATGCGGGGCAGAAGATTCCTGCATTTCAGGGGTTGGACTAGATGATCCTTGTGGTCCCCTCCAATTCTACAATTCTGAATTTTATTATTACGGTCACAGACTAGTTCCAGCTCACTTACAATATCATAAAACACAACAGGAATACATTGAGTCGCAATTGGGTATTACAGAGACAATTCAGATATAGCGGCAGTTAAAAATATATATTAAATCTTGATCACTAAAATATAACCTAAAATTGTCATTTAAAACCTTAATCATTTTGGTAGTACAGCTTGTTCCCTAGGTTTTTTGGCAGTCACACAGAATTTGGCCACCCTTAGTGTGATCTTTTGAATTATGAAGGAGACTCTTGAGAGTCCCATGGACTGCAAGAAGATGAAATGTATCCATCCTTAAGGAAGTCAGGCCTGAGTGCTCACTGGAAGGACAGATCGTGAAGCGGAGGCTCCAATACTTTGGCTACCTCATGAGAAGAGAAGACTCCCTGGAAAAGACCCTGATGTTGGGAAAGATGGAGGGCACAAGGAGAAGGGGACGACAGAGGACGAGATGGTTGGACAGTGTTCTCGAAGCTACAAACATGAGTCTGACCAAACTGCGGGAGGCAGTGGAAGACAGGAGTGCCTGGCGTGGTCTGGTCCATGAGGTCACGAAGAGTCGGACACGACTAAATGACAACAAGCGTGATCTCTAGATCCTTGTCCTCTACCAGGAGTTTTAGACATTGAAGTTCGGACCCGTTTGGAGATTTTTGAATAACAGGAGTGATAAATACCGAGTGTATATCCCCATAGAAACAGCAGCGTAACAAGACATGAGAGACAGTTTCTACCTCCATCAAGCCGCAGGAGTAGACTCAGTCCACGTATGGTTTACCCTCGAATCTGCCCTGCAATAAGGCAGCACGTTGAATCTAGCGAGGGTAAATGACCGTCTGTATTTGGGTATTTCTAATTTTGACAAATAATTTTCTGGGGTAAACCCTCTCCCATTATCTTTTATTGCTGGGTGTTTATTCATCTCACTCATGTGGCATTACTCTACAATTCTATGATTCTAAGATGGCAGCCCAGATGGAAGATAGGGCGCTTCCAGCATCCATCTCCTCGATAGTTTACAACAGGGCAATCCTTTCGTCCATGCAAACTGCACACTGAGTCTGAACCCAGAAGTTCCATTAGCTACTGTGGCCAGCGATGTTTCTAGGCACATCAACTATTATTTATGGCCGCAAGAGGAGCAATGCGATGCTTGTGATAATGTGTGTTGTGCTTTAAGTGCCTTCCTACCTCATCCATCCATCACAGCAGCCCTACGAGATGAGTCAATATTATTATCTGTTTATAAATGGCCAGCTGGATATCCCACCTTTCCCCATCCCAGAAATGCTCACAAGAATTATGAATACAGCTTTCCCTTTTTATTTCTCCCACTACCTGACCGCTAAATCCATCTAGCCTTTTCCACGAGCTGCTTGCCGCCCCTTTGTCTCGTCGTCTGGTTTGGCCACTCTTTGCAAGGCTACACCGGATACTCTGACCTCGCTAATGATGAGGGTTCCAATGCCTCAAGCAGTCAAAACATTACAGTGGTACCTCGGGTTACATACGCTTCAGGTTACAGACGCTTCAGGTTAGAGACTCCGCTAACCCAGAAATAGTACCTCGGGTTAAGAACTTTGCTTCAGGATGAGAACAGAAATCGTGCTCCGGCAGTGTGGCAGCAGCAGGAGGCCCCATTAGCTAAAGTGGTGCTTCAGGTTAAGAACAGTTTCAGGTTAAGAACGGGCCTCCGGAGTGATTTAAGTCCTTAACCTGAGGTACCACTGTATGCCCCATTGAATTCAGTGGTACTTACTTCTGAGAAGGCGTAGCTCAGATTTTCCCAACACCCCGATTCATTGTTGTGCTCATAGCCTGCTTGTGAGCTGCTGCTGCTGCTGCTGCTGCTTCTTCTTCTTCTTCTTCTTCTTCTTCTTCTTCTTCTTCTTCTTCTTCTTCTTCTTCTTCTTTTATACCCTGCCCATCTGGCTGGGTTTCCACAGCCATTCTGGGTGGCTCCCAACTGAATATTATTATTATTATTATTATTATTATTATTATTATTATTAAAGCAATAAAACCTCAAACATTAAAAACTTCCCTAAACAGGGCTGCCTTCAGATGTCTTCTAAAAGTCAGATAGTTGTTTATTTCCTTGACATCTGATGAGAGGGCGTTCCACAGGGCAGGCGCCACTACTGAGAAGGCCCTCTGCCTGGTTCCCTGTAACCTCAGTTCTCGCAGTGAGGGAATCACCAGAAGGCCCTCGGAGCTGGACATCAGTGTCTAGGCTGAATGATGGGGGTGGAGATGCTCCTTCAGGTATATTGAGCTGAGGCCGTTTAGGGCTTTAAAGGTCAGCACCAACACTTTGAATTGTGCTCGGAAACATACTGGGAGTCAATGTAGGTCTTTCAAGACCAGTGTTGTGTGGTCTCGGTGGCCGCTCCCAGTCATCAGTCTAGCTGCCTCATTCTGGATTAGTTGTAGATTCCGGGTCACCTTCAAAGGTAGCCCCACGTAGAGCGCATTGCGGTAGTCCAAGCAGGAGATAACCAGAGCATGCACCACTCTGCCACTGGGGCATATAAAGGCTAATCTTGCAGGGCTCCTCTTTTTACAATATGGGAACTAAACTGCACTGCAAGGCAAATGTCTGGGGTGAGACTGTGGGGCAGATTCAACTCCTTCACCCCTATACCCCATTTTGACATTCACAATGAGGCAGGCAGGCACACTTTGCCAAGATGTGTGCTTAAATAAACATGGTTGCTGCCATCACATTTTGTTTGACCTTTGGTGCAATTAACTCTGCCATAGTTCTAGCTGAGTCGATAGCTGAATCGAGTTACTCCTAATTAAACCAGTGAAATCAATACTAGGGAGGAAATAGCTCCCCTGAACATGGCGTTAAGAGCAAAGCTGTCCTTTCCTCCTAAAAAAAGGTTCGCCTCTAATTTCCACTGGCTCTTCCAATATTAGAACCATTGTTTAATGTTTAGCAAAATAGCTATTTTGTGGACAGTGTGCTTGTGATATATTCGACTTTTTAGCCTCGAGGGAAACAATTGCAGCAAAGAAACACGCAGACATGTTCAGAGATCACCTGCACATGAAATCTTGCCGTTAGCTGAAACGAGGAATAAAGTTTTGGATGCAGAAGGCAGTAAAATATTGTTAACTCTAATAAAATCCATTTTTCAAGGAATATATAAAAAAAGGTGTAAAAGAAATTGCCCGGAGCAGAATTTTCATGGAGGGGTTGTAATTTATCTTGCCGTATATATTGAAAACTGGGCGTAGAGCTCATCTAGGGGTTTTAAGCTTTAGGCTTTAAAATCCGTTGAGATTTATTCTAAGTTCCCAGTTCTAAACTGCTAGGGATAGTTCACACTAACACTGAAGTACTAGCTAAGATATTAGATTACCTGGCTGTCTGGGGTTTTTTGGGGGGCGGTTATGTTTTATATCCTGGGACGCGGGTGGCGCTGTGGGTAAAAGCCTCAGCGCCTAGGGCTTGCCAATCGAAAGGTTGGCGGTTCGAATCCCCGCGGCGGGGTGCGCTCCCATTGTTCGGTCCCAGCGCCTGCCAACCTAGCAGTTCAAAAGCACCCTCGGGTGCTTACTAGTGGGAAGGTAAACGGCGTTTCCGTGTGTGGCTCTGGCTTGCCAGAGTAGCTTTGTCACGCTGGCCACATGACCCGGAAGTGTCTCCGGACAGCGCTGGCCCCTGGCCTCTTGAGTGAGATGGGCGCACAACCCTAGAGTCTGTCAAGACTGGCCCGTACGGGCAGGGGTACCTTTACCTTTACCTATGTTTTATATAAAAGTGACTGTAGGAACCCGCCTCGTAGCTAGTCAGCAAAATTGCACACCATTTTTGATGCTGTCTTTTTCTCCCCACAGAAGGCAGGTTGGAAGTCTTTCAGCAAAACAAACTTCTCTCTTCGATTCCTGTGTGGACAGCGTTTGGGGAGCTGGCCATTTTGTACAACTGCACAAGGACGGCCTCAGTGAAAGGTGTGTGCACTTAATCCCTCGAAATTTTGCAAAAGCAGAAAAGCAACCCTCTCCAGGCTGCTCTTTCCTGATAGAAGAGATTGTGGTGATGATGAGACAAACAGAGAAGAGCCGTACAGTGGCCATGTGGGGGTCTTGAGAGCCAGTGTGGTGTAGTGGTTAAGAGCGGTAGTCTCGTAATCTGGGGAACCGGGTTCGCGTCTCCGCTCCTCCACATGCAGCTGCTGGGTGACCTTGGGCTAGTCACACTTCTCTGAAGTCTCTCAGCCCCACTCACCTCACAGAGTGTTTGTTGTGGGGGAGGAAGGGAAAGGAGAATGTTAGCCGCTTTGAGACTCCTTAAAGGGAGTGAAAGGCAGGATATCAAATCCAAACTCTTCTTCTTCTACTTCTTCTTCTTGTGAGACAAAACCTGCAGCTTTGGGTTTGATGCTGCACAGCAAGGATGAGGAGCCAGATGTTGTTGAACTCTCATCAGCACCAGTGAGCATGACCAATAGCCAGCTAGCTGTCGTCCAACAACAGCTGAAGGACCCCAGGTTCCCCATCCCTGCTGTAGAGATTCTGAAGCACACCATCTGGTCGTCTCTAGCTATGGCTGCGAGGCCTTGGGCAGCGGAGGTTGGTGGAACAAGCAGTTGTGAGGGGATTTAGCAAATGGAATTCCAAAACTGGAGCAGCAGTTTGTGAGTGAAAGGGCAAAACAAGGTAGATCAGGGCTAGAGATGGGCAAATCTGTCAGTTTCAGTTTCTCAGTTTTTCAGCCCTCCACATTTCCACCTCAGTTTGCAAATTTATTTATTTTCTTTTTAAAAAGTCCCCCTGAAAATTCATCAGCATTCTAGTGCAAATTTCTCCCAGCGTACCTCTTTTTTGATGCAGTTTTGTCTAATATGCAAATTTGTGCAAAGCGTATTTTCCCTAATAAATATTAGGGAATGTTAATATTTTCTCTAATATAATGCACGTTTGCATGTCATTTTCAGTAATATATGCATTTATATGCAATTAACATATGCATTTTAGTATGCATTATATGACTGGAGAACCGCTCTGCAAAATTCAGAGGAGTGCAAATTTTGAAAGCCGGCTGCGTTTCAGTTCGCGCATTGTTTTGGGAAGTGTGATTTTGGTGGGTTCACCTTTAAATGATGCGGGTGGCGCTGTGGGTTAAACCACAGAGCCAAGGACTTGCTGATCAAAAGGTCGGTGGTTCGAATCCCCGCGACGGGGTGAGCTCCCATTGCTCGGTCCCTGCTCCTGCCAACCTAGCAGTTCGAAAGCACGTCAAAGTGCAAGTAGATAAACAGGTACCACTCCGGTGGGAAGGTAAATGGCATTTCCGTGCACTGCTCTGGTTCACCAGAAGCGGCTTAGTCATGCTGGCCACATGACCTGGAAGCTATGCGCCGGCTCCCTCGGCCGATAAAGTGAGATGAGCGCCGCAACCCCAGAGTCGGTCACGACTGGACCTAATGGTCAGGGGTCCCTTTACCTTTACCTTTAAATGAGAACTGAATCAAACTGAATCAAATTTTGGCTCTGTCCCTAATCAGGGAAGGCAGACGGACAGATATATGTGTCAGGCAGGCAGAGGCTAATCCAATAGGTGTGGAAAAACATCCCAGTAGTTTCCCATGACATGTTCCCAAACAAGACCTGGGAATGTTACATACAGAGGGATCTGATTGATGCATCATTTTCACTCTTGGATATGTGAATTCCAATAAAGAGGTTCCTACTGTCTGCTCTGAAGTAGCAACAGTTCCCTTCTCTGGCCTGTTGGTCAATGCATTGGCCCAGAACTCCTAGCTCCAGAAGCCTAGTTAGATTCTTGAAGGGAAAAAGCAGGCCCTGAGGATCTTTTTGCGTGTTCATCAGATGCAATTCATATTCAGAAAAGCGGCACGGAACAATTTCTGCTAATCTCATACAAGAGGCAGCACCATGCAGATTAGTTTATCTGCCATGACCACTTTCTATTTTGATTCTCGTTTGTTTTTTACGAAGTGCTTCTGAGTCGTCAGCTCGTTACAACCCCAGGTCAGGTTTTGAGCAGTTTTTAGTGCATGTTAATTAGGAGCCTTTGTCAACGTTTCTCCTTAGCATCCTAAGCACAACTCGGATGTTATTAACTTCTGGGAAGTATGAAGATTTCGGGGGGGGGGGTATTTGTATTTAGTAGCATGCATACATATTGCAGTGGGAATGAGAAGCCCTTTTGAGATTAGGGGGCAGCTTACCTTCTGGGCAATGTTCCAAGCGCCACACTCCAATGGCGAGCAATGCCAGAGGCAAAAATGGGTTGAGCAATAGGTGTCAATTTTACTTTTGTACAATGGGCCACTTTCTACACACACCTCTCTATCCTTCGTCCAGGCAAGCAGGAGTCATTATCATATAAGAAAGGAATATTCTCCACAGTATTAATAAGAAGGACTTTCAGTTTGTTTATATTTTATTCTTTCTCTGAAAAGCTCAGAGCAAAATACCAAGGGGCTATTTCATCCTTCCCCATGTAGGGGTGGACTGTGGTAATATACATAGCTGTCAACTTTTCCCTTTTCTTGTGAGGAATCCTATTCAAAATAAGGGAGTTTCCCTTTAAAAAAAGGGAAACATTGACAGCTATGGTAATATACCACCCTGTGCATTTGACACCCTACCCCCAGCCCTTGTGGCACCAGCTTAAGCTGGGCTTTGGGAAGGAGGCATGAGGCTCTGGCAGGATCCTAGAGCCCTCCCACCTCCTTCCTAAAGCTTGGTAAGAACTTGCCTGGCTTTGGGAAGGAGGAAGGAGGACTCTAGGACCCTGCCAGAGCCCTAATGCCTCCTTCCCAAAGCTGGGCAAGCGCTTACCCACTTACCAGGCTTTGAGAATGCACCCATCTTGGCTGCACACCCGGTGTGGCTGCAGGGCTCATACTGCTTTAAATCCATCTCTGCCCCACAGCAGCCCTATGTGGTAACTTAGACTGGGGGCCAGGAATGGACAAAGGCCACTGGGCATAGGAGGAATGGTGGAGACCACCTCCCCAGCCTGACCCTTCGAGAGAAGAAGAAGACAGTTCTGAATTACAACTGGAGTTTGAGGGAGGTCACAGCTCAGAAGAAGATGAGGGGCAAAGTTGGGAAATAATGGGAGAGGCGGAGGGGGCAGAGCCGGAGCAGCTGGCTGACATGTTATCACTAGAAAGCATTCCAGACCCACCATCTCCCAGAACCTGGTGAGCCTTAAAAGTAGGAGAGCAAAGGGCTTGGAGACAGATGGCCCTAAGCGGCAACCATAGAGGGGGTGGTGCTGTTGACGAATATAATAATAATTAATAATAATTTATTATTTATACCCTGCCCATCTGGCTGAGTTTCCCCAGCCACTCTGGGCAGCTCCCAGTCGAGTGTTAAAAACAATACAGCATTAAATATTAAAAACTTTCCTAAACAAGGCTGCCTTCAGATGTCTTTCAAAGATAGGATAGCTGCTTATTTCCTTCACATCTGAAGGGAGGGCGTTCCACAGGGCGGGCAACACTACCGAGAAGGCCCTCTGTCTGGTTCCCTGTAACCTCACTTCTCGCAATGAGGGAACCGCCAGAAGGCCCTCGGCACTGGATTTCAGAGTCTGGGCAGAACGATGGGGGTGGAGACGCTTCTTCAGGTATACTGGGCCGAGGCCGTTTAGGGCTTTAAAGGTCAGCACCAACACTTTGAATTGTGCTCAGAAACGTACTGGGAGCCAATGCAGATCTCTCTGCATTGAGGAAGTTAGGAGAGAAGGGGGTTGGAGCTTTACTGGGAGCAATGCCATTATCCCAAGAGGCTGCATTTCTAGGCCTTTCTCTGTGAATATTGAATAAAAAGCAGTTGGTAAGAACTTTCCTTGTCTTCTCCGTTCTTGGCAACCTGCTGTGGGGATTGGATCCTCTGACGCCTGACACCCATTTGAACACTATTTTCCTTATCCTGGCACTTTAACTCAGGGGTAGCTACTATGGTGCCTCCCAGTTTTTGTTGGACTCCAGTTCCCATAAACCTCACTCAGCAATCAAGGGTGATGAGACTAGTAGTCCCGCAAAATCTGAGATGCATCACCTTGGATCTGTCCCCTTGGAAGGCTCTGAGCTATTGTTAGTTCTTTACTATGAAATCCTGCTGAGAATGCCAATTATTCATTTACAGCATTTATAAGCTGTCCTGGAATAGAAATCGTCCAGGGTGAAACATGAGCAGTTGCTGTGTAAAATCATATCATCACACCAGCGAGGTGTGAAGCCGCCGGTTGCAGCTTCCCTTGCTGACAATTTCTGCTAGGAGAAGGTGATGCAAAAATCCCACTGTGAGTGTGACTGCATTCTCAGTTTCACGAAGAACCTCAGTCAATGTGCTCACTTCGGTGGATTTGCACTGGGTGTACCGGGGTGACTTTTTGTATGCTGTAGAATTGTTTAGCTTCTTAATTTTGCTTTTCTTCCCCACTTGTTCCTAAAGCTGTCACCAGCGTGAAAACATGGGCATTAGACAGAGAGGTTTTCCAGAATATAATGAGGAGGACAGCACAAGCAAGGCATGATCAATACAGAAACTTCCTCAGAAGGTAAACAAAGCATACACTTGTTTTCTCAGAATAGATTTATTGCTGCATTTAGTGGGGAGAGTCTGGTGCATTTAGATACATTGACTTCATTTAGGCATGATGTTACACTGTGGTTTAGTATTAGGAGAATCCCCCTAGCTTGACCTGAGCTTTCAGCCTTTCCATGGCTGTGAGGAGGAAGTCAGAAGCTACCAATTCTGTTTTATATTAACCACTGTTTAGCGTGTCATCTGAACCCTAAACTGTGGTTAAATTTAACTGTGGTCAATGAAAAAATGCCAGCTTCCTAAACTACAGTGGTACCTCGGGTTAAGTACGTAATTCGTTCCGAAGGTCTGTTCTTAACCTGAAACTGTTCTTAACCTGAAGCACCACTTTAGCTAATGGGGCCTCCTGCTGCCGCCGCACCTCCAGAACATGATTTCTGTTCTCATCCTGAAGCAAAGTTCTTAACCCGAGGTACTATTTCTGGGTTAGCGGAGTCTGTAACCTGAAGCGTATGTAACCCGAGGTACCACTGTACTCAGATGATATGGCAAGCTATGGTTAATGAAAAACAGAAGTGATTGCTTCTGAATTCATCCTCGGGGCAATGGCAGAAAAGGGTGGAACTCAGGGGGAAGATTATGCTCAAAACATTAAATTAGCTTGGCAGCACTTCCAGATTGCTGCTGTTTTGGGGTGGGATTCAGACACATAATGCACAATTACTGTTTATTGGGACGTCTTGCACAAAAATCCTTCTCCCCACAAATATTGGACTTTTTGTGAAAATGAAAATGATGGGAAAATTTACTGGATAGTGCATCAATGCTTGCTTTGACACATTGTCTGCAAACAAATCAGAATGAATGCTCCATAAATTAGGGTTGCCATATGTCCTCTTTTTCCAGGACACATCCTCTTTTACATGGGTATGTAAAATAAGAGTCGTCACAGCGATCCATAGTTAAAAGTAGAAGTTGGCAAATGTGTCCTCTTTTTTGCTCTTCAAAATACAGCAACCCTACATTAAATAGTCCACATTGTCTCGACTCCCTGCAAACGAATCTGGATGAATGTTGAATAAACAGGTCATCTGGAAGAAGCCTAACTGTATATTATTGAAAATAAGCAGAGATCCAAGATTATCAGTCAGTCATTCAATCCTCTTGTTTTTAGATGGCAGAGCCTTGGGACAGATTGCCAAGTAAAACTTCTCTAGCAATTCAGATTTGAATGTTTTTATTTAATTCCTTACTGCAAGCTTGCTTTGACATCAAGTACCCACTTAATGCCTCACTGATTGCGGGTGAAGTATCTGCAAGTCTGCCATGGACATTTACTGATTTCAATTACATCTATATTTAGTAAATAAAGTCAATGAGGCAGACACAGCAATATGTCTTGAGAGCAGGCTTGCTGACTGAGAAAATTTTATTTACAGAATTTCTTGCTGGCCTTAGGGCAGGTTACTATAACACAATGGTACAGTATTAAAATCAGATTGAAAATTGTATTAGAAGGCCAGATTTCTTGCAGGTATTTTGATTTTCTCTTGTAGCCCACAACTTGTGCGGCTCTATATTCAGAGATAGAAAGGCTATCAGTGACAATGTTCTCCTTCCATTGTATGCTTCAGAATACCAGTTGCTGGAAATCACAAGGAGAGTGCCGTTGCCCTCAGGTTTTGCTCAGGGGCTTCCTGTAGGCATCCGGGCTTCGAATCCACGGTGCTGAGATCAAGAATCTAATGCTCTACTAACTGAGCTATCCTCTACCATATCTGATCCAGATATGATCAGATCTGATTAAGATGGGCTGGTGTTTTGATGCAGCGATACCAAAGAAGGATGTCATGAATGCCAGAATGACCAGCTCTAGTGCTTTATTAAAGAAAGGTGTAAACTTACAACAAAGCAGGCAGGAAAACCCCCCTGTCTTTACAGACACAGCACGGACACCGCAACAGGGAGAGGTTGTTGCGACTTGCCCTCACCCAGGCAAATGTGTACAGTGTTACCTCTGGTTACGTACTTAATTCGTTCCGGAGGTCTGTTCTTAACCTGAAACTGTTCTTAACCTGAAGCACCACTTTAGCTAATGGGGCCTCCCGCTGCTGCTGCACTGCCGCCGCCCGATTTCTGTTCTCATCCTGAAGCAAAGTTCTTAACCTGAAGCACTATTTCTGGGATAGCGGAGTCTGTAACCTGAAGCGTATGTAACCTGAGGTACCACTGTACAGTGGTACCTTGGTTCTCAAACTTAACCCGTTCCAGTAGTCCATTTGACTCCTGAAACTGTTTGAAAACCAAGGCACAGCTTCCGATTGGCTGCAGGAGCTGCGTGTCAGACGTTCGGCTTCCAAAAAACGTTCGCAAACCAGAACGCTTACTTCCGGGTTTGTGGCATTCGGGAGCCAATTTGTTCAGCAACTAAGCCATTTGGAAACCAACGTACCACTGTACATTGCTCATACAAAGATCAACATACGTCAGCTTGGCCAGAACTTTCCATCAGTCCATGCGGGCATAAGTGGCAACTATTCAAGGCAGACGAAAAGCTACATTCTCTGGGCCAAGAGCCCAGCATTCCAGGACCCCCAGATAAGCATAGCACCAAAGCATGTCAATTAGCGTATATCCACACAAGTGAATATAAACTTATATATGAGCTCATTCTTATAACTACCAAATAGTTTTGGGATTATCTTGACTACCAAGATGGAGTCTACAGGCCTTCTGGGACAGTCTCAGCTTTGGGTCAAGTCAGCTGTTCTTACGTGATGCTCCTTGTATATATTGTTGAAAGCATTTCAAGTGTGTGTGTGGGCTTGTGCAGGGAAGAGAATTTCAGGGCCAAATTACATGCGATATTAGCTTGTCCCTCCAAAATAAAAGGACAATATAAAGCACACTTGCTTTTAATATGCGACTAACCTCAGTAGGACGCGGGTGGCGCTGTGGGTTAAACCACAGAGCCTAGGACTTGCTGATCAGAAGGTCGGCGGTTCGAAACCCCACGACGGGGTGAGCTCCTGTTGCTCGGTCCCTGCTCCTGCCAACCTAGCAGTTCGAAAGCACAAAGTGCAAGTAGATAAATAGGTACTGCTCCGGTGGGAAGGTAAACGGTGTTTCCATGCGCTGCTCTGGTTCGCCAGAAGCTGCTTAGTCATGCTTGCCACATAACCTGGAAGCTGTCTGCAGACAAATGCCGGCTCCCTCAGCCTATAGAGCGAGATGAGCGCCACAACCCCAGAGTCATCTGTGACTGGACCTAATGGTCAGGGGTCCCTTTACCTTTAACCTCAGTAGATCTCTTATTTCTGTCACAACTATTTAGCGACATATCTCTTTAAGTAAGCAGGTAACTTAAATAATAACAAAATATTCCATTATAACTACATGGTGTTGAAAGCACTGAAAAACACATTTTTCAGGGGTATATTTTCAATTATTTAGCTCACGTTGGTTCTCCTGTGCTACTGCTAAGCCTTATATCAGTAGCCCCTACCTGAGCATCATTCACTTGCTCTTTTAGTCGCTTGGATAATTTCTGTTTTGAGAGTTATCATGCATAATATCCTTTTGGATTGGGAGAAGTATTCATTTTATTTTGGTCATAAAATTTATACACCACTTGATTGTAAGAACCCTAAAACGTAACAATAACTAAAGAGAACCCAGCTACCCCAACAATAAATGTCTACAACAGGAAAGCTGAAACTGTGTATAGGAGTTGAAACTCTACATACAAGTTGAATTAAATGCAATCCTTTGATATTTATCTTTCAAAGTGTTTCTCTGCTGAAGAATCTACCTGAAGATAAACTGACAAAGATTATAGACTGCTTGGAAGTGGTAAGTAGTTTTATACCCAGTGGCACGGGCTTCCAATGAGATCTCTTGTATTCTGTTTTAAAGCTTCAGGAAAAATCCTATATGACAGACAGCAGTTAACCTGGGATTGCGTGGTATAAAATAATGTGTTGTAGATTCACATCCACTTTAAGTAACTGGCAGAATCCAGCTGGTGCGCTTGTGCTCTACCAAAGGGCTTTTGATCCTGCAGTGCCTCTGGAAAATCAGCTCCAGAGAGTTGAGGGGACCCTCTGGAAGAAGATAGAAAGTGGGCCACACTTTCAGTAGAAGGTGGCATGGGGGGCCAGGGGAAGGGAAGATTGGAAAAATACTCCTCTTCTGTTAGCTTCCATTGGATCAAAAACCTTTTGATCAAGAGTTCAAGGGCACTAATTGGTTGTGCTCTCATTGCCGCAAGGGAAATGGGCAGATTTTGCTGTCTATTCCTATATATGTTTACTCGGGGGTTGGGGACACACTCCCTAATAAGCAGGTATAGAACAGTAGGCCAAGTGGCTGAACTTTAACTAAAATCACCAAATATTCCAGAAGAGCAAGACTATGTCCTACCTGTGGCACTGGAAAGTCAGCATGTTAGTAGGACAGCTAAGCCTAGTTAGTTATGATAATTTTCTATTCGCAGAGCTGTTGTTTTTATGTTGGGGAATATTTCAAAAATTGCAGTTGCACAAAGAAGTGATGACTGACGGTGTGGGAAATCTGTTTTTAGCTGACTGTAGTGTGGTCACAAAAATGACCATATTACTGGGCTTGTGTTTCTCAGACAGTGACCACATCCACATCATATATCAAGAGCAGTGCAGCACAATTTAAATAATAATAATATTTATTTATTTATTCATATATACAGACATACATACATACATACATACATACATACCCCCACCCATCTGGCTAGGTTTCCCCAGCCATTCTGGGTGGCTTCCAACAAAATATTAAAATATAATAATTCATCAAATATTAAAAGCTTCCCTAAACAGGGCTGCCTTCAGACGTCTTCTAAAAGTCAGGTAGTAGTTTATTTCTTTGACATCTGAACTAACAGAACTGTACAACAGGGGCAAAGCAACTGGTTATATATATTTCTGAAGGCCTGGGCCACTCCCACTCCACAGAGCGGGCAGGCGCCACCACCGAGAAGGCCCTCTGCCAGGTTCCTGGTTTTAAACTATCATGGCTATGATTCCTGGTTTTAAACTATCATCCCAAAGAATCATGGGAACCGCAGTTTGTTAAGAGTTGTTCCCCTCAAAATGCTTCAGTTCCCAGAGTGGTTTAGCAATCAATCCTTCTTCCCAGGGAATTCTGGGAATCATAGCTTTGTGTGGGGAATAGGGGTCTCCTAACAACTCTCAGCACCGTTAACAAGTTACAGTTCCCAGGATTCCACAAAGCTAAAGTGGAATTCTGCTGTTTTAAATGTATCGCAAGGATGCGGTCAGTAACACCCGCAAATCACATCGCTTGCGGCGAGAAGCATGTGGATTTTGCTGTTCCAAGAAGACTTTGTGCGTGCGAGCCCCAAGGAGCGCTTAAAATAGCTCTTGACATTATGGCAATTATCTGTAACGAAATACTTGCTGTGATGAAACTTATGGAAGCCAGCCTTTCCTCCTCTGTGTATCAAGTAACCAGAATTAATGGAGTAGCGATAGTGACTGATAAAAACTGTACAGAGCTGTCTAGAACAAATACTAGATTTTTCTCTTCACTGCTCAGTTTTCCTTCTTTAGTTATAAAAATATAACAAGATCCTGCAACTGGAATAATTATTTGAAACCTAAAATTATTAGTAGGGTTTTTATTCCTTTGCTCTTGCTTATGTATTTGTCATTGTAAATGAGCAGGCAGTTTTATGTGTGAACAGCTCTGGGCATATTGGTTTAATGCACACTTTATGGCATTGCAAGTATATGGCTTTATTCTCCGGTAGAACAAATGAGCAGGAAATGGATCTCATTTAGCGCTTTATATCTCCAATCCTGAATGCCATTTACTTGGAAGTAAATGTGCCGTTTAATTTCAGTGGAACTTATTTCTGCAGAAGAGTGTTGCAGAGTGATTTGGCAAGGATTAGGAAATGTAATTTGAGAGACATTCAAAATATTTTGAGCAGGATCCGTGCTCAGCCTTTGTCTGATCATCGATACCTGCCTCCCCCTCTTTCCTTTCTTTCCCTTTTTTTGCTAATGCCTTATCATGAGCGATCTGAATTTCTTCCAAAGTTCACAACGCACTCCTTCCATTTGACAACACCTCCATCGGAACAATAGTCTGGCACAGACTGTTTGTAGGGCTGGCCAGACCACACAAACAGCCCTAACAATATTGGCGGTTCTGAATACTTTTTAGGGAAGTTGAAGTGTAGGTGGGCTCCCACCAGGCAAGACAAAGTGATAACAGCAAGAACCTTTATTAAACTAACAGAACTGGACAACAGCGGCAAATCAACCGGTTATATACATTTCTGAAGGCCTGGGCCACTCCCACTCCCAACGTGATTGGCTGTCTAGACTGCCAAGCTCCAAATCATAACTCAGAGTTTAAGGGCCAATGGCAGAGGCCCAAATCCTAAAATGTTCTGTGATTGGATATCATGTATCCAATCAGAACACAGGGGCTCAGAATCCTTAGTGCAGACTCAAGCTCAGGCAAACACAGACCACTGAATACATAGCAGAAGTCATGGCAGTTCTTGTGGCCTGAGATTTTTGAAAGAGGAGCAGAACATGGGTGTATAATAATGATAACAGTAGTCACCTCACCTTTCTGTAGCTGCTTTGTATTGGTGGAAGGGTTGTGGCTCGGTGGTAGAGCATCTGCACTGTAGGGCTGGGTGATATCTGGTCCTCAACATCATGCTATATCACCAGCTGAGCATTGTGATATACTGATATATCGCAATGTCTGAAATAAGGATGGAGCTATGTGGAGGCATTGGCTGGCTTCACGGTTGCTCCTACATTGTGATATTTGCCGACGCCTGCTCTTGTGATTTGAATGGGACGAGGGTGGCACTGTGGGTTAAACCTCAGCGCCTAGGACTTGCCAATCGCATGGTCGGCGGTTCGAATCCCAGCGGTGGGGTGCGCTCCCGTTGCTCGGTCCCAGCGCCTGCCAACCTAGCAGTTCGAAAGCACCCCCGGGTGCAAGTAGATAAATAGGGACCGCTTACTAGCGGGAAGGTAAACGGCGTTTCCGTGTGTGGCTCTGGCTCACCAGAGTAGCTTCGTCACGCTGGCCACGTGACCCGGAAGTGTCTGCAGACAGCGCTGGCTCCCGGCCTCTAGAGTGAGATGAGCGCACAACCCTAGAGTCTGTCAAGACTGGCCCGTACGGGCAGGGGTACCTTTACCTTTACCTGCTCTTGTGATTCACTGCCCCCTGCATGAAGCAGGGGAGAGCTGTGCTGGCAGAGTTAACAGGAGCTGCAAGAATCAAAAGGAGCATTGATTGGCTTCACATTTCCCCCCACATTGTGATTTTTTGCATAGCGCACATACACACACCATGATTCGCAATATATTGCCAGGTCAAAAATTATGAAACCAATATCACAATATGGGCCTCAAACCAGTTTTGGACGATATATCACCCACCCCTTCTGCACTGCATACAGAAAGTTCAATCCCTGGCATCTCCAGATATAGTCAGGAGATAACCCTGCCTGAAACCCTAGGCAGTTGCTGCCAGTCTGTGTTGACAGTACTGAGCTAGATGGACCAGAGGTTTGAATCAGTGCAAAGCAGCTGTAAGGCAGCCTTCGCCAATCGGGTGCCCTCCAGAAGTTCAAAACTACAATTCCCATTAGCTACTGCCAGAGCAGCCATGTTGGCCAGGGCTGGTGGTAGTTATAGCCCCAAAGAAATAATCTGAGATGCTACCTATTCGTATTAGTGAGCTACTGAGTTGTTTGGATGCAGAATAAATATCCCATTTACTGCTTCTGTCAACTTCATGTGCCATTTTTCTCAATGCGGCTGCATTTGAGCTGAGGCCAAAACAAGCTCATACTGTCTGTTTGCCTAGACACACATTTTTGCCACTGTATTTCTCTTACACCTCAACTTTGAAGGTTTCCAGGGACGGCAGCCAACGATGACTCAGGTTCTTATTTAAAGGTTGACTTTTAAAGGTAACAAGGCAGGAGGGGATAATGCTAATGAAGGGTGAGATTTTTCAGAGAGGAGAGGAGCGTCTGCCAGGAAGGAGGAAGTAGTCTGGATGAATCTTTGTGGGGTGCTACATAATAGCATTTGGAGTCTGGGGGAAGAAAGGAAAGCTCTTATCCCCACCGCCACCACACTGCATTTAGGTGCACTCTGGCTTCCCATGAGTATCTGGTCAGCCACAGTGAGAACAGGATGCTGAGCCAGCAGTGCCCTTCATATGCAATTCCCCTACATAATAGGCTGCCCTGCATACTGTATTTTTCACTCCATAAGACACACCTGACCATAAGACTCACCTAGTTTTTAGAGGAGGAAAACAAGAAAAAAAATATTCTGAAAGGAACAGTGGGTGTATGATTTTTGTGGTTCATGCTGTGGCCACAGACATGCTATGTGATTTGACGGTGAGTTTGGGATAGCCCAATGCAAAAATCCTGAGGATCCATGTGGATCCGTGCTTTGTAACTACGTTTTTGTGCCATTGTGGCCCCACAAAACAGTGGATGTGTGATTTTTTTGGTGCAGACTGTAGCCATGGACATGCTATGCGATCTGATGGTGAATTTGGGCTGACCCAATGCAAAAATCCTGAGGATCCATGTGGATCTGTGCTTTGTAACCACGTTTTTGTGCCATTGTGGCCCCACAAAACAGTGGATGTGAGATTTTTTTGGTGCAGGCTGTAGCCATGGACATGCTATGTGATCTGATGGTGAATTTGGGGTGACCCAATGCAAAAATCCTGAGGATCCATGTGCTTTTACCTCCCCACTCCCAGGCAGCCTCCTTTATTGCTAGCGTCCCTTATCTCCCTCCTGATCGCTTGCTCAGTGGTTTCGTTTCAACACCCCCTTCCCTTTTTCTAAAAAATAAAAAGCACAATCTGCTTTTCACCCCTGGGCAATTTGGCTCCAGGGACTACGCATTCACTCCATAAGATGCACAGACATTTCCCCTTACCTTTAGGAGGGAAAAAGTGTGTCTTATGGAGCGAAAAATATGGTAATTTGCCCCAGGTCACACCCTGCCCAGCTATACCTCCCTAACCTTTAAGTCACAGTGGTATGGCTGCAATGCAGAGGAATTCAGGCTGTTGGGCTGGATGCTTGATCCTTGTCCAGCTGCCACTATCAGCAGCTGTAGCCTCTTCGGAATTTGCATGATCTTACCTGCTCAGAAGCATTCTGCTGCCCAGTTGCAGGAAGTCTGCAAGGAAGTTTGCAGTTATGTAACACTGGGATTATCCCTGCTTGAAAGGTGTATACCCCAATCCACCTGTGCCTTCAGCAGACTGAATAATTCAACCTTTTTATCTGGCTCTGAACTGTAGGGATTGGTATGAATTTAAATAATTGTCTGTATTAAAACCTACACGCTTGACAATGTTCTTTAAAATGCTGGTGGTCCCCCCCCCCCCTTCGGCCCCTGAAAGGCTCTGAATGTGTTGCTACATCCTCTTATAATCTGCATTATTTCTGTCCCCTAGGAATACTATGACAAAGGTGATTATGTTATTCGGGAGGGAGAGGAAGGAAACACCTTCTTTGTTATATCCAAAGGGAAGGTAAGTTGCCACTGAAAATGCACAGGTATATTTGCCAAAGGGTAGGAGCATGAAGGTTTGTTTGGTTTCAATCACAACAGATGACTATTCTGCCCCTTCCAAGGACGTGAGTGATACTGAAATGAAGGTCACAGTTAGGGGAAGAGGAGAATTTGGTTTACTCTTCCTTTTTAAGCCAACCAATCGAATTTGCAGCTTGTGCACCAATAATACACAGATTTTAAACATAATTATCCTTTGGATTTCTGTGAATTCTGCAACACACTTTTCTGCTCGAAGAGTCTACCAAAGAACATAAAAATGTGTGTTTTAGGATGAAATAGTTGTAGAAATGAATACTTAAAATATGCTCAGGCAGCGATGATTTTAGGCACATGCACATCAGGCCAAACCTGGAAATGACCCCAAAAGTCACACAAACATCACAAAAAGGGGTGGAACAGGGCAGAATGCGGTGGGGTGGGACAACACAGGAGCAGAGCATTTTAAAGCTTTTCCCCATGGTGTTTCAAAGATATGCGATTTCACCTAGGTGCAGTGCCTTGGAACATAACCCCCACACAAATTAGTAGTTGACTGTATTTGAAATACATATATTAAATACACATGTATAAAATATGTATTTAAATATGTATGTTGTGGTAAAATATACATTTGCATGCTTTTTTTTTAGACAACAAACAATACAAGCAACATATTCTCATGACCACTGCTCCTTGTGCATTTTTCTAATCTATGGGTTGTGCTGAAGAAGATTCCAGCGAAACAATCAGATTATCCAGGATCACTGTCCTACATTGTTATTCACTTACTACTTCGGCACCATGAACACCTAAAAAAAGTTTTACCGCTTAGCCCACAGGATAGCATCTATTACTTTGTTTCAACCATACTTATTATACTTCTACGGACTTTCAAAGATTGACAGACGTGTGTTCATTTGATTTCAAATATATTAGAGAATTTACAAGTGTACACATTTTGTTTTTGTTGTACTAAATCATGTATATTATGCAATAAGAATTGCAGTGCTTTCTAGTATACTGGTCTTCGTGTTGCTTGTATTGTTTGTTGTGTTAAGTTTGCAACACAGGGGTTCGTTGTTCTGTATTGCTTTTTTTAAGGGCTGTATATGGAGCTGCCCTTGAATATGAATCAGAAACTTCAATTAGTCCAAAATGCAGCAGCCAGAATATCAGCTGGGGTTCCATTTAGATATCATATAACCCCATTTTTAAAACAGCTCCATTGTTGCCAGTTCGTTTCTGACCTGATTGAAGGTCAGAAAGATCCCATCCTCTGCTCCTTAGACCTTATTGGGTGCTGAGATCAGCAGAGGGGGCCCTCTTAGAAGTTGCTCCACCCCCAGAGACTTGGGGGGTTGCCCAGGAAAGGGTCTTCCTGGTGGTGGCCCCTAAGCTGTGGAGTTCCTTCCTCACAGAGGTGTGTCTGGCACCTTCATTGTACAGCTTCCAGCTAATGATGAAGATGCACCTCTTTACCTTGTTTTTTGACACTTGAGGAGTATATTTTAGGACCCACTTTATTTGGGGAGTTGCAAGTTATTTTAAACTGTTTTTTAATATTATGTTTTAATGTTGTAACCCACCCTGGGACCTTGGGGTGTAGGGTCGGTAATCAATAATAACAACAAGTGCTGGATGGCAAAGTGAAAATACAGCTGTATGTGCCCAAGGTTTTACGTATGCCCAAGATAACTGTGGGTTAAACCACAGAGCCTAGGGCTTGCTGATCAGAAGGTCGGCGGTTTGAATCCCCGTGACGGGGTGAGCTCCTGTTGTTCGGTCCCTGCTCCTGCCAACCTAGCAGTTCGAAAGCATGTCAAAGTGCAAGTAGATAAATAGGTACCGCTCCAGCGGGAAGGTAAACGGCATTTCTGTGTGCTGCTCTGGTTCGCCAGAAGTGGCTTAGTCATGCTTGCCACATGACCCGGAAGCTGTACGCCGGCTCCCTCGGCCAATAAAGCGAGATGAGCGCCGCAACCCCAGAGTCGGCCACGACTGGACCTAATGGTCAGGGGTCCCTTTACCTTTTAAGATAACTGTGGAGCCCAGCCAAAGCCTTCAAAAGCTTCATTTGAAAAACAGAACCAAATATTTCCTTTTTTTATGCAGAGGGCGAAGGGACTTAATCAAAAAACATTTATGTGTTAACTATCGGGGAACGAGCAGCTCAGCCGACATGCCGGAATAGACACAGATGGCGCATTACCAGTTGGCAAGCGCCAGGGATAAACACGTCTGCAGTTCGCTCAGAGAAAGCAAGCAAATATGTGCTGGCAGGAATCAGTCTGTGTTGGGCACATCTCAGGCGATTTGCTTATTGAATCTGGGAGCTGGCAAATCTGGGAACGGATTGGGCTTCCTGCAAGATATTTCATCGTGTTGTGTTCAGTGGGTTCCAATCTACAATCAAATGCTGTTGTTTTTTTAAAAGGGGGGACTAGGGAACCTGTGTCGTTTCAGGTGCTGATGAACTCTTATCAGCCTCAGTCAGCATGGGTGATAGCAGACGGATGGCGAATAGGACCCAAAAGGCAGCAGTCTGATTGGTCCTAGAACAACACGATTCAGAATGCAGCAGTCTGATTGGTCCTAGAACAATAGGATTCAGAACGCAGTAGTCTAATTATTAGATGTTTTGCAATATATAGTTGCAATACATAATTACGACGTAACAACAGTAGTCATAAACAATAAATAAAACATCAGGAAATACACAACCACAGTTCCACATAAATCATAATAAGATCTAAATTACAGATACCAAAAATTAATCTCAATAACAGCAACAACCCCAAACCGACAAAGAACACTAAACAATAGCTCAGTTCAAGAATGGTGGTTCTTGTTGATAAACTAGGATGATAAATTGTATGGGTGATGAAACAACTGTGGCCACATTCATGCCACATATTTAAAGCACAATAGCAGCACTTTGCTTCCCTCCCAAAATCTGGGAGCTTTAGTTTGTTAAGGGTGCTGAGAGTTGTGAAGAGAGCGCTGTTTCCCTCACAGAACTTCAGTTCCCAAAGTGGTTTAACTCTCAACCCTGCTTCACAAGGAGCTCTGCGAATTGTAGCTCTGTGAGAATACAGGTCTTCTAACAACTCTCTGCATCCTGAACAAACTACAACTCCCAGGATTCTTTGGGGGAAGCCACGACTGTTTAAAGTGCTACTGTGGTGCTTTAAATGTATGGTGTGAACGTGGCCTTGGTATCATTGTATTTGCATTTGACAAGTGATTGTGTAACATGTAGCCCTCCAAATCCTAGGTTAAGGTTACCCAAACTGCAGAAGGTCAGACACAGTCTCAGCTCATTAAAACGCTGCAGAAAGGAGATTACTTTGGAGAAAAGGCCCTCATCAGGTGAGTTGAAAATTACATTTTAAAATCGCTAGCATTCACATTTGCTTCTAACAGTGTTTATTATGCGGGATGGCTGAGGGGTTCAGGAGCAGGACTTGGGAATATGAGTCTTAGGCACAATCCTAAGGGGGAAATTGACTAACCATTTTGCCCTAAAAATAATGAATATTTAACAAGAAGTGCCAACGAAAGAAGAGTGGCAGATGAAAATGATGGAATTTGCAGAACTGGCGAAGCTGACGGGAAAAATCTGAAACCAGCATGATCAAGTATTCCAAAACATAGCTGTCAACTTTTCCCTTTTCTTGTGAGGAATCCTATTCGGAATAAGAGAATTTCCCTTAAAAAATGGAAAACATTGGAGTAAATTTATACAATATTTGAAAGATCATTGTAAGCAATTGACAACACTAGTAGAGATATCTGAAGACTTGTAATGAGAAACTTTTTACCTTTCTATATTTATTTAAACTGCGAGGTATTTTGTAATGAGTTATATTAGAACTGGAAAATATATAAAATGCTCTGATATAAAGGTTATTTTTGAAAGCCAAGAGGCAGGAGGGAACGAAGTTGACAGGCTCTAAAGAGCCAAACATGTAAAGTGGATAATAATGATGTGATTATATATGTTTAAATGGAAAATTAATGAAAAAAATTTAAAAAATAAAAATAATGAATATTTGTGCTGCCCATTTCCCCCACTGATTTATCCTCCCACAACCTGCAGCCTGAGTCTCTTCAGTTTCAGTTGTATTTAAGTGTTCTGCTGTGATTTGAGGGTCCTTTTTCTACAATGAAGCGGTATATAAACTGTTATCAAATAAATGAGGTTTTAGCTTCCACTATGATCCATCATGGGAGGGTGGGGGGCAGGTGAGCAGTGGCATCCCCCCCCCCACTGGTGCTGTGTTCAATGGGACAGGGGTCAGTGTGGTGTAGTGGTTAAGAGCGGTAGTCTCGTAATCTGGGGAACCGGGTTTGCATCTCCTCTCCTCCACATGCAGCTGCTGGGTGACCTTGGGCCAGTCACACTTCTCTGAAGTCTCTCAGCCCCACTCACCTCACAGAGTGTTTGTTGTGGGGGAGGAAGGGAAAGGAGAATGTTAGCCGCTTTGAGACTCCTGAAGAGGAGTGAAAGGCGGGATATAAAATCCAAACTCTTCTTCTTCTTAAGCATATGCGGCGCTGGGGTGCAAAGATCCAGGCCACCCAGGTTGCCGAGTCCCAGATGCGCAGGAGGGCGGAGTCGGCCGGCCACCACAGCGTCTCACTGGCTCAGTTGCCCCCAAACTTGCAGCGCAGAGCCGCCCACAGCAGAAGAGCCCACCGCGGCGCTCCGACCGGCGGGCGGGTTCTTCCCTGGACTCAACTCTCGGGCCCCGGACTCTTGGCCTAGTGCCTCTGAGAGCCCAGCGCCCAGGTGCCCCGCACCCCTAGCACCTATGGGTAAGACGGCCCTGACAGGGGTGGAGCAAGGGATCTGTGAGGTTGCAAAATCTTGGGTTGGTGTCTTTGGTCTCCTGCAGGCTGCCGCTGCCAGCTCAGGGTTCCCGTAACCTTGCCACCACTGCACCTCAAGCCTTTCCTAGCGAGCTCAGCACCTCTGGGAGATCTGTCCTGCTGTTCTGTCCTCCTCATGCACCACTTCTGCCAATTGTACGCAAGCTGACATCTAATACGCCACTTTTTAATATCTCTGCATTGGACAGAACAATTTAGACAGTGTGATGCCTTGACTTATTTCCGTTTGCAGTGACGACGTCAGGTCTGCTAATATAATTGCCGACGAAAACGACGTGGAGTGCCTTGTCATAGACAGAGAGTAAGTGGCATCTTTGTGACTTTGTGCTCCCCACAGTCAAACAGCTCTTGGCATTAGAAAGTTCTTCCTAATGTTTAGTCAGAATCTTCCTTTCTTGTCATATGAATCTATAGCTTCATGTCCTACCCTCTGGAGCATGGGTAGGCAAACTGAGGCCTGCGGCCGGATCAGGCCCAATTGCCTTCTGGATCCGGCCTGTGGACAGTCTAGGAATCACCGTGTGGATTGCCAGCATGCGCACATTCTTTCCCTCTCCCTCCCTCTCCCTCACACGGCGCCGCCTCCTCCTCCTCCCTCCCTCCCTCCCTCCTCCTGACTTCTCCCCGCCCTGCCTAGAGGAGGAAGGGGACTGGACTTTGTTAGTGCCAGCAGCAGCAGCGCTCAAATGGCCACCATTTTAAGCAGCCCCTCTCCGGAGCCCTTTCGCGCACCACTCATCATCCCGCCGCCAGCCCCTGCTGCTCACAAGACACAGGTAAGCAGCCACCGGGGCTCCTGGTGCTCTTGCATCATTTGTTTTCCTTTCCAAAATATAGTCCGGCCCCCCCACAAGGTCTGAGGGACAGTGGACCGACCCCCTGCTGAAAAAGTTCACTGACCCCTGCTCTGGAGCAACAGAAAACAAGCTTGCTCCATCTTGAAGTTGGCTATCATGTCACCTCTCAGTCTTCTCTTCTCGGGGCACAATTAGCGCTGCTTCCATTCCGCTGCAGTTTGGTTTCCGCTAAATATTTTGTTATTTGTCTGCTATTTGATGTAAAGTCATGTAGCTTAGGTAACCTTTTACTTCAACATAAATGAAACAGCAAAACAATTTTTTTAATAAAAAAAACTAAGTAACTACTTATTGTTTGAGAAAACAGCAACAATGATGCAAACAATTACAAACTGCACACACTCGACTGATTTCCATTCCTGAGCCCAGGTGAACACACAGACTGCAAGAATTTTCACTTCCGTTTCTGGTTTTGTTGCAATTCCCCGACATTCCTACTAAAGGCGCAGAAAGTCCTGTTGTTGGTTGTAGGAGAGATTTAAACACATACTTCATACCTTTCAAAAGCAGTGAGTCCATCAAAAGCTGATTCCTGGATCGTATCCGAAATAAGTAACTTCCACTAAGTCCCTTTTCTCTCTCTGCCACCCTCTTCTCTCTCCTGCCTGTCCCAGACACCCTGTTTACCAAACATCCATCCTGGTTTGTTTGCACAAAGTGTGGGCACATTTGAGGATGTCAGTTATTTACTGAACATTCATTCTCATTCGTTTGCGGGATGAGTTATATGATGTTGACTCAAGCAAATGTTATCTCACTTTTTCCAATGCATTTTCCCACCCCTGTCCTTATCATAAAATGTTCAGGTTTGTTGCACAAGAGCACAAAATAGACTTTAATTCCACAACCTGAGTTTGCCAGTGTGCTAAATCATTCGTGGGAGATGAGGTTTCCCAAAAGACTGCTTATCCACAAACTGCTCATTTCTTCAAATCAACTTTAATCGCACACCCTGAGTTTGCCAGTCCCATCTGAAAATAGTGACAGTTTGGAAACATCCCCGTTCCATCCTCGTACCTCTCCATGTCTGTCTGTCTGTCTGTCTGTCTGTCTGTCTGTCTCTGTCTCTCTCTGTACCATCCTTTCTCTCTCTCTCTCTTTCTGACACACCCTTCTCTGCCTGTTTCTTGTCAAACCGCTCTTGTTTTTGCAGTCAGCAAATATAGGAGGTTGATGAAGTTCCCTGCGGACCACGCTACATAGTGTGGTGATGTGAGTTCAGCTTGGTGGGTCAGAAGTTGTGAAGGCCTGCCATAGAGTGTTAATTTCCTATAATTGCATTCAAGCAGGTGCAATCAGTTTTTTTGTTTTGTTTTAATTGGTTTTTATTAAATATTTTCTTGTGTTACAAAAGCAAACAAATAAACAAGGAAAACAGTGTCTCCATTTTCAATTAATGGAGTCTTTTTCACAGTTTGATTACATTTGGTACGAGACACTATTGTCATAGACACCATGCGGTTGTGGGGGAAAGAAAGTGGGGAGAGAGAGGTATGGAGGGCTAATGTTATTTCATTCTATCACATAGTGTTTGTGTAGGGTTTTGTAATAGATGTAACTCCAGAACTAGCCCCATTAAATATCCCCCAGGACAACAACACACCTACACATGACAAGGAGCTCATAGGTCACTTAGTCTCAGCAGCTAGAAACATCATGTCAGGATACTGTGAGCTGGTTGCCCAGGAAAGCATAAAGACAAGGAAAAGTTTCTTACGGTCCTTTCTTATTTCAAACTTTACAGAGAGAGGCTCTAAAACCAAGCCTCTTGGATAATGGCGTTGTCTCAAGTGAATCTCCACCCCACCCCCGTCTCTCCCACTTCCTCATTTGTCATCTTCATCACCTCCTCTATGGGTGCCGCTAAGTGCCTCTGTCTTCGAGCTCTTTGCTCTCCTACTTTTAAGGCCTGCCGGGTTCTGGGAGATGATGGGTCTGGAATGCTTTCTAGTGACAACATGTCAGCCAGCTGTTCTGGCTCGCCCACAATTTCCCAACTTTCCCCCTCATCTGCCTCTGAGCTGTGACCTCCCTCAAACCCCTGTTGTAAATCTATACTGCCTTCCTCTTCCTCCTCCCTGGGATGGGGAGGCGGTCTCCACCATTTCTCCTCTGCCCAGTTCCTAACACATTACAACTAGACTCTGGAAGGTCCTATGAGGAGTGAACATAGACTGTTGGTACCAAAATGTATGGGAAACTGCCTTACTAGAACATTTAACCAACAAACTTAAACTAGCATGGGGACAAGCAAAGGAGGATGCCTTGACCCCGATGTGGCTCCCCTTTATCACATATACAGCACAACAAGACAATGTCATCCCCCATAACAGCATATGCATCAATATGACAACCAGGTTTTTCAGTGCCTGTGCGTATTGCAGCCTCATGCAGTGTTTGCCCATTGAAGCTGTTCCGTTCAAACACAGCAATTATCTCTGGGTGTTTTTATTCATTACCATATGTCTGGCTAACGAGATCTAAGTAGAAATCAAAGATACTTCTGTGGTATATTTAATTGGGGGGGGGGGACAAACTGACGAAAATGTGTTCTCGTTGCTCCTAGCAATGATCTTCCATGTTGGTTCACTCCTTTTGTTCTGCAGAACCTTCAATCAAACAGTTGGGACTTTTGAAGAACTCCAGGCATACCTTGCGGGTTATGTGGCTACCCTGGCTCGGGACGATGAAAAAAGACAAGCTCAGTAAGTCTTGCAGGTGATCCTTGAAATTGCATGGAAAGTAACCTCTTCAACACTCTGTAGGGTTGGTGGTGCATATCTACATTATGACAGCAGACCTGCTAAAAGGGCATACAGACTGCAGCGCCTCCGATTTTGGACTCATGGGTGACCCAAGTTGCTGTGTTTTTTGTCTGTTTATTTATTTACTTTTCGTTAAGCATTTCCCAGCCGCTTTCAAGTCCCGCAAATCCACAAGCTAACTGAGACCTCGAAAACTCTTGCGGCATCTCGGATTTAGGGTGAAAGAGGAGAGCGCAAAATACGGTCTGAAGCTCAACATCAAAAAAACGAAGATCATGGCCACTGGTCCCATCACCTCCTGGCAAATAGAAGGGGAAGAAATAGAGGCAGTGAGAGATTTTACTTTCTTGGGCTCCATGATCACTGCAGATGGTGACAGCAGTCATGAAATTAAAATATGCCTGCTTCTTGGGAGAAAAGCAGTGACAAACCTAGACAGCATCTTAAAAAGCAGAGACATCACCTTGCCAACAAAGGTCCGTATAGTTAAAGCTATGGTTTTCCCAGTAGTGATGTATGGAAGTGAGAGCTGGACCATAAAGAAGGCTGATCACCAAAGAATTGATGCTTTTGAATTATGGTGCTGGAGGAGACTCTTGAGAGTCCCGGGGACTGCAAGAAGATCAAACTGATCCATTCTGAAGGAAATCAGCCCTGGGTGCTCACTGGAAGGACAGATCCTGAAGCTGAGGCTCCAAGACTTTGGCCACCTCATGAGAAGAGAAGACTCCCTGGAAAAGACCCTGATGTTGGGAAAGATTGAGGGCACAAGGAGAAGGGGACGACAGAGGACGAGATGGTTGGACAGTGTTCTCGAAGCTACCAGCATAAGTTTGACCAAACTGCGGGAGGCAGTGGAAGACAGGAGTGCCTGGCGTGCTCTGGTCCATGGGGTCATGAAGAGTCGGACATGACTAAACAAGAACAACAAGAGCAACATAAGATCACAGCATAGAAGCATTTTGTTGTTTTCCAGCAGAGCTGCTCAGCGATGACATCTTCCAGTCCATCTATGCTTTTTGGTTTTTGTGGGGGTTTTTTAGTATTTCAGCTGTGTTGCCATAACATGTGGCACCACTGTGAGTGTCATTGGGCAATGGGGCAGGGGGCTTCCAATGCACTGGCCACAATCCAGAACCTTCCCTTAATTATTTTTTTAGTTTTCCATTCAAGTTCTTTGCATGTATGCTTTCCACTTTGCCATTCTCATAAATGATAGTAGGAAGCTCTTAAGTACAGCTGTTTAATTTTTTCTCAGAAATTCCTAGCTGCATGCAGTCTTAACCCGGGCTGCATGCAGTTTTAGCCATTCCAGCCCTTGTCCAAACTGACTTAGCCTGGCTCAACCTGGGAACAGCAGTTTGCTTTATAGCATCACTATATGTGCACCCTCACTGCAGACATAATGTCACCTTAAGTAAAAACTGATGTGGGATGCATTAATTGTAAAGGATGGTGGCTTCAAATGGACTCTATCTGCTACTAGCACTGTTTTTTTTCCTTTTAGTGCCAATCAGAACCATGGAAACACAGGCACCCGTCACAGCAATATTAGGCAGTCTCAGTATCGTTTTCATTTTGATCAGTTTTAATGGATTATCCGAAAGACCATTAATGCAGAACAGGAATCAGTGCTCAAGTTGAAGAAATTACCATTGGCATTCTGACGAGAAATTATTTGGCCCTCACTTCATTACAACAAACCTACAAAAGGCCACTGAGAGATGCAATAAAAGCAGATGGCTGCTCATCAAACAAATTGCCATTTCAGACCCGAGGTACCCAAACAGAGAGATTGCAATCAATATTTAATGCCTCATGAAATGCTGCCACTAAAAAGAGACTTTCAGCAGAACAGCAGATGACAGCTGGAATTCATCTGCATGTATTTTTGACATGTGGAGGGGAACTCTCAAAACTTCATTAGAAAAAGATCGCATTCTGTTCCTGATCAAATCTTCCTTTAAAAAACAACAACACTATTTTCCTATTATTTATGCTAACTTTTCTCCTGTAAGAAGACATGGAATTCTTTTCTCCTTTTACATGCTAAAGACATTCTAATTCAAGGAACGCTGCAAGATGTTCTTAGGAAGTCTTCTCCTCTTGAGACACACCTGCCATCGTTACTTTGATGACTTATCCAGGACAAATAACACACAACGCCTTTCCTCTGAGCCAGGAAGAAGCCATCCTTCCTATCCACACTGGTGGTTTCTTCTTAAAACTTCAGTGAGCTACGAAAAGGTCTTGAAACTGAGCTTGCAAAAACAAAATAATTTAAATGAATTTGGGGGTTCTTTTCCTGCCAGCTCAGTCAGAAAAGGGCCATCTGTGAGCTCATTGCTCCAGGTGCTTGAGGAAAGATACCTTTGAAAGACGTGGGGGAACGTCGAAAACATTTTTCAAAAAACGTTATCAGACCACCGCAGCAATTCTCGGTTGCGCGCTCAGCGAGATTGAACTGAAGGGGGTGTTTTATTTCTTTTTAATGCAGAGTTTCTTCCTTGGAGCAGCTACCCAGCGACGTCTCTTTGGAGATGATACAGCTGAAAGAAAAAGTAACCCAGTTTCCTTCCTCCTGCCCGTTTCAGAACCTGGAAATTGTTGCCACCCTGGGTGTTGGTGGATTCGGAAGAGTGGAACTTGTAAGAATTTGCCTTTTAAATGTTTTGACTGCCGCTTCTGATCTGAATGTTTTGCTGTACCCGCGCCAGCGTGGATGATCTTGTACTTCCTAGGGCCTCAGGATTCCCATATTTTCAAGTGCATTCTCTAACGCAGGGGTTGGCAACCTAAGGTCCGCGGGTCGGATCAGGCCCAATTGCCCTCTGGATCTGGCCCTCGGACGGTCCTGGAATCGCCGCTTGGATCGGCGTGATCGTTCGGGCTGTGCCACTTTTTTTGCAATTTTTTTGGGCGCCATTTTCCACACACACACACCGCAGCGGCGCCTCCTCCCTCCCTCCCTCCCTCCTGGCTTCTCCCCGCCCCACAGAGGAAGGGAGCTGGGCTTTGATTGGTGCCAGCAGCCAGCCAATCCGAAGCCTTGCTGCCCGCGTGCTGACTCACCACCTGCCCTCCAGCTTCTTCACCCATGGCAGGCATTGTGGCGGGTGCGTCGTGATGGCAGCGTCACAGGGCTTTGGCTGGAGCTTGGCGTGTCATTGAGCACTTGCGAGAAACAGTAGCTCCTCTCCCATTCTCCCTAAGAGCTACCTTCCATTACAATAGCGATCAGCACATCTTGCAAGCTGCCAATGTTGGGGAAGGGGCAGCAGTTGGCTGGCTGGCGGATTCCTCCAAATATATAAACAGGCTAAGACTCATTGCAGTTAATTGGGTCAAACCAATCAATCATATCCCCCGCCACTCATTTCTAATGTTCAGGTTGTGATTGCCATTGCACAAGAGGGAGATACCAGCAGTGTGGGAATAGGGTTTCCAGAATGATAAAAACCTTTATGAATAAAATCCTAAGTAATTGGGGAGGGAGGGAAGAGAGCAAACTACCCAATGAGGACTGAGCGTGCTCAATGGCCAATAGAATGCTGAAAAGAAAAGAAAAGTAGGGAGTGGAATTGACTGGCTGGAATCTTGAATGGCAGCGTGTCATACTGCCACACTTTGTTGCAGTTCTCACGTGTTAAATCCTCAGGTCTAGTGGTTTTCCATAGCTTCATATTCTGTGGATGCTTGATCCTATAGCCCCCTCCCCCTGAATATTTTAGAGCAGGCATGTCCAAAGTCTGTTTTGGGGGCTTAATCCGGCGCACCGGTTGGTTTAATCCAGCCCCTATGGCAGTTTATTTCCTGGGGTAAAATCCCAAAAAACCCTCAACACCTTCAATCCTAAAAGAAGCTCAAGAACTTTGGTTGGCCCTTTGGCTGGTCCCCATGGCCCTTCACTTCATCAGATCTGGCCCTCTTTGAAAAAAGTTTGGACACCACTGTCTTAGACAAAACCGATCATATTGAAGGGCATTTTCCTCCAAAATTTTGTTAATTGTAGGGTTATAGCATATATGGACGAGAACCCCTTTCCTATCAACATAATTTCCATTATGGTCAGCACTTATCATTCTGTTCTGTCTACTCTGCAAAAAAATTGAGGGACCAGGGGAGGGTGGGAGCTTATGATCGTGTAGCCCTTTTAAACTGTTTTTTCCCCCCCTAATGTGAACTCAGGTGAAAGTGAAGAACGAGAACATAGCATTTGCCATGAAATGTATCAAGAAGAAACACATAGTGGATACCAAACAGCAGGAGCACATTCACTCTGAAAAGAAAATTCTAGAAGAAGCCTGCTCTCCCTTCATTGTGAAGTAAATTGCTTTCTCTGTTTTCTATTCAGCTTTAACCACTGTTATAGAAAATGACACAGCCCAGGTATGCTTTAGCTTAATAATTTTCCAGCTTGCTCAGATGCTTGCGTTTTATGGGAGGTTTTGCATTGTATTATTATTTTCCCCTGGAAATTGTATTTTTAATAAACAAATTTGTTATTGTGTAAAACATCCTGTGTGAGTTTTGCTCATAAAGGATAGCCTACAAATAATTTTAATTGACTGATTGATTTCCCTCCAATTCCCTTCAGAATGTACCGCACTTTCAAAGACAACAAATACGTTTACATGCTCTTGGAAGCCTGTCTTGGTGGTGAGCTGTGGAGTATCCTGAGAGACAGGTAATAATTTATCATTTTTTGTTTTCTACCTGAAGAATAACTTTTTTAAAAAATGATTAAGAAAGAAAGAAAGAAAGAAAGAAAGAAAGAAAGAAAGAAGCAAGCCTTAAGATCCATGCTCAGTGGGGCTGTGTACAGACTACAGGTTTTTAGAAACTTTTTTTTTCTTTTCTCTTTTAATGATTTTTATTAAGGTTTCAATAAAAAGTTAGACAGAAAAACATAGAAAAGAAATACACAAATACACAATACATAATCCAAAAAAAGAAGAAAAACACAAAAAAACAAAAAGCAAAAAAAGAAACAGAGCAATTAAAAACAATATCACTTTTCATTTCCGTTTTTGAATTTACTTATTTTCTGGACTTCCTCATACCTCCCTCTTTTGTATTCCAGTCCAAATTGTTTGTCCAGCATTTTCTTTTCCACTTTTTTAATCCAAATCTTTAATCTTAATATAATATAACATCAAAATTTTACCTCTTAAGTACCAAATTTCCATTTCCTTAGACTTCTTTAATCCTAATCTTCAATCTTACTGTAATATAGCATTGAAATTTTACCTCTTAAGTTCCAAATTTCCATTTCCTTAAACTTCTTTAATCCTGATCTTTAATCTTAATCTATCAGGTTTTTAGAAACTTAACAGGGCAATGTGAGTTATCTTTTTTATTATTATTTTATTTTATTTTATTTTATTTTTTTATTTATTATTACATTTGTATCCCACCTTGTGGAATGCCCTCCCATCAGATGTCAAACAGATTGACAACTATTTGACTTTTAGAAGACATCTCAAGGGAAGTTTTTAATGGTTGGAATTTTATTGTATTTTGTTGGGAGCCACCCAGACAAATGGGTGGCGGCTGCTTCTTCTTCTTCTTCTTCTTCTTCTTCTTCTTCTTCTTCTTATAATATTAACCTTTCCTCCAAGGAGCTGGCGAACATAGTTTCCCTCCTCCCCATTTTTCCCTCACAACAACCCTGTGAGGTAGGTTAGGCCGAAAGCGAGTGACTGGCCCAACGTCACCCAGTGAGCTTCACGGCCATTTGAACCCTGGTTTTCCAGGTCCTAGTCCAACACTCTAACCACTACACCACGCTACCCGTGGGGAAGTTTCTCGCATGGTCTCTAGACAAGGGGTTTTGAAATTACTAAAATGTTTCATAAACTTGCAATAAGGGCCCCTCCAGACCTGTGTTTTGTTGCAGGTGCATTTTACAAGTTCTTGACACAATATTAATGCGTTAGTGGTGAATTTGTGCTGCTTTAGTTTGCTCTGCAGTGCTTCCCCAGTGCTAGCACATTATTGCTGTCCAGAGGGGCTAAAGAGTAACCAAAGTAGGAGATTCATAAAATCAGAGTTTGAAGGGACTTCCAGGATCATTTAGTCCAATGCAGGAATCTCAACTAAAGAATCCTTGACAGATGGCCATTCAACCTCGGCTTAAAAATCTCCAATGAAGGAGATTAATACAGTGGTACCTCGGGTTACATACGCTTCAGGTTACAGACTCCGCTAACCCAGAAATAGTACCTCAGGTTAAGAACTTTGCTTCAGGATGAGAACAGAAATTGTGCTCCGGCGGCGCAGCAGCAGCAGCAGCGGGAGGCTCCATTAGCTAAAGTGGTGCTTTAGGTTAAGAACAGTTTCAGGTTAAGAACGAATCTCCAGAACGAATTAAGTACTTAACCCGAGGTACCACTGTATTTTGTTGGAAGCCGCCCAGAGTGGCTGGGGAAGCCCAGCCAGATGGTCGGGGTATAAATAATAAATGATGATGATGATGATGATGATGATGATTATTACCTCCGGAGGGAGTCCATTCCCCTGTCGAACAGCTCTTGCTGTTGGAAACTTCTTCCTGATGCTAAGTCAGAATCTCCTGTCTTGCAACTTGAAGCCATCGGTTTGAGGCCTACCCTCTGGAGCAGGAGAAAATACATCACAGAACGTTTCTGGTACAGTGGTACCTTGGGTTACAGACGCTTCAGGTTACATACGCTTCAGGTTACAGACTCCGCTAACCCAGGAATAGTACCTCGGGTTAAGAACTTTGCTTCAGGATGAGAACAGAAATCGTGCTCCGGCGGCAGTGGGAGGCCCCATGAGCTAAAGTGGTACCTCAGGTTAAGAACAGTTTCAGGTTAAGAACAGACCTCCAGAACGAATTAAGTTCTTAACCTGAGGTATTAAGAAACTGAATGATTTCAGCAGGAAGTTATTCAATACAAACTGACTGGTAATGAAGCAGTGTGACTGCCCCCAAACTTTTGCACACACAAATAGAATTGGAAGTGGTTTGGGGCATGACCAACCCCTAAATAGCATCATGAGCACAAATAATCATGAACGTGCCATGAAAATGAAATCTGTAGGAGCCCTCAGGCTATATACTACAGCCGCAGACATGCTTGTTTAGACCCAGCTCTCCTTGTATCAAATAAAACGTGAGAGAGATAGAGGATCTTAATTTCTGGAGCTCAAGGATTGCATGGGATATGGAGGAACTACAGAACTATAGCCAGTGTGAAAAAGATGGGAAATGTTTGCTTGTTTTCAGAGGGAGCTTTGATGAAACCACTACAAAGTTCTGTGTTGGATGTGTGACGGAAGCCGTCGAATATTTGCATTACATCAGTGTGATCTACAGGGACTTGAAGCCCGAAAATTTAATTTTGGACGCTCAAGGATATATAAAGCTGGTGAGGTTGTGGTTGGTTGGTTTGTTTTTCTTTAATGCCCATAACCGTACTGCAGAGAGAAGCTTGCTTTTCATCCAGTGCCATGCCCGTTAAAGGGAAATTTTAAGAGCACTTAATCCTTGAAGGCTCTGTCGCCCTCAACCCGAGGGTTAGGAAGGAATATTATTCCCCTGGGTGTGTCGATTCCACCCCCTTCCTCCCAGGTTACAATTTTAATTCACAAGAATCTTCCTGTAAATTGCTTGCTTGGTCTAAGCGGAAGGAATGATCCTCGAGGTCAGCAATTGTGGGAGGCCTCCTGGGTCAGATATGGGCCTCTGAAGAATATCGTTTGCCAGCCCAAAGTCAAAGGGAACATTCACAAAGAACGGAAACTTCCTTGCACTCCACTTGGGTAGAGTGAGGGTGGAAACCAGCAAGCCACCCGTAATCTCCTCCTTCCATGAACCACCCAGTTTCCGACTGATGAATTGCATCCATATTTTAACACAGACTCTTAATAGGTTCTTGACATACCTGTGGGCAGCAGAACCAACGTACCCCCTCAAAATGCTAAGGTGAAAATAGGATAATGGAAGGGCCATAGCTCAATATACATGCCAATGTTGAGATTCAAGCCCTGGTGTCTACAAGTTGGGCTGGGAAAGACTTTTGTCTGAAACCATGGAGAGCTGCTACTGGTTCGGGTAGACCACGGTTTCCCAAACTGGGGTCTCCAGCCTGGACTACAACTCCCATCATCCCTAGCTAGCAGGACCAGTGTCACTGCCTCCTGTGGGAACGAGTTCCATAATTTAACTATGTGCTGGGGAATTAAAAGTCTTTTCTGGAAGTCAGTGTAGGCACCAAGCTGCCAGAGGGAGCAGGAACAGATGGAAGAGAAAAGCAACCTTTTCGCCATCCTGTACATTTTAAGTACAGTGGTACCTTGGTTCTCAAACGCCTTGGTACTCAAACAACTTGGAACCCAAACACTGCAAACCTGGAAGTGTTCTGGTTTGCGAACATTTTTTGGAAGCCGAACATGCTCCGTTTTGAGTGCCACACTTCCATTTTGAGTGTTACGCTGAGGTCTGTTTGTTTTTGCTATTTATTTTGCGTTTTTGTTTTTGCGGCTCTTTTGTTTTTATGACTGTGTGGAACCCAGTTCAGCTACTGATTGATTGTGTGACCGCAGTATATTGTTTACTGGTTTCATTTTATGGATCAATGGTTTTGTTAGATAGTAAAATCCATGTTCAGTTGCTGTTTTAGAGGTTGTTTTTAAAAGTCTGGAACGGATTAATCCATTTTGCATTACTTTCTATGGAAAAGTGTGCCTTGTTTTTAGAAATGCTTTGGTTTTGGAACGAACCTCCGGAACGGATTAAGTTTGAGAACCAAGGTACCACTGTAAATGGTAGCCCACTTCCCTTGGCCTTCCAAAGCCCACTTGTAAATGCCCTGGGTTGCACAAAAATGAGAACAGCCAAAGCTAAATGCCTCACTATCTAATGATAGTATTTGCTCTTCTCCCCATGAGGTTGATTTTGGGTTCGCTAAGAAGATTGGAGCTGGGCAAAAGACCTGGACGTTCTGCGGGACTCCCGAGTACGTTGCCCCTGAAGTAATCCTGAATAAAGGACACGATTTCAGCGTGGATTTCTGGTCCCTTGGTATCCTAGTGTATGAGCTGCTGACAGGAAAGTAAGTGCCATCTCAGTTACCTCAGGAATCACTGCTTCTATGAACTTTTTACACAAATAAGTTATTTGCGGTTGTTTTGCTTGGTTATTATATTGTGAGGAGAGTCCATATTGTAGAGCCCACACCTTATAGTTGGGATGAGGAACCTTTTTTTAAAAAAATGAGAGCTGTTTCTGTGGAAGTAATTGAGGAGTGGGGCCTGCATGCCAGCAGTGGGCAGGGGTGAAGCCATTTGTGGGTGGGGACACAGCCAAAAGTGGGAGGGGCCAGTCCTTTTTTTCTCTTTCTGCCACCTTCTTTCTCTCTCCCATTTTCTTGAACCCCCTTCTCTCTGTCTTCCCCCCTGTCCTGGTGGGGGGGATGTCATGAGAGGGTGGGATCCAGTTCTCAGAGGACTGAAATCAACCCTAAGGCCACCAATTGGCCACTCACCAATTGGCTTCTTCTCCTTCATCTCCACATGGTGCTCTCCTACTTCCTCTATCTTCTTCCAACAAAACCCCTTGCTCAACCCCTTCTGTCTCAGCCATCGCCCACCGTAATCCTGGCAACCCCTGTTTGCCCAGACTCAAGGATCTCTCTTTGCACTTCTTAATAACTTCCCCCTCAGACAATGTCTGGAACAGAAGCTTAGCCTGAATTTTATACTGCTAAATCTGACACCTATCTGTTCATCTTGATTCTCAAAACACTGGTTAAATCTCAGCTCCCAGGAACCTAGGGGAAGGCAGGGCCCCCACAAATCCGTAACAATACATTCATATTTCAGAATGATCTCTGTTTAAGGTTCAGTGTAGCCAAACTGTTAGGGGATCTAGCTTTCTCCCTTCTCCTTCCTTCCTTCCTTCCTTCCTTCCTTCCTTCCTTCCTTCCTTTCTTCATTCAGATTTGCATGGGCATTAAACAGGAAATAATACAGCTCAGTGGTAGAGCATCTGCTTTGCAAACAAGAGTCACCAGGTTCAATCCCCAGTATCTTCATTTAAAAGCACCAGGTAGCAGGTCATAGATTCATAGAATTGTAGAGAGTTGGAAGGGACCACAAGGGTCATCTAGTCCAACCCGGTGGAAGAGACCCTGGATTGCTGCTACCAGTCAAAGTAGACAATACTGGGCCGCTAGGACAATTAGTGAGACTTCCTATAAAACAGCTTTCTGCGAATTTTACCTGTACCTAAAATAGAATTTCTCTTTTGTCATTACTAACTCCTTTTTACTCGAGCATTTTTCTTTTTTTCATTTCTTCTCTCTCTCTCCCCCCATCCCACCCCCAATCCATTTCTAAAAATCGTGACATTTACTCTAGTCCTCCATTTTCTGGGGTCGATCAAATGATGACCTACAATTTGATTCTGAAAGGCGTCGAAAGGCTGGATTTTCCCAGGATAATAACAAAGCGGCCTGAAGACTTGATTCGGCGGCTCTGCAGGTGAGGAGGGCAATTTTGTCGCGAAGGTGTGAAAAGAATACTTTAGCCGTGTTACATTCTGCCAGGCGCCCAAAATCAAAGCTTGTTAAACTTAAGTCAAAACCTATCTTTTCTCACTTTTGAAGCAAAAAAGATCCTGCTTAGATGTTTTGGTGTTAACTATTAAACTGAGGGTGTTTAGTTTTTGTTTTTTAAAAAATGCATTGTTTGCTTAATGTTTACCGGGTGTGAGATATTTTATTATTTATTTTACAGTGCAGTTCCATTCAACTATTGCTACTTGATTGCTCTGTCCACTTTGGGCATTCTGAGTGAAGGTAGATATGCACAATCAAAGTCTATAGCCAGGCTGCCTATTTATGCTCAGGCAACTTTTGCCCAGACCCAAAGCCTCACTGGGGCCTGCTGTCTCCCTGACTCTTCTCTTCAGATTGGGCTGCACTTGTTTCTGTGTTAATCAGCTGAATTTTGGCTTCCCTGTTCACATTAAAATCTTCCTCGCAAGTTGCTAGGCAACCAACATAAAACCGAAGACGTGAACTGGAAGTTGCTGCCAATTCGCCCCTTGAAGGCTGAGGTTCTGAGGCCTTTACCTTGTTTTCAAAGGCCTGCTTCTTGGGACTTTGGGATGGGCACGTCCCATTCTTGCAAGTCCATTGCACATGGAGGTAAAAAAAAAAAGGGCAGGTGATTCAACGGCCTTGCTGAAGCTGAGCCAGCCCAGTTCTTGGCTGTGCCTCAATGGGAGACCACCTGGAGGCAGACATCTGTCACCAGAGAAAGAGACAGAAGACCAGGCAAACTGGAAGATCAAGGTTGCTGCAGAAGGGCAAATGGACCCTGATCCAGGACCTCTCTTCCAGGTCTTCTGTTTGCCCCACTTCAAGCAGCCTGGATTCATTGACTCAGCACCTCAGTGTCCTGAATGAACCCCCCATCTGTTCATGCTCTTAGCCTCCTGTCTTATAATTAACTACAAGCCTGCAGCAGTTTTAATATGGCACACAGCGTACAGGAAGCTTCTACTCTGCTATACCTTGAGTGAGCAAAGTAGCGATGATCAGAGCATTGGTGCTGCACCCTTTGCAGTAAGGATGAGTCGTCGCCTTTGGCTTTTATAATTTCTTCTGTTGTGGGGGGGAAAATGGGGTTTGGTTTTTACAGCCTCGGCCCCCTCCCCTATCAAGAGAAAAGATATCCCTTTCATCTTGGTCAGAGATGAAACAGTGATGCTGTTGTGTACTGAGTTTAATAGGATCCAAAATACAGCAGTCTGATTGGTCCTAGAACAATAGGAGTCAGAATGCAGCAGTCTGATTGGTCCTAGAACAATAGGATTCAGAATGCAGCAGCCTGATTGGTCCTAGAACAATAGGATCCAGAATGCAGCAGTCTGATTGGTCCTAGAACAATAGGATCCAGAATGCAGCAGTCTGATTGGTCCACAGGAGCCACCCAATCCAGCTCCAGGTGGAAGTGAATCCGCAACCTGATTGGCCTACATGAGAATCCCGGAATTAGCCAATCACGTGGGGGTATTGTGTAAATAATGTATATAAAGCAGACATCCTGGGGGAACTTCCATTCCTCCTCACCACTATGAGCTGAATAAAGAGCATGAAATCCACTCTCGACTCCAAGTATATTTCAGAGGCAACAAGGAAAACAAGGCAAGCTGTTGATCTCTATTGATCTGTTTGCAAGTGGAGTCTCTACATGCAAGGAGGCGAGGGATCTCAGAACAAAGGTGTGTGTTAGCCCAGTGGTTCTCAACCTGTGGGTCCCCAACATCTGGGGACCCACAGGTTGAGAAAGGCTGCCTTAGCCAAAGACCACCCACAAGCATCATACAAGCAACACAGAAAGAGGCGGTCTACAACAGAAATTTGAGAACAAAATAAAAAAATTCCTTCCGGTAGCACCATAGAGACCAACTGAAGACGTGTGCATGCACATGAAAGCTCATACCAATAACAAACTTAGTTGGTCTCTAAGGTGCTACTGGAAGGAATTTTTAAATTTTGTTTCAACTACGGCGGACCAACACGGCTACCTACCTATAAGTAGAAATTGTGAGAGTATGACTTGTCCTCTGTCTGTCAAGATCCCTGCTAATGTTTGCTGGTTGCCTTTTCCTGGCCAGTCTGGATCATTCTTTTGATACTGTGAATGCCATGACTCCATAATCCATTATCAACATTTGTTAAACCTGTTTCACAGAGGGGAGGCTCGGGAAGAATTTCCTGCTATGTGACTAGGGGAGTCTCAAGGCTGGCTAGGGATCAACATGGCCGCTTTGTTGCTCTCTGTACCCTTTCAGCTCAGGTTTTACTGGTAAAAGTGATCTTTCATCAAGGAATTGGCAGGTTCGTTGAGAAAACGGGACCAAATAGGCGCACCTGGAAACTTTGCCACTCTTTAACTGAGCCATGCTGCAAAGACCATTTTGCACCACCTGTAGGTTTTGACATTTTGTGGACGTGTGGTACGTGTAAATGCACTTATTCCCATACATTTATGATGACATGTCATTGATTTTTCATAACTCTTCTCTATCTCTCACTTGAGAGAGAAGTTGCCAAGGGTTTCAAAGCATGGGTAGGGAGCGCATGCATGCACTTGCAAACATAGGGAGCCCAACAAAATGAACATTACTAGAAATCAGCCCCACTTCCTGCGGACCAAGAGCATGTTATTTATAAGGTCATGCTGAAAGTTTCTCTGCTTTGATTTTAAATATAAAGCTGGTGCAAATGGAGGTTTTCTGGGGGAAACCCTTTGAAGTTTCAGATCTGTTTGCTAACAGGCAACTGAAGGGTACCAGGTTGAGGAAGGCTGATTTAGGCATGCATATATATATATATATATATATATATATATATATATATATGATCCAACCTGTTGAATTGCATTAGAACACAGAAGGTGATAGTATTATTAAATTACGAAGCTTTCAAATTATGGAGCATTGACTTTGCTTTTGTTTTGTTTTGTTTATAGGCAAAATCCTACCGAGAGGTTAGGAAATCTGAAGAATGGTATCCATGATATTAAGAGGCATAGGTAAGGAAAGGAACGGCGGGGTTCCTTGCAAACCAGGGTCGCTTCTTTTTCTCCTTCTTTTGTCTCTGATGCTGTAGAGCAGAGGAGAAACATGGAAGTCTTTTTGTGGCCAGAAAGGCAGGACGGAGGTGTGATGTTGTTTCCTTCCAAGACAGATGCGCCTCTCGTCTTATAACCACTGAAGCCTGCTTCACTGATCTTCTTGTTCTGAACCTTCCTTCCTAAGGTGGCTGAACGGTTTTAACTGGGAAGGACTCAAGGCAAGGAAGTTAACGTCTCCTTTAAAAAGAGAGGTACTGAGAACGTCATACTATGTGACATTAAACGCTTGTCATTTGACCATTTGCACAAGGGTGAAGTCTCGTTTGCGTCAGAAGGGCCGAGCGGGGATTCGAACTCTGGTCTCACAGAACCTCTCTTCCACGTCGACGGTGCTTGATTTCATTTGGGCAGGATCAGTGGATAGTTGCAATGAGTTGCTTGACATGATGTTATCCCAGCATGCTTTGGGAATGTGGCTAGGAAGTCGTTCAAAGCCTATGTGCCTTAAATGCCATTGGGGTTGGACTAGGTGATGATGATGATAATTGTAATAATTTTATTATTTGCACCCCACACATCTGACGGGGTTGCCCCAGCCACTCTGGGCAGCTCCTAGCATATACAGAAACATAATCAAACATTAAAAACTTCCCTATACAGGGCTGCCTTCAGATGCCTTCTAAAGATTGCATAGCTCCTTATTTCCTTGACATCTGCTGGGAGGGCGTTCCACAGGGCGGGTGCCACTACCGAGAAGGCCCTCTGCCTGGTTCCCTGTAACTTCACTTCTTGCAGTGAGGAACCGCCAGAAGGCCCTCGGAGCTGGATCTCAGCTGATAGTTATGATTCTGTAACTGCTTTTTGCCTGGTGTCCCCCTTAAGATTTTCTTTACACGTGTTTCTTTCGCAGCTTTCTGGTCCGATGGATTACAGCTACTTCGACCGATACCCTCCTGAACAGGGAACCCCACCAGATGAGCTTTCAGGCTGGGATAAAGACTTCTAAGAGGAGAAAAGAAGAAGCAGGCTTATAGATCAACAAATTCGAGCGTCCACAGATTGTTTGTAGTAGTCATGTAACACAATTGTTAGGAGCCCAACCCAGCTGCATTCAGATCAAGGAAACTTCTGCATTTAGAGTGAGCTGGATACAGATGCGGACACCCACCCCCTTTTATCTTGCTTTGCAACTTCACAGCATGACAGTTTTTCGCCTTGTCCTTTGAAGGATGGGGCAGTGGCAGTGGCGAGAAGCATCACTCCCTGTTTAATTGCAAGCAGAAGTAGTTCTTCATCTCTTGTAGAGATGTGTGACACGGTGATACCTCGGAAGTCCAACGGAATCCGTTCCGGAAGTCCGTTCGACTTCCAAAGCTCCTGCAGCCAATCAGAAGCCGCGTCGGACGTTCGGGTTCCAAAGAACGTTCTCAAACCAGAACAGTCACTTCTGGGTTTGCGGCGTTCGGGAGCAAAAACGTTCGACTTGCAAGGTGTTTGGGATCCAATATATGACTGTATTGGCAACTGTAAACCCTCAGTATGAGGAATGGAAAGATGCAGGAGAGCAGAGCAGCATTCTGAATGGCTTCGTGGAGGTGGCCTATTCTGGTCATCTCCCAGGGTAAACAAAATCCACACTTAAAAGTAGCTTTTTAAATATCCCGCTCATGTTGTGATGTACGTAAGCCCCACGTGAAGCACTCAGGAGCCAAGCTGTATTTTAAGTAGGGCTTTATTCCAGTAGCAGTCTTGCATCAGCATAATGCAGTCTTCTTAACATCCAGGAATTGGCATACACAGGTGGGATTACTGCATACGCATATGCACCATACATATGCATTCCTACAGAAAAATGCTATTAATATCTGTGCAGAGAGGAGCTAAAAGGATTGTGCAATATTGTTACAAGATGGCCAACTTACACTTTCAACAAGAAAGGCAATTATTGCAGAACAATTACGTTCAGTATGGTAGACTTTCCCCAAAATAACTGTTCTCTGTGTGTGGGTATATATATATATATATATATATATATATATATATATATAGCAGAGATTTCAGCATATATTTTTGAAGTCAATTCCTGTGCATTATTGGTGCTTCACAACATATTGAAAAACCATGAAGAAAAACATATTGAAAAACCAAAGAGCTGGAATTGGCTGCAGCTCCTCGCTTAGTATATGCCTAGTGCGGAAACTTGTTTTCACTGCCCTTAGGTTTTGATCTTTCCTAATATTTTTGTCGGTCTGCCTGGGGCAGGTGGTAACTGGAAACCAACAGGCCCCTAGAGGATCACATCTTACCCACTTGGACAAAAAGCATTATTCCTTTCTTGACTGGCCATGTTTTAACAGAGAGAGATTTTTAAAAGCATAGGTCCTGTTTCTATTTTGTAGAAAATGTTTAGTCTTCCAGTCTAATTGAAAAAACAAGTTGAATTAGAAATAGAAATCAAAGACCTTTTTGTTTCTTCCATTGTGGAGCAGTGGCTCGATGGCAAAAATGCAGAGAGCGACAAAGGAAGCTGTCATATTTCACATCAGGCCATCTAGTTCAGTGTTGTCAACACTGGCTGGCAACAGCTCTCCAGTGTGGTCTTTCCCAGTCCTATCAGCAGATGCCAGAAAATGAACTTGGGCAGATAAAGCATGTGCTCTGGCCTTTCCAAGATCTAAAGCCCGAGGTTCATGAAGGAGATACTTACATGACCCAGTTTAGGGACTTCAGGTGTAGCCTTATTAGACTTTACCGATTGGTGGGCTCTGCGTTGCTCCCGGACGGGAGGAAGGAGGTCAAATGACGCCGAGGGTTGGTTCAGAGAAAGAGTTCTTTTATTCTGCTCTCCGGATAGCAGAAGGCACTTGCGTGGTCAGTCCACAGCAAGTCCAAAGAAATGAGAGATTACATGCAGTATATATATCCTCCAGGCACCCTCTCCCCCCTTCCCCAGGAATCGAGCCACGTCAGCTTGTACACGCAGGTTGACATCACAGATGTTCCTGCTCCGGCACTCTTAACCATAAAAGGGCATTCCTTCCTATACTTCTGACCATAAAAGGATATCCCTCCTGTACTTCTGATCATAAAAGGATCTTCCTGTTCCTACTCTTATCTTGGAGCAAGAGGTCACCATCTCCAAGAACACCCTCTGGCACTGTTCCCAGACTAGGTCTGTGCGTCTTTTCTGGTCAGGATATAAGATAAGACACAGATGTGTCTTCCCTGTTCTACTGGTACAGTCAAGGCCATCCTTGCCATCACAAACTGATAAAGGAGAGGGCTCTGAGCACTTGTTTATACAGCTGGGTTTCAGCTCAAGAGCTCAAGTTAAAGCATTTTAGCTAAGGAAAAATAGGGATTTTGGTGCAGTTTCAAACTGCCTGCACAGTCAGTTTTGGGTTTGGGAAACCCATTCCTTCACAGGCACTTCTGAAGTTCAACCCCACAGACTGACAGCAGAACAGCAAAGGGGTTGTGTGTTTTTTTCCTGTGACCCTGTATCTCTGGAAGGGGTGATAACCAGGGATCCTACAAGGGTGGCATGATGAAGTCTTGTTGGAGGACACCGCCAGCTTGAGGATTCGCTACTGCCACGTTGTGACAATGGCTGCGTAGGAAGGCAGTGGCCTGCTTTCTAAACCCTTCTCAGGGAGATGGTGCCATAGCATTTGACCACCTGGTGTGATAATGAACTTGGGGGAAGTCGGCACAAATCAAAGTTCCCACTTGCTTTTGAATCTTAGGAGCAGCGGCTGTCAATAACATTATTTGTTGAAAAAAATTGGTGCAACACAGCAGGACCGTGAGCAGCGGAAAAGGTGCCGCTGGGATCGTTGTCAGATCATATAATTCACACATTCAAGGCCCAGTACCACCAGTTAAAAGAGGGCTCCTGGCAAGGCTGGGGAAGATTTGTGCCTGGGATTTGGGGGAGCTGTTGCCAGTCAAAGGAGACTTTCCTGGGCGAGGTGGTCCGTCTCTGCATAAGGCAGCTGCAGAAATAATAATAATAATAATAATAATAATAATAATAATAATTTATTTATTTATACCCTGCCCATCTGGCTGGGTCCCCCCAGCCACTCTGGGCAGCTTCCAACAAAATATTAAAATATAATAGTCCTTCAGATATTAAAAGCTTCCCTAAACAGGGCTGCCTTCAGATGTCTCCTAAACGTCTGGTAGTTTTTTTCCCTTTGACATCTGGTGGGAGGGTGTTCCACAGGGCGGGTGCCACTACTGAGAAGGCCCTCTGCCTGGTTCCCTGTAACTTGGCTTCTCACAGTGAGGGAACCGCCAGAAGGCCCTCGGCACTGGACCTCAATGTCCGGGCAGAACAATGGGGGTGGATACACTCCTTCAGGTGTACTGGACTGAGGCCGTTTAAGGCTTTAAAGGTCAGCAGCAACACTTTGAATTGTGCTTGGAAACATCCTGGGAGCCAATGTAGATCTTTCAAGGCTGGTGTTATGTGGTCTCGGCAGCCATTCCCAGTCACCAGTCTGGCTGCCACATTCTGGATTAGTTGTAGTTTCCGGGTCAGCTTCAAAGGTAGCCCCATGTAGAGCGCATTGCAGTAGTACAAGCGAGAGATAACTAGAGCATGCACCACTCTGGCGAGACAGTCTGCGGGCAGGTAGGGCCTCAGCCTGCGTACCAGATGGAGCTGATAAACAGCTGCCCTGGACACAGATTTGACCTGTGCCTCCATGGACAGCTGTGAGTCCAAAATGACTCCCAGGCTGCGCACCTGGTTCTGCAGTGGCACAGTTACCCCATTCAGGACCAGGGAGTCCTCCACACCCGCCCGCCTCCTGTCCCCCAGAAACAGTACTCTGTCTTGTCAGGATTCAAGGCAGAGATGGAAAATGTATTGGGCCTTTGGCTGTTATTGAACCACAACTCCCATCAGCCCTAGTTAGCACACCCAATGCTCAAGGGTAATGGGAGTTGTAGTCCTTGTAGTGTCGGGGGGGGGCACCTGGTGACTCATCCCTGATCCTATAGAAAACACTCAAGTGCTTGCTGGTACCAGTTAGTAATACCAAAGACTGTGCGGTGTCTCCAAGATCTGTGTCTTCTTTAGTGCACATCATCTATATTTTTGTGCCCCGTTTCTAGAAGGTATCAAAAATGTAAAGGCTGTAAAACTTTTTTTAAAAAGAGAAAATAGATGGGTTGTTTTTTTCCAGTTTATTTGTATATATGCCCAGTTTTCATATATGCCTATTTTTTAAATGAGAAAGTATATGTTGGTTTTATTACACAAGAGTGCTGCTGGTATGTACACACAGGGAGAGAAATGCCTTCGTCCTTTTTAAACCGGCTGTAAAATGCATTGTGTGCACAAATAAATCTATAACACGGCACCTTCAACATGCTGTTTGTGTTTTCCAACACCCTCCTTCATGGCTGGCCAGAATGCGGGCATTGCAATGAAGATGTATTGACATCAGTGGCGTCTTTAAAGGTAAAGGTAAAGGGACCCCTGACCATTAGGTCCAGTTGTGACCGACTCTGGGGTTGCGGCACTGATCTCGCTTTACTGAACGAGGGAGCCGGTGTACGGCTTCCGGGTCATGTGGCCAACATGACTAAGCCGCTTCAGGCGAACCAGAGCAGCACACGGAAACACCGTTTACCTTCCTGCCAGAGCGGTACCTATTTATCTACTTGCACTTTGACATGCTTTTGAACTGCTAGGTTGACAGGAGCAGGGACCAAGCAATGGGAGCTCACCCCGTCGCGGGGATTCGAACCGCCAACCTTCTGATCGGCAACACCTAGGCTCTGTGGTTTAACCCACGGCGATGGAAGACATTTATTTCAAGAAACAATTATTTGGGGATTTCTTCTTCTTCTTCTTCTTCTTCTTCTTCTTCTTCTTCTTCTTCTTCAATAAGCCAGATTCCTAACTGGAAATAGCTTATCCACAAGGGTTTTCCTCTTGGTTAAGGAGAACAAAGGAGATGATCGGTTGGGTTCTATAACAGTGCTCTTTACAGTCCAAAAGTAACACCTAGTATTGCATTTGGAAGTGAGTTGAAAGCCAATACGAACTCTGTATGGAGCGCAGGTGTAACTTGTTCCCGGTGGTGAAAACACCAGGCAGATGGAAAGTAGTTTTGCGCAGGAAATTTTGAGGGTAATTCAGATGCTGGCTTTGCCGCAAAAGGGCTAATTGCTTTGCCAACTGAATGCAGGCAGTAAATGCAAAACCCACTGGTGTAGCCGTGGTCCCATCTTCAATTGCCAGATGCAAAGACCAAAGCATCTAGAAAACCCATGGAGAAGTCCCAAAGCCCATTTACTAGCCTATATTCTTTTATAAGGTGACAAAATGCAGTCCTGCTCTTTAAAGGCCAGACATCTGCTCCGTGTTTCTCTAAAGTCAAGTGACATTTTCTTGGTCGTGTTATTGCCTGCAACTCCAGGCAAAAGCCGCGGCAGGGAGCACACAGCTTGCAGAGTTGGGGCCTTTTTGCTGTTGCTGTTACAAAGAAGGTGCCGGCATGGGTTGAAAATGTGGGTGTGGGAAGCTGTGCCACTTAATCACTCATCACTTCACTAATTATATCCCCAAGGCCCATGGCACCCTTGGGCAGCTGCCAGGACCCAGGCAACCTGGCAAGGTTTGCCGTGCCCACTAGTTTTAAGCAATTTTTCCCCCAGCACGCCACCTCAAAAAGGATATTGGGAGAGGTTAAGGAAAGGACAACCAAATTCATCACGGGGGTGGAACAACTATGAAGAAACGTTGCAGCATTTGGGACATCTTAGTTCAGAGAAAAGGCGAGGAAGAGGCAAGGTGATAGAAAGGCATAGAATTATTCATACACAAAGTGGATAAAGTTTTCCTCCCTCCCAATTCCTGAACTCGTGGACAACTGAGTGTTGGAAAATACAGGACAGATATAAAGCAGTACTTTTCCACATAGGGCACAATTAAACTATGGAACTTGCTTCTAACCAGGGGTGCCAACTTGAATAAAATATTTGGGCATTGCTCATTTACTTTGGTAAAAAGGTAAAAGTAAAGGGACCCCTGACCATTAGGTCTAGTCACGGCCGACTCTGGGGTTGCGGCGCTCATCTCGCTTTATTGACTGAGCTTCCGGGTCATTGGCGTACAGCTTCCGGGTCATGTGGCCAGCATGACTAAGCCGCTTCTGGTGAACCAGAGCAGCGTACGGAAACGCCGTTTACCTTCCCGCCGGAGTGGTACCTATTTATCTACTTGCACTTTGACGTGCTTTCGAACTGCTAGGTTGGCAGGAGCAGGGACCAAGCAATGGGATCTCACCCCGTGGTGGGGATTCAAACCGCCGACCTTCTGATCAGCAAGTCCTAGGCTCTGTGGTTTAACCCACAGCACCACCTGCGTCCCTCATTTACTTTGGTGGCCCCCCTCAAATATTTTTTGGGGGGGTGCCGAAGGGACCTTGGCCCCTAGGAGTTGGCTCCTATGCTCCTAACTTGGATTTGATTGTGGCTATCACTGCCTGCCACTGTGTTGCCAGGCTGGTCTTTGCAGTCAGCTGCCTCCCAACTGGATCTGGCCAGGTTTGTAGTGTCAGATTAAACCCGCGGAGTCCTCTAGGCAGTCAAAACCTGTGGGGAGGCTTGCAAATTATGTCCTAATACCCTTTTGTAATTGTCTTTCAAAATCAAGTCTTTTGATCCACTGTCGCGGGGGCCCCAGAAGGCATGGGGCCCATAGACCTGCTCTTCCTATTTGGTAATCTGGCGCTGAACATCTGGCTGGCCACAGAACAATTGACTTGATGGGCTTTCAGTCTGATCCAGGTGTAGTATTCCTACAGAACTTTGCATTAAAAGCTAATCTTCCAAGTGCTTTAATGCCCTCCTCGCAACAGCTCAGAGAACAAACAACATGTATTTTACTTCTGTATAAATGAATACATGCACATAAATATCACCAACCCTTTTCCACCTGAATTGCCTCTTTTCAACATGCCACCTTTTTTTTTTTGGCTTTGAAGTTTTACCCAGGTCTTACCTAACATCTTTTTCGGGGGAGGAAACCTGCAATGTGCATTGAAGAATGGAAAAGAAAAGAGAACTTTGATCTCTGGAAAGTTTAGATAAAAGACTTCTCTTGCCCCTTCCTTCACCACATGGGGATTTTTCAAAGGCTGTTTTATGAAAAAGTTGCGCTTTTCTTTGCCATCTTATCATTCTCTTTTATGGTGATACGGCGTGCAAAGAATCCGCTTCTCATAAACCAATCCTTTCTGGTGGGCCACAAACTAACTCCCATTCCCATTAAAATTTGGTTAGTTGCTCAACCAACCCAGAAAAGGCTGTATCCGGTTTAAAACCCTAAAATGTTTTAGCTCATCAAAACCAGTCTCACTCCTTTTGTTCTCCAGAGTAGCATCCCATCAACACAGAGAAACTTCACTATTACAGGCCCCCTACATTCCTAAAACACCAAAATGAAATATTTCTTAACTTCAGCTAAAATGGGGGTGGGCGAATTTATCGCGATTGGATATTCTCTCTTTCTCATTTTTATTCAGTTCAGATTTTGGATTTGCAGGCAATAGGGGGTGGGAAATTTACTTATAATTCCCTCCCACTGCATTCTGTTAACAGATGCCTTCCATCAACAGAGCAACACCCATTGCATTCAACGCACGGGCAATTTAGCAGCTTCTGGCTGTCAACAATGAGTCGCTAGCACTGGCCACATTGGGGAAAACTTCTCCTAAGTATAGGTTCTTGCTACATTTCTGCAATTCACTACCGTCAACCCAAGTGTCTGCCTATTGCAGTCCTGGCTAGCCTTTGACTTACTATGATACATGCCCAATCTTATAGGGACTTTTGTTGCCTTGAACTGCAGGAAGTCTGTGTGGAGAGTGGTAGGAACATACAAAACTACCCGAGTCCATCTAGATCAGTATTGTCTATGGCACCCGCCAGCAATTATACAGGGTTTCGGATATGGGACACTCCCAGTGCTATCTGAAGATACCAGGGATCGATCTTGCAACCTTCTGCATGCAAAACAGGTGTCTTAACCCTGAGCTGTGGCCCTTACTAAGAGCATCAAGTGCTTGTTGGGTTACAGCAGTGGGGTGTTTGGATTGGTAGGTCATTCAACTGACATCAACTCTATTTCCTGCGCTGTGGGTTAAACCACAGAGCCTAGGACTTGCCGATCAGAAGGTCAGCGCAACGGGGTGAGCTCCCTTTGCTTGGTCCCAGCTCCTGCCAACCTAGCAGTTCGAAAGCACGTCAAAGTGCAAGTAGATAAATAGGTACCGCTCCAGCGGGAAGGTAAACGGCGTTTCCGTGTGCTGCTCTGGTTCGCCAGAAGCGGCTTAGTCATGCTGGCCACATGACGTGGAAGCTGTACGCCGGCTCCCTTGGCCAGTAAAGCGAGATGAGCGCCGCAACCCCAGAGTCGGCCACGACTGGACCTAATGGTCAGGGGTCCCTTTACCTTTACCTTACCTTAACTACAGCGAGGGGCAATTTGGGTTTTTTGTAGTTTTTTTAAAGGAACTTCTTCCAAACTGAAAGCCCATTCATTTATTTAAAACCTGTTTGTCATCCTTTACAAAACAAGGAGGGAGCGTGTATCCTGTTTTAAAATATTCTGTGCAAAGTGATATTAAAAATCGAGAGAGAATAAAGATTCACATTAAAAAAAATTTTTTTTTTACTTGTACATAGTAGTTTGCAGTGAAAAATTCCTATTACTGAAGGAGAGAAACAAATACAAGTCAGGCAAGCTTATACATCAGTAGTGAAAAGTGTCCCTTCTCAGTGTGCCTCCATCCCATAAATTTGGTTTCGATGGCATGCAGCTCCTCTAATGATAGATACATAATTTTGTAAAATTAATGCAAAAACCAATGTTTTTGAGAGTACTAAAAAGTGGAAATTAATTAACACACAGGAAGGCAACAAACATAAAATAAATTAAAGGCATGAATAGAAGCTTCTTTCTATATACAAATATCCTCTGGGGTTGTTTTTTTTCCTTTTAACTTTACTGACGCCAACTGTACAAGCATTACAATTCCTAAGCAAAATAAAAATAAAAATGTACAAAGTCTTATTTTTAATTTAAAAAAAAAAGGGAAAGGAGATAGCTTAATATTGTCAGCTCCCCAGCAAGAGGAACCAACCCTTTGAAGCTGCAATATAACTCTAGTGAGCTGGAAATGAAAGCTTTCAGCTCCATTCCGAGCTCTAGAGCTTTGCTTGAATACAAGAAAGATGCACAGTGTTTTATTGGCAGAGACTGGAAGGCACTTCGTATCTTCTGTGAGATGCATAGCAATCATATGCAAAGTCCATCCCAAGTGCTGGCCTTTCCAGGTAGTGTGGTCAAAGCGCACACATCTGCACGCACTGCATTCAGCACCAACTTCCTCTGACAAAAGCAGATGCTACTCCCCAATTTTCATCTGCAAGCATGAGACCAAATAACTCTATGCATTGTTTGCCTGCTAATCCGATTGCCTAGCCATGATACATGATTGCAGGCTGGATAGTTTATAATTCCAGAAGGTCATGGACTAATGACTCAGCATCTGCTTAGTCTTTGGTTCCACTGAATAAAGCTGAGCTCATGGATATGCAGTTTAATGGCCTTGTGCTACACTCGATACGTCTGCGCAGTATTGCTCTAAGGCTATGAAAGTGGACGTCGCTGAGCTTTCATGATTTCATACGTAGCACCAGCGCAGGGACAGCTTGATCAAGAATTACGTGAGAAAGCCATTGCTAGCAGGGAGGGAGCAGACGGGGCAGAAAATTCAAAAGTGCAAGATCCAGGAATTCATTGCAGCCGTGAGTAAATCTTCTGTTATGGGATGCAACCTTTTTTCCTCCAAATGTTTGCAGCTTCTCATGGTCCACATCAGGAAATGTGGTTTTGCTGTAATTGGAACCTGCCATATGATTTTGTATCAGCTTGCTCATTGGCTTTGGTGAACTCAAGCTCTCCTTGCGCCAGTGCTGTTTTGGGGAGGAACTGTACTCCGTTCCTCAACAGTGAGGGATGCTCTAAATGTGATGCAACACATTTTGGGGGGTGGGGAGAATGACCCAGGCAGGGCTCTGGGCATTAAGGATTTTGTATGCTGCCTGCTTGGGAATTGCAGGTGGGCAGAACAGATCCTGCTTGAGATTTTCCCATCAGCCTCTCCCTGACCCCTTGGCCTGATCCAGCACGGTTCTCCTTCCATTCTTATTTCAACCGGCTTGCAGGCACCTGTGCACATGACATTAGCATGCCAAGTAGCCATTCCTTACAAACACACGATTCTAGCAGGCTGAAACTGCATACATGAGTGCTAGTGATCAGGTTCATACATGTCACTGAGCACGTGGAACCTCGCACCAGGAAGCTGAAAAATGCATACACACACGATCATGTTTAAATCACACCTGACAGGGCTTAACTACCAGCGCTAGGAGCTGTTCATTGCACAAAGAAGTTGTAGGAAACCTTTGGCCCTCCAAACGTTGCTGACCTCCAACTCCCATCAGCGCCAGCAAGCATGGCCAATGGCCAGGGGTGGTGGGGGTTGTACAGCAACATCTGGAGGGCCATAGCAACCTCCTGGGAGTCCCCTACTTTTCTCTTCCACATTCCTGCAAAGACCGGCACTAGGTCAACGAGTAGGATTTTGTTGGATTGACTGCCCGTGCATATTGATCTTTAGTAGATATGCAAAGAGAAGAATATTTTTTGATTGCAACATAAAGGTTTCCATTACTCTGCGAAAGGAAGCCCTTGTCTGTGTAGAGGCACGCACAAACACAGAGCCCTTCTGACATGCCACAACAGGGAAATAAACACCTTACACTGGATTTTCTTAGGTTCTTTGCGTATGTCAGAACCGATTGTGTTGTTCAGCACTTTGGGAAGTTCTCCTGTAACCTAAGGCAGAAAGCTTTGCTTCAGACGCATAACATATATCTTAAATCTCCTTCACCACTAGATTCTAAAAGAGTGGATTGAAAAAACCAGCAGTTTTGATGAACCATTTACAAAGCTTTGTACAGAAATATACGAAATGGTCTTCCTGCCAATCTTCATATCATCTTGACAAGTTCTTTGCAGATTTCATTCCCCCCCATGCATAGCTTGCAACAACAAGGTTTGTTGCTTGCTTTACTGGTGCTGAGCTTTCCATTCCCCCACCACCATATTCTCACAGTAAGAAAGTTACAGTCTAGTCCTTCCACATTGTGGCAACCTATGGTGTGTTCCTTCTTGGCTCCTGCACATCTTTTCATTCATACTTGTTTAAAAATCTTTGGAGAATGAAATGCATTGGCAGTGCAAAATGGGGTCAGGTGGGGAGAACTGTTAAGCAACAAAGTCAACGCAGGAGCTGTTGTTTTTTAAGATAAGGCTTCTTGGGTTGCAGGGGAGGGTGTTATCTGCAGGCGCAGGATTCCACTGTCATGTTTGGGTAGACTTTGAGTACCACGTTCTTGTTTTCATCGAAGAATAAGATGCTGAGAGACGACATCTTGTCTGGGACGCAGCAAGGCTCTGGAATCCCAGAGACCACACCCACAGCTCTCACAATGCTTTGGATAGTTGCATGGTTAGAGGGTTTCAAGGCCTGCAGAAGAGAAGAACAGCAGTTAACTGGGCTGGGAACACACAATGTTTAACTGATCCTTTACAGCAGCAGCACCGTGAATAGATCTGCAGTGTTTTTACACCAGGTTTAATTGCCAAGGCTTCCCTGAAAGAACAATGGTTTATTCCAATGCTTTAGATCTGATGGCTGTTTTGGAATTTGTTGTTGCAGTTCTGGCATGAATATTTTGCGGTTTGAACAGTGATCGCTCCATATTTCAGGACTGTTAGGATACATGGGTTTGTTAGCCACCTTGATTATCCTTTAAAAATAAGGCAGGTTATATACATTTATATATATAATAATAATAATAAATTCACTGCATGTTCTAATATCTCAGTTTGGTTTGGCATTATTTCAGGTTGATTAGAGATAAAGTGACTTGGAAGGCTTGCAGCTCCCAGTCCTACATGTTTACGGAGTTCAATGAGTTCCTTGGGCTACTGTACGCCCCCTGCACATAGGTTAGCATTACTAATTAATTCTGCACATCACAGTTTATGTAAGTGAAAGAAATCCTCAACCAAGCCATCTTATTGGACACTGTACACCTTCCTTAACTGATCTGAAAACCAGCTCTGATAGAGCAAGTGGTTGGTGACCCAGGGCTTGAAATAGCTGCCGTGTTGGATATTGCTTATCAAATGCAATTAACGAACCGTTTGCATGTCAAAATGCCACCTTTTGTATGTAAGATATCACTTATCAAATAAAATCCACAAACCGCTGCATGTCATCCTTCCTCTTAAGAGCTCATGATGTAATAAACGGAGGCTGCCCAGTTTACACTTGACTTGCTCTGTATAAAAGGACAGGGGCTGAATGTGGCTCTCTCTGTTTGGCCCTTTGGACTTTCCTCAGGTCACAAACCCTCTTTCACCAGATCACACCTCTCACCAGCCCAACATCGCACCTGCCCAGTGTTTTTGTCTGGTTGGAATGTGTCCTCCAGCTCTGATAAAACTTTTTGGTTGCCTGGAGGATGGAGAGAGGTGTGTGAATTCTGGGTAGATAGTAGCCTACTGTAAAAAGATAAAATTCACATGTAATTCTCTGCCCTCTTTTGCCTCTGACCCCACCAGTGGCCTAGTGTGGGCTGCCAGCGCCCAGGGCCTTGCAGAGGGAGGGAAGTGGACGGAGTACGCATGCGCACTCAACTGCCTAACAGCGTCTGCATCACCCAAAAGATCGTAGCTGCAGAGATAAGAAAAGAGAAGCAGTTCCATTGTTTAGAGAGATCACTTCCTGGTTCACACAGAGAAGCCATTTTCAATGGAACCCAGCGACAGAAATACAGAGCTATACTGAGGCAGTGCTGGGTGTTGAAATTTTGCACCCCTAGGAATTTTGTGCTCAGGGCAACTGTCTCTGTGCCCCCCCCCCCCCATTCTCCGCCACTGGGCCTCACCCACTGCTGGCATGCACCAACCACCCCTCCTGTGAAGGCTGCTTAGAAGGAAATGTGCCCATTGGGCAGAAAAACGCCTTGATCTGTTAAGATAGTGTCCTGCAATTATTAGTAGCAACCAAGCGCATCTTGCCTAACATGCACATTAGCGGCCATGCCTATGCAAAATCAGGTTCCCTAACTGGATGTGGGAACATGCATACAAATTGATGGTGCCCATATGGTTTTCCCAGTAGTGATGTATGGAAGTGAGAGCTGGACCACAAAGACGACTGATCACCGAAGAATTGATGCTTTTGAATTATGGTGCTGGAGGAGACTTTTGAGAGTCCCATGGACTGCAAGAAGATCACACCTATCCATTCTGAAGGAAATCAGCCCTGAGTGCTCACTGGAAGGACAGATCCTAAAGCTGAGTCTCCAGTGCTTTGGCCACCTCATGAGAAGAGAAGATTCCCTGGGAAAGACCCTGATGTTGGGAAAGATGGAGGGCACAAGGAGAAGGGGATGACAGAGGACGAGATGGTTAGACAGTGTTCTCAAAGCTACCAGCATGAGTTTGACCAAACTGCCGGAGGCAGTGGAAGACAGGAGTGCCTGGCGTGCTCTGGTCCATGGGGTCACGAAGAGTCGGACACAACTAAACAACAACAACAAAATGTTCCCCCAGCTGACTCCAGTTACCAGGACTGCATGTTTGTAGCCTAGAAAGCAGCAAAGCTGGAATATGAGCCAGCTCTTCGGGAGGAAAGTGGGGACTGGATTCTGTCCCCTCTCTGCCCCTTCCCCATCAAACAGCTAATCCAGGCAGATTCCAGCTCCCCTTATCACGCTATGCACGGCTATCTCTGGCTGCTGCACATGCACTTCATTGGATTTGGCCTCTCACTCCATTCAAGAGCAGGCGGGTAAGATGTGTTTTTAATTTCAGTGCAAGATGCAATTTCCCTCCCGGTAATCTTTAAATTCCTCTCCAAAATGGAACATAATGCCAGCAGACCTCTCTCCCTTTCTGTGGATGATTTGCTGAAATGGAAGGTGTAGCAGTTTATAAAGAGATCTCTGTTGCATCTGTTAACACCCCAAAATGGGAAAAGGGGTTCCTCAATGCGCTGCTGTTTGAGCCAGTCAATATCTTATGTAAGAATAATTTGCAATATATTGTTCTCTGTCTTTTGTTCCTCCCCCAGCCCCCAGTGTTCCTGTTAAAGGATTTAATGCATAAAATGTGGGGTGGAGTGGGGCAGGGAAGATGAGGAGACCTTTGAGCCCATTGTCTGGATTTCTTTTCCAGAAACATTTCTAGAGGTCCCACGTCTTTAGAGTATGTACAAAATGAAGTCAGAAAACAGGAGAAGACTATTTTACTGCAGGCATACGAATTAGGACAGAGAAATGAAGGCTCTTATGCTATCCCTAGGCATGCGCAGGAATTTTCTAAGGTCCTTTTGCTCTCACCGAATGCCAGGAACAAAAGGTTGCATTAGGGATCCATGAAATATCCATTGTGTCTTATGAGCTAAAAGGAATTGGAAACAGGTGCTCTGCTGATGTCAAGTCTGTTTTATTAGGAACGCTGGGAGGTTATGCTTCTCCAAAGTCAATTGCAGTTTCTGAAAGGGGCTGCGAGTTTATTGTTCTGCTTTTGTGGTTTTATGCACAAAATAGCAATAAAGATGTTTGCTGGCCTGCGGTACCCTTCCTGCACGGTTGTGGTATGAGAGCAACTTCTCTCCGGTTGACGCAGAGCCTTGCTTGGATGCGGTTTTCAGTTTAAATTTAAAACTCTTGGTTTTCCCTTCCAGGCACTGCACTAAGAAATATGAATGAACCTCTTGATACTCAGAGCCAGCCTAGACATTCAACAGAATCAAGCTGTAAAGTTTTTCCTGGTCTTCAGGCTATAGTAAAATAGCATGTCAAGGAGGATTCCCCCCTGCCCCAGCTGTTAATTTCCTATGTGCAGTTTTTATATGAACGTACAGTGCAGAACTTGAAGCAATAGAGTGCAGTATAAGTGCCACCATTTGGTTCTCCGGAACTGGGAAACAGAGCCTGCCAATAGGATGTCCTACCGCCCCAGAGTTTGCTGAACTACAATTCCCATCATCCCTAGCAATTTGTGTTGCTGCCTGGGACCAATGAGAGTTGTCGTCGAAAGCATCACATGGGCTACCCATCGTGTAAACTGACCCACAGGGTCATACTAGATGTGAGAGCTGCAGTTCTATTTGTTTAGACCCAAAACTGCTCTGATCAAGTGTCTGAGCGAGGAGACGGGAATCCTTCTGCCTGCCTGAAGCTTCTCTCCTGAGCTGCTGTTCTCCTCAGCTGAACTCTGACCCTGGAAGTCGGCTCAGCTATCCAAAAAGTTCTTTGGGAGCTATAAGCATCAGCCGGCCCAGAGAGAGTTGAGTGTTGTGCCTCCTTCTTGCTGTTAGAATCAGATTGCTTATCCATCCATTTGGCACATTTGTAGCATATATTTCCTTCAAAGTGTTCAAGATGGCATTACATTATTAATTGCAAAAATATTTATGCACAGGCGATGGCCGATTTACGTGCATCCAATTGACACTTGATCGCATGACGCCAATCCCAGAAGTGACCTGAAAACGTCATTAAAGGTAAAGGGAAAGGGACCCCTGACCATTAGGTCCAGTCGTCACCGACTCTGGGGTTGCGCCGCTCATCTCGCTTTATTGGCCGAGGGAGCTGGCATACAGCTTCCAGGTCATGTGGCCAGCATTACTAAGGCGCTTCTGGTGAACCAGAGCAGCACACGGAAACGCCATTTACCTTCCCACCAGAGCAGTACCTATTTATCTACTTGCACTTTGACGTGCTTTCGAACTGCTAGGTTGGCAGGAGCAGGGACCGAGCAACAGGAGCTCACCCCGTCGCGGGGATTCGAACCGCCGACCTTCTGATCGGCAAGCCGTAGGCTCTGTGGTTTAACCCACAGCTTCACCCGTCATTAAAACGTCACTAAAAGGTCATTAAAAGTCACTAAACGTCATTAAAAGTCACTAAAAGGGTGGAACTGTGTGGGGCAGAACATTTTATACAGGCCCTGCCAGAACTGACACATGGGGATCTGGAACATAACCCCCTGCACAAAACAAGGATTGCCTATATTGCTATACAGTGGGACCTCTGGTTACGAACTTAATTCGTTCCGGAGGGCTGTTCTTAACCCGAAACCGATGCTTTCGCTAATGGGGCCTCCCACTGCCGCCGCTGCACAACTTCTGCTCGCATCCCGGGGCAAAATTCGCAACCAGGAACATCTACTTCCCGGTTAGTGGAACTCGTTACCTGAAGCGTTCGTAAGAAGGACGGTACGCAACCCGAGGTTCCACTGTATAATAAAAAAATGCAGTTTACAGCAATAAAAACTCACAACATATATTCTTCCCCATCATTTTATTCTTATAAACAACCCTGTGAGGTAGATAAGACTGAGGTGGCTGGCCAAAGTCAGGGGAAAATAATAGCATCTATCTCTGTGGTGTGTGTGTGTGTGTGTGTGTGTGTGTGTGATTTACAAAATAAAAATAAAGATGATGTGGGGGCTCCCATCTGTATTGGGGGCACTGCTGCTTTTTCTTCAAAACAAAAGTGGGCAATTTAAGCATTCTGTTTGAAAAGTGTTCATAATTTTATGTGTACGTTGGCCCACGAAGCAAACAACAAAACTGACCAATGCAGGCTTATAAATAGTGGCTTGCATGATTGTCAGTGAGCAGTTAGGGAACATGTTGTAAATAAATAGTAAGACTTCCACCCGCCACCTTTTTATTACTGTCAATACAGGTAACTAATGCTGTGAGTTCAGACAGATGGGCTGGTGGACTGGTAACATCTGACAATTTTATTTGCAAGACAGGACTAATATGTTTATCAGCTAAAGAAACAAACCTGTTCGCCGCCTGGAACATTATATGGGAAAGGTAGGACAAAAATATTTTGAATATATAGCTGCAACTAGTAAAATAATTTAAAAAATAGGCATAGGTATATTCTGAAGGCTCTTGGTATCTAAACCTCATGCAGACCCCAGAGTCAGAGCAGCTACAACAGCAGCCTCTGCTCCCCAAATTGGCGATCAGCAAATTCTCCAGGGACAGCCCCAGATTTACAGAAGCTGCCCCAGTTTCTGATTTGATATAAGAATGTTCTGCTTTTCCTTAGGACACCCCTATTTTCATTGGAGAAATGTTGGAGGGTATGGAATTATGTGACCCTTTGAGTCAAGGAGATAAGTAACTAGACAACCTTTAGAAGATAACTAGAGGTAGCCCTGTATGGGGAAGTTTCTAAATGTTTTATTATTATTTTATATATGTTAGAAGCCGCCCAGAGCGGCTGGGGCGACCCAGTCAGATGGGCTGGGTGAATATATACCGTACTTTTCGCACCATAACACTCAGTTTTTCCCCCCTAAAAGGTAAAGGGAAATGTGTGTGCGCGTTATGGAGCGAATGCAGGCAGGAGGAGCCACTCTTGCTGGCTGTTCGGCAGCCTCTCTTCCTCCGCTTGGCTCGCTGAGAAGCCGGCAACAGCTGAGCAACAGCTGAGTGTCAGGAGACAGCCTCTCTTCCTCCTGTCTGCCTGCTCTATGGCTTTTTGGTGAGGTGGGAGAAGGGAGGTAGCTCGGAAGCCGGCAAGAGCTGCGCGCAGCGTGTAAAAGCCAAGGTGGGGAAAGGGAGACAGCCTCTCTTTCTCAGTGTCTGCCTGCTCTATGGCTCTCCCTTACACAAATGTAAGCGGCTCTTACTCTGCTTTCTTTACAATGAGCCGGAAGGAGGGACAAAGAGGGCATCCCCTTCCGTCCCTCCCCCAGCACCTCACCGGTAAATTCAAACAAAGCAGCTTACAAGGCTCGTGTCCCTGAGTCTCCTCCTCCTCTTTTTGCTCCGGTTCGAGGCAAGGCAGCTGCACAAATGTGAGTTCCCCCTCTCTCTTCCCTCCCTCCCTCCCTCCCTCTTCCAACTTCAAAAAATATTGGGGGGACAGCCAGGTAAGCCCCACTCACATACCACAATGGGGGGGTGGGGGATGACTCCCTCAAATATTTAATGGGGGGGGTGAAGGCACCTAGGCCTATAGGAGTTGGCTGCTTTGCCTAGGATAAGTGTGAGCTCCCCCCTCCTCTTCCTTCATCACTGTATTGGAGATACCATACATTACTGACAGTTCCTTCATTCACGTGGTTACAAAGCACGGATCCACATGGATCCTCAGGATTTTTGCACTGGGTCACCCCAAATTCACCATCAGATCACATAGCATGTCCATGGCTACAGCTTGCACCAAAAAAATCACGCACCCACTGTTGCCTGGGGCCGCAGTGGTGCAAAAACATGGTTACAAAGCATGGATCCACATGGATCCTCAGGATCTTTGCATTGGGCTACCCCAAACTCACCGTCAGATCACATGTCTGTGGCCACAGCATGAACCACAAAAATCATACATCCACTGTTTCGTTTAGAATATTTTTTTTCTTGTTTTCCTCTAAAAACTATGTGCGTGTTATGGTTGGGAGCATGTTATGGAGCGAAAAATACGGTAATAAAATTGTTGTTGTTGTCAAAATAGGATGTCCCTGTTTTCATTGGAGAAATGTTGGTGGGTAACCTGTCCATTCTTAAGGAAATCATCCTTGAATGCTCACTGGAAGGACAGATCCTGAAGCTGAGGCTCCAATACTTTGGCTACCTCATGAGAAGAGAAGATTCCCTGGAAAAGACCCAGATGTTGGGAAAGATTGAAGGCACAGGGAGAAGGGGACGACAGAGGACAAGATGGTTGGACAGTGTTGTCGAAGCTACCAGCATGAGTTTGACCAAACTGTGGGAGGCAGTGGAAGACAGGAGTGCCTGGTGTGCTCTGGTCAATGGGATCATGAAGAGTTGGACACGACTAAACAACTAAACAACAACAACAACAACAATGCCTGAAGGCCAGAAACAAAAGTGGATGTGGCTCTTACCTTTGACCCATAGGTTGCATTTCAGCCACACACAAAACCAGAAGGTTGTGCACATACCCAAACCTTCCATCCATGCAAACAAGAAGCATTGTCACAGGTCAATGACACATTCCATGCAGGCAAAAGCACTCCAGGAGGGTGTGGCCTGTAGGGATTCCCAAGAGCCATCTAGAGATGCCTGCCCCCCCTACATTTGCCTCCTGGGCTTGAGGTTCTCCATCACCCCTGAGCTACATAGTAGATAAGAAAGAGGAATTCCTTTTCAGAAGCAATTTTTCGTCCTAGCTTTCCCTCTGAGTAGCAATTCTTTATGTGTGGGACTGTTGGAATGCCCAGTCCTCTGCCTGCAGTACTTTTCGGTGCATATATTTGTCTCTGCGTTAGAGCAGCTCAAGACTTTGCACAACAGCCACCTTTAGTGTTGCGCAGGTGTTTCCTGTAGAAAACACATGGAGTGTAAAATAAAATAAAATGATGAGTGTCCTCAGACACCTACGGACATGTTTTTGGGAAGCTAGATGAAAGTAGGGCTGTTAAGACAGACAGAGTGGTAATGATTCAAATCCACATGGATTTCCCCTCTCCACCTCTCCGGTTTTATTATCTCCCCCAGCTCCCAGCTGGTCTGCATCTGGATATCCAAGATGCCTACCCGAGCGAGAGGGGGTTAATGGAAACACGGCAAGGAAGGGGAAAAGGAAGAAGTGTGAGTAGTTACAAAGGAGCAGAGGAAGCTGCCTTGTATCAAGTCACACCATTAGCCCATAGGAAGGGAGGAAGAATTTGGTGCAGTTCACATTTAAAGGCAAACTGGCTGAACTTGCACTTAAGATGGTGGGCCATCTTGTGAAAAAAATAAGCAAACCAAAACACAATGATCCTTCCCCGGTTTGTGCTTCTCTGAATTTTGAGATACAGCTCTCCAGCCAAGTAATGTGTACAGTGGTACCTTGGGTTACAGACAGTTCAGGTTACATACGCTTCAGGTTACAGACTCCGCTAACCCAGAAATAGTACCTCAGGTTGAGAACTTTGCTTCAGGATGAGAACAGAAATTGCGCAGTGGCAGCGCGGCTGCAGCAGGAAGCCCCATTAGCTAAAGTGGTGCTTCAGGTTAAGAACAGTTTCAGGTTAAGAATGGACCTCCGGAAAAAATTAAGTACTTAACCCGAGGTAAGGTAAAGGTAAAGGGACCCCTGACCATTAGGTCCAGTCACGGACGACTCTGGGGTTGCGGTGCTCATCTTGCTTTACTGGCCGAGGGAGCTAGCGTACAGCTTCTGGGTCATGTGGCCAGCATGACTAAGCTGCTTCTGACGAACCACAGCAGTGCACGCAAACGCTGTTTACCTTCCCACCGGAGCGGTACCTATTTATCTACTTGCACTTTGAGGTGCTTTCGAACTGCTAGGTGGACAGGAGCAGGGACCGAGCAACGGGAGCTCACCCCGTCATGGGGATTCGAACTGCTGACCTTCTGATTGCAAATCCTAGGCTTTGTGGTTTAACCCACAGCGCCACCCACGTCCTCGGGTAACCCGAGATACCAATGTATTAAAAAGCACATATTAAGGTGGGTGTAAATGCATATATTAGTGAAAGCGACATGTAAAAGTGCATTATGTCAGGGAAAATATCACACAAAGGTGCATTAGATAAGGGATAATCACTTTGCAAAAATGAAAAGGAAAAGTCCTCATTGCCCAAGTAGCTCAGTTGGTTAGAGCATGGCGCTGATAATGCCAAGGTTGCAGGTTCGATCCCCGTATGGGAGAGCTGCGTATTCTTGCATTGCAGAGGGTTGGATTAGATGATCCTCAGGGTCCCCTCCAACTGTACAGTTCTATGAGAAGACTGGCATTGCATTGCAAAATTCAGAGAAGTGCAAATTTCACAGGATGGCTGCACTTCAGAGAGCAAACCAAATGCAAACTGCATTTAATGTCTCTAAATGCCCTTGCCCCTACTGCACATCTCTAGGCACTGACCAGAATCAGTCTTACTTATTTTCAACCCAGTGGATGCACCACGTGCCTTTCCTCTAGTTCCCTTGAAAGGAAGAGGCCTACCAGAAACAATCTTTTGAAACATTATATGGGGAAATGACAAAAACTTTTGTTTCACGAGTCTTTAGGGGACTCTAACATGACTTTTGTTTGCTGTTCTTCTGCTTAAATGTAGTTGTTACTGATGTTGTTTTTTTGCAATTTTGTGTGTGGCTTTATATGCGGGATTCTTGGGGTGTTGTTTCAAATTGTAAGCAGCCTCAAGGGCTTTGTGAAAGGTCAAATGTTGGAGGAATAACAAAAAATAAAGGCCTATTAATAGTCAGATAAATTAAAATAAATTAAAATAAAAAATAAAAATAAAAACACACCATTGCCATACGGCATCATCCACAGAGGAGAATTCCTTCCCAGACCAAAGGCAGCCATCTGCACACACCGTTCCAGGCACAGGAACTGATGAAATAGGCAACTGAATCTTACTTCAACATTGGCAACTTCAACATTCACTGCACTTGAGGGCCACAGGGTCAAGCACTTTGCCTTCCAGAACCTCGTTGCTGCTCCCCAACATCAGCTGCCTGAGGCGGTCACCTCATTCTGCCTAATGATAGGGCCAACATGGCCAGGGGCACCCAAGAGTTGATAATAATAATAATAATAATAATAATAATAATAATAATAATTAATAATAATAATAATAATAATAATAATAATAATATTTATACCTCACCCATCTGGCTGGGTTTCCCCAGCCACTCTGGGTGGCTCATCGAACATGTAAAACATAATAAAGCATCAAACGTTAAAAACTCCCCAATACAGAGCTGCCTTCAGATGTCTTCCAAAAGTTATGTACAGTGGACCCTCGGGTTAAGTTACCTTCGGGTAACGAAACTTTCGGGTTGTAAACGCAGCAAACCCAGAAGTGGGTTTGCCACTCGCACATGTGCAGAAGCGGTCCTCCAGTTACGGAAATTCCGGGATACAGCCAGGCCTCCGGAACAGATCCCATTCATAACCGGAGGTACCACTGTAGTTCTTTATCTCCTTTGACATCTGAAGGGAGGGCGTTCTACAGGGAGCGTGCCACTACCGAGAAGGCCCTCTGCATGGTTCCCTGTAACTTCCCTGAAACCAGCAGAAGATCCTCAGAGGAGGACCTCAGTGTCTGGGCTGAGCAATGGGGGTGAAGACGTCCCTTCAGTTAAAAGATTAGGTTGCTGCTTCTGAAGCTCTCCACGCTGGCCTGCCTGGCTGCCATTCTCCTAGCATAGGTTTTGTGGCAAGAGGCATGCAGCAAGAGGGGGTTAGGATGCCTGGATGAGCCACTACAAGATAGGTCTGAACTTCGGGAGAGCGCCAGTAATAACAAAGACATGGAAAAAGAGGACAAAGATTTTTCTCCCTCTCTCACTAGAACTTGTGGAAACCCAACGAAACTGAAACAGAATGTTGAAAGATTCAGGACAGGTGAAAGTAAGTATTTCTTCATATTATGCATAGTAAAAAAGGTAAAGGGACCCCTGACCATTAGGTCCAGTCATGGAGGATTCTGGGGTTGTGGCGCTCATCTCGCTTTATTGGCTGAGGGAGCCGGCGTACAACTTCCGGGTCATGCGGCCAGCATGACTAAGCCATTTCTGAAGAACCAGAGCAGCTCACGGAAACGCCGTTTACCTTCCCGCCAGAGTGGTACCTATTTATGTACTTGCACTTTGACGTGCTTTTGAACTGCTAGGTTGGCAGGAGCAGGGACCGAGCAACGGGAGCTCACCCTGTTGTGGGGATTCGAACCGCCGACCTTCTAATCGGCAAGCCCTAGGCTCTGTGGTTTAACCCACAGCGCCACCCACATCCTTAAAATTATGCATAGTATATAAATCTAATTAACAACAATAATTTATTTGTGCTTTTATCTTGTGAACCACACTGAGATCTTTTGATGAAGGGCAGTATATAAATGTTAGCAACAACAACAATAGTTAAACTATGGAACTCTGTTCCACAGGAGCAGTGATGGCCAACAACTTGGGTGGCTTTAAAAGATGAACAGACAAATTCATGGAGGAGGAGATAGCTATCAATCACTGCTAGTTACAGTCCTAGACTGTAATGGTTCTGAATACCAGTTCCTGGAAACCACAGGAGGGAAGTGTGTATCTGTGCTCAGGTCCTCGGTGTGAGTTTCCCACAGGTACCTGCTCCAAGGCAGCCACCTATGGAATCCAGATAGTAGCTGAAACATCCCATGCCAACGGCGTGATTTCTTCTCCAACCTAGTGGAACCTCATAGTTTAGTGCATCCTTCTCCCCAACCAAAGCACTTAGTTTCCAGCACACCGATTTTTAGAAATGGGCTGCAACTTTTATAAAGCACTAAACACGGTTGTATTTTATTATTTTTTTAGAAACGGGCATGCAGGGGATATTAGGGATGATTAACCAGGCAGTCACGCGTTCACACATTATTATTACCCAATAAGCAATTTATAGCATATTTGAATTCTGTAAAAAAAAGCCTGCTGTAATTCTCCCCTGTAACTTTATTTTTATACCTTTGTGTAAATCAGTTCTGGATTCTTACTTAGCCATTAGGAAGAGAGAGAGAGAGAGAGAGAGAGAGAGAGAGAGAGAGAGAGAAAGCCCACTTACTGCATACCATGGTTTAATAACAATCAAGCTGGATTTTATTGACACTTTTAAGAAAGCCATGTGCAGTTTGTTAAAAGGATGGGGCTGCGTTTTTCCGCACTGTGTAGAGATAAAGCAAGATTTAATATATAGAGAGAGGGGGGGCAGCCCTGAGTGCTCACTGGAAGGACAGATCCTGAAGCTGAGGCTCCAATACTTTGGCCACCTCATGGGAAGAGAAGACTCCCTGGAAAAGACCCTGATGTTGGGAAAGATGGAGGGCGCAAGGAGAAGGGGACGCAAGAGGATGAGATGGTTGGACGGTGTTCTCGAGGCTACCAGCATGAGTTTGACCAAACTGCGGGAGGCAGTGGAAGACAGGAGTGTCTGGCGTGCTCTGGTCCATGGGGTCACGAAGAGTCGGACATGACTAAACGACTAAACAAATATATATATAGAGAGAGAGAGAGAGAGAGAAATACTGTACCTTTGGAATCGGGAACTGGCATTCACCTGAGCAATAATAAGCATCAAAAGATTTAGGGGAAATAATCCATTCGCTCCAGCCAATATCTGCAAAATCCACTTTGAGGTAGCGCCGTGTGCAGTATCTCGGCTCGTTCCACTGCTTCCTCCTTGCCTTTTTCAGAGTCTGCTCATCGAACTGCAGCGTTTGGCTTTTCTGGTGGTTGTTCTTTCTCTGCTTCTTCTTGTTCTTTGCCCTCTCCGCCAGCCGGGGCTGCAGCGTTTTGTAGTGCTTCCTCTCCTCCCAACCTTCATCTTCGCTGTACTGATACTCGGCCCCCGGGAGCTCGTTGTTCTGCAGAGGCAGCAAGACGCTGGCGGAGCGCTTTTGCCGCCGTTCCCCCAGCCCGCGTTTCAAATGGCGGTCTAATTTGGGGAAGCTGGCTGGAAGCGGGCTCCAGTGTCCTTGCAAGCTGGAGACGACACTCTCAGGCTCCGAAATCGCAGAGTCATTCGCGTAAATGAGAATGTACGGCTCGTAGCTGGGATGCATGTTCTTCCAGGTGTGCCGGCCGACAGAGGCCATTTTTACTCCAATGAGCAGGTCGTTGTTTTGTTTTGCCTTGCTCAAGACTTGAGTGATGTTCTTCCACTGCCAAGAAAGGACGTCCCGAAAAGCAGTGGAGACATTGATGGAGTAATGCCCCAGGGTCCGAGTTTGGTTTCCCGTTGGAGGAAAACTCAACAGCGAGAGGCTGATCTGCATGTCGGGCTTCCTGTGCCCGTGGCGAGAGCAGCCCTTGATATGAGGGCAGTTATTGCTACTGTTCTGGAGATCCCCAACGTAGTAATGCAACAGAGCAGACAAGATGTTTTCAGACTTCGTGAGGGAGGTCAGGTTAAAAACCCTAACTTCTTTGCTGCCAGGGATCCCTAGGAGAAGGGAAAAAAAACATTTGTGTGAGGATAGAGAAGGTCAGGCAATCTGCCTGTGACTATCATACAAGTCAGTTTAACACAAAATTTCTTTTTTAATTGCATTTCCTTCAACTGATTCATCTTATTCTATAGATAAAACAGGACTTCAGCTGATCAATTGGCAAGGATGCATTTTCATCAATAATAATAATAATAATAATAATAATAATAATAATTTATTTATACCCTGCCCATCTGGCTGAGTTTCCCCAGCCACTCTGGGCGGCTCCCAGTCGAGTGTTTAAACAATACAGCATTAAATATTAAAAACTTCCCTAAACAGGGCTGCCTTCAGATGTCTTTTAAAGATAAGACAGCTGATAAGATAAGATGGGAAGGACATGCCAGATATTGCTTTGCTACTTTCTTGGAACGAAAAGGAAAATGTTAAATACAGAGGTGGGAATTTAATAACTAACAAACCCGAGCTTGCCTTTTCCTCCTCCCTCCCCAACTCTTTTCCTCTTGGGTTGTGTCTTCAGAATGTAAGCCTGAGGACAGAGACTGTATTATTACTGCTATACTGCATCATCACTGATATTTTAAAGACATCCTGCCCTGGAAACCTTTTTCTTTTTCTTTTTTGACTGAGGAGCAGAATCAAAGCGCTTTAAGTAAATAAATGAATAGAATTGTACATTCTCCAACATAATACAAAAAGCAACCGTATCCACAGATGATTCCTCATTGCAGGGGTTTGGACTGGATCCCTTCCAACTCTACAATTCTATGATCATAGAATCATAGAGCACAATTCTGAATACATGCGTCCCCAGATGTTAATTCCACTGAGCTCAGTTGGGCTAACTTCAAAGTAAGTGAGTATGGAACTGTAACCTTAAAGCGGCTTCACCCATCTAAAAAGGAAATTCCTGCAATAATAATAATAATAATAATAATAATAATAATTCCCTCTATTTCCTCCAATGATCTTAAGTTGGCATGTGCAACTTATCTTGAGAACAACCCGTAGGTAAGGCTGAGAGCCCAAGGTCACCTAATGAGCTTCATGTGATTGAGTGGGGATTTGAACCCTGCTCTTCCAGGTCCTAGGCCAGCACCCTAACCACTACACCACACTGGGTCTCATGATTTACATTCATGCAGGCACACTCATCAGGATTCTGGGATTTGCTGCAGGAAAGGATGGGAGAGAAAATCAGTTCAGTTTGCATTTTAATGCCAGTTTGCATTTCAATGCCAATCAACTTGCACTTCCCAAAATAAGACGTGAACCGAAACACGGGTTTCTTCTGAAAAATCACACTTCTGTGACTCTTGCAATGTGGTTCTCCAACAAAATAACTGGACAAAAATGTGTGTGTTAGGTATATTATATATGTGAAGAAATGCAGTATATTGAACAAAACAGCATGCGAAAATGTGAATACTGGGTGGTTGGAAAAACGATAATCTGAAATGGATGGATTCATCCATTCCTAGCTGTAGCTACCCTGCTACATGTAGATAACGTGGCAAGCACAGGTTTTGCAGCTTTGGAATGTGTGAAATAGCCTTTCATCTGCGAAAATATCCGGAGTGTTAAAATATGTGTTTCCCCTGTTTGTCCTCTTTTGGTTGGACAGGGGTCCTGCCGCTTGTGCTAGAGCTATAGAAGGTAGCCACATGGCAGGTTTGCAAGAAGTTTTGTGAGGTAAATTATCTGAATTATTGCAAAAATGGTTAAAGAGGTGGATTGTGAGTTAAGATAATTAAAGGCAATAGGAATTTAAGAAATGCAGAAGAAATGATAAAAATGGTGGATCATCAGAGGTGCTGATGGAAGTCCAAAAAGATTGTATAAGATGTGAAGTTCTGTGGAATGTATCATAATTGGTATGTTGAAATTAATAAAAATTATATATAAATAGGAAGGTAGCCACACGGCACCTAACGGCGAAGAGATTGACATCCAAAGATTGACATTATCTGCTTTAATGAAACACTCCTGTTTGCAGCTAGCTTGGAGGGGATGTTAAAGCGGGAGATTAATAATAATAATAATAATAATAATAATAATAATAATAATTTATTATTTATACCTCGCCCATCTGGCTGGGCTTCCCCAGCCACTCTGGGCAGCTCCCAATTGAATATTAAAAATACAATATAGCATTCAACATTAAAAACTTCCCTAAACAGGGCTGCCTTCAGATGTCTTTTAAAAGTAAGATACTTGCTTATTTCCTTGACATCTGATGGGAGGGCATTCCACAGGGCAGATGCCACCACCAAGAAGGCCCTGTGCCTGGTTCCCTGTAACCTCACTTCTCGCAGCGAGGGAACCGCCAGAAGGCCCTCGGTGCTGGATCTCAGTGTCCGGGCAGAACGATGGGGGTGGAGGCTGCTGGGACACCTCCCTACCCAATGCTCAGAATTATAAAGGCAAATTGTAAAGTCTGCAATCTTAGCTGGGAAGAAAACTGCTGCTCTAGCTGGTGCTTCTTGTCTTCCATTTTGGAGCTCCAACCATCTAAACAGCTGCAGAGTGCCATCTGGAAGCAACCTTAGTGCTCTGCAACCTATAACAACTTTTTAAACCTTCTTATAAAATTGGTGAGCCCATACAGACAATCAAAATAGTACAGAGTGAAGACTCTCATCCCTAGATAGCTTGGTCAGTGATCTCACCCTTTTAGGATTTTAGCATATTTCAGGTGTAGGTTAGTAGCAAAATGGTCCTCTCTACCTAAGAGCCATTTGCATCATTGGTGCCATGGCAATTGCTCAACTCCATGTGGAATTTAAACCAGATGGAAAAGGCAAGAAGACGGGATTGTTTTCTCCAGTTCTGTTCAGAGCACGTTGTGGAAAAATGATGAAGTGAAACTCAAACAAGAGGGTCACATTCTAGTTTAAAAGCCATTCCACTGAAGATACCCAAAGCAGGTTTCTCGATGTTTTAAAAACTTGCTGCTCTTCATCAATAGATGTCACTGTTTTCCTGCATTTTCAGCTAGCAAATGTTAGGGAAACTCCTGCAAGCTGGTTCTCGGATGCTGTCACCACAGATGCTGTGATGTTACACTAGCTTTGATTTAGAAAAGGCAGAAAGGAACACATGCCTATAACTCTGGAAGAGAAGTGGGGGAAATAATTTTTTCATGCAGCAGATACGCAGTTTGCTAATCATCATCTTTTAAATCATGGACAGCGGCCCAAGTAGAAAGCATGACCCAGAAGCCAAACCACAAGACGAAGGCTGCGCTCACAAGCGATGCTCAAATTGCTCTTTTTACATTTCCCATTTTGTAGCTCTAATGTAATGCCTGCACAGACTGGAAAGCAAACTGGATTAAAAATAACTCTCTTCTGCTTTCACCCCTGCATTAGCAGCGATCACACAACTGACAAGTTCCAGGCCAAAGCAGCAAACCCAGGTACACTTGCTTGTCGGTCTCATCTAATGGGATTTAACATCCCAAGTTACTATTTAAGACTGGGGCATGGGGTGTGTTTGCTTCTTCTTTTCAAAGCATCCCTTGATTTCAAAAACAGGGCCCAGAGCTGCATTTTTCATTCAGTTACAACCTCTTTGATTGGTTAGCATGGCCCTGGTAAAAATAGAAAAAGATGGAGGTGCTATGTTGCAGCAGCAGTGAGGGCAAAGTTAGGCAAAGTGATACAGCCCCCATTTGTTGTTGGACTACAACTCCCATCAGCCTCAACCAACATGGTCGATGATCAGGAATGATGGGAGTTGTGATCCAGCAACATCAGGAGGGCCACAGGTTCCTGGGGGAAGGTATTGTTTCAGGATGATTTTAAAGCCAGGAAACTGTAATGTTTTTTGCTTTACTGGATCTTGACTGTTTTTAACTGGAAATTTTGTGCATGCACAGACACACACACACACCTACACACCTGCCTTGGGTCTTCAGGATGCAGTAGATCTAAATCAAGCACTTTTTTTTTTGTTTTGTTTTAATTAACAAAATTTATGCTGCTGGATTGCAACAAAACGTCTAAGTACATTTAGCGGCCAGAACCATATTGGAAGAATCAACACGGCTGTAGGATGATCCTGGATATTGGATTTCTTTAGATTTTTATTTGCAGCAGTAAGCTAAAGGCAAATAACTTATCACAAGCGTGTTCCTTACTCCATCGCTGCCAACTCCTGTTCATTTCCTCCTCCTGCCATTTTGGGCACTTTCACATGGCTGAATGAGTCTCCGTGTTGACACAGGGCTGATTTTGCTTAACTATGAGTCAAACGTGTCAAGGTGATGATGGAGTGATGGATGGATGCAGACAGATTTTTGCAGAAGGGCTGCTTTGTACCCTTCCCCCACCCCCACACTCCTGATTGCCAATTTCACATGTGCTTCACATATGGTTTGTGGGGATGCACACAGAATATATATCCAGCCCCATAACAGGCAGTAATGGGTCTGCTTCTGCTCGTGGAGGGGGAAGCTTCTGATTGCCCAACTTTGCACTGAGAAAGTAACACTTCAGGATGGGGCAGTGCAATTATTTCCAAACCACAATATTTAAACATTATTGATACCTGACACTGGAGCTGCAGTTGCAATGAAGGACTTTAGGAGCGTATGATCAGGAAGCATTAGGAAACACTGTAACAGGTACATTCAACAGGTAAAATACCTATTACTCTATTCTGCTTTCCAGACCATTATTGTCTCCCAAAGCAGCTCGCATTAATTAAGGGGGGGGGGACAGGACACGTGAGGGAAGAGGAGCGGACAGGGAATTGATGGACCCAGTCAACTCACTAGCGACACTGTAGAACCAGACAGAGGGCCTTCTCGGTAGTGGCACCCGCCCTGTGGAACGCCCTCCCATCAGATATCAAGGAAATAAGCAGCTATCTTATTTTTGTGCTGTATTATTTTTAACACTCAATTGGGAGCCACCCAGAGTGGCTGGGGAAACTCAGCCAGATGGGTGGGGTATAAATAACAAATTTATTATTATTATTATTATTATTATTATTATTATTATTATTCCCTAAAAGCTCCTTGCACTTCTATAGGGAAGCAGAAACACCCTCACACTTTGCCTCCATTTAGGCAGGCAGCAGGGGCTGGTGGCAAGGCTACTCCTGAACCGTGTACGTCCTTATGGAATGATGCCCCACTAAAAAAAATTAAGAAGTTCCAAGCACACAGAAAAAGAGCATTATAGCTGAAGCCAGCCAGTGTGGTGTAGTGGTTAAGAGCGGTAGTCTCATAATCTGGTGAACCAGGTTCACTTCTCCGCTCCTCCACATGCTAGCCGAGAATGTTAGCCGCTTTGAGACTCCTTCGGGTAGTGATAAAGCGGGATATCAAATCCAAACTCTTCTTCTTCTTCACCCTGATACATTAATTTTCTGCATGCAGGGAAGGGGCTTAGTTTCTTGCTACATGGTGCTGTCCAAAGAAACTTTTGCCACTGAATTCTGCAGATCGTCGTGTATAGACTGACACTCTCCCAAGAGCCATTGTCCCAGGCACTGAATAACCTGTGTCAGGAACTTACACCTGCATAGTTAAGATCACTGGAGAGTTCTTTGTGGTGGGTAGGGAACCTGTGGCCCACAAAACCTGATTCTGGGTTTGGACGACACACTGAGCCAAACCATGGGCTTACTTAGCACAGCAGCAAAATGACCAAAGCTGATGGAATCTCCTTGCCTGCATGGATTGCTCATCTGCGGTAAGCCATGGTTTGGCTTAAGTGCTTCATGAAAACTGGGCCAATATCTGTTTTCCCTTGCAAATAACATTTGTCATTTGCATTCTGCAAACCTGCTATCTGGGCAGAATCATAGAATCATAGAGTTGGAAGAGACCACAAGGGCCATCGAGTCCAACCCCCTGCCAAGCAGGAAACACCATCAGCGTCTGGAGCAAGCAAAAATGCCCCAAAGTGTGCATCTAGCTGAAGATGTTTGCATAAACCCGATTCCTCTTTGCCAAGGCACTAAGAAGGGAGGTTAATTAATATTCTGCTGGATATTATTTTGCAAGGGAAGGCTTCCCAACAAAGGCATAATACAAATGCACTTCAGTATGATTGCTGTTGCTTTTTAATTAATATTCAGACTGCAATGAAGCGCAGAGCCGGTGCAGCCATTAGGCAGTGTGAGGCTGTTGCCTCAGATGGCAGAAGCCCCTGAGACGGTGACTGCATGGGCAACCTTGCCTGCCCTGCTGCCTCCGCCACTGGCAGAGAAGTGGTGCTGATATGGGACGAGATTGCACCGATTCCCAGCAAGATCTTGCAGAAATCACGTTAGATCTTGCGCTGGAAATTGGCACAATCTCACCCCAAAACAGCACCAATTCTGGTTCGTGGGCTTGGGGCAATACCCCTTGGCATCCTCCCAAGCTACACCAGTGAATTGACCCCCCCCCACACACACACACAAGAAAGCGAAGATGGCCATCAACTTGGATGGCTTTAAAAGAGGATTAGATAAATTCATGCAGGAATAAGGCCATCAATGGCCACTGTCTATGACGGCCACACTCTGCCCCCTGACTGTTGGAGGCAAGTAATGCTTCTGAATACCAATTGCTGGAAACTTTAGGAGGGTAGAGGGATCTTGTGCTCAGGTTCTGCTGCTATCACTACCACATGTTTTTGGGGGCTAGAACAAGTCCACTAGCATGTGGCATGTTTACCTTTACAGAGGATATACTGACATTTTTATGGATTGCCAAATCTATCCCATGGGTGAAAAGGGATGCAATAATGAGGGCTGCTTAGTTATATAGTCATCATTAGCCCTACTTTAAATTAGATATTAAAGCAGCATGCTGGCCCCATATACTTAAGAATGCACCAGCACTTCCATTATTAAACCCTCTTTTTGTGGCTTTATAACTCGGTCGCCAGTAGTGCGCTCTGAGGTGGAACTGAGAAGTAGAAAGCGCAAGTCTGCAAATGGCCCCCCCTTTTTTCCCCTTTCAAGCCTTGCTTAGTAACTCCTTCCAATTCTGCTCTACGTTTGCTTTGTTTTCACTTCCCCGGTAAACCTCCTTTATAAAAATGACAAAAGTACCTTATGTATATTCAGTAAATTTGTTTATGAAATGGGGTGACACAATTTTTATTTATGCATTTACAGGGTGCCCAAACTTCGTTGAAGCAAGCGCAGGTGAAGGAAATTCTGTTTTCATTGCCCTCTTCCCCCTGCAAAAGAAAGAAAGAAAGAAAGAAAGAAAGAAAGAAAGAAAGAAAGAAAGAAAGAAAGAAAGAAAGAAAGAAATCCTCCTTTTTCTCTTCCCAACCCAATAGTGTTTTGTCCTTCTTAGTAAGGTTCACTATGCTTCATTTCCTGTGTTATTTTTGACTGGTGTTTCAAACTGAACTAAGAAAAAGAACAGCTTGAAAAAAAGAAGTAGGAAACCATATGGTTGTAATTGGCTCAAGGACAGGTGTAATACCTGAAATGACTTTTCAGAGATCTAGGGTTTGGGGTTTTTTTGGGTTTTTTAGAGTGTTGATGAAGTCAAATTAACTGTGTTCATTAAATAGAACTGTTTGGTCTCTGTTCTGTCTTCTTTAAGTCTGTAGTCCTAAACACACCTATTAGGGAATAAGTCCATACATTGGGAACAGTCCCCCTCCATGTGCTATTCTAGGAGTTCTCTTGCCTGCCCCCCCCCACAAAAAATGCCAATTTGGGAGGGGTCATTAGACAGATGAGGAGAGAGAGAGGGAAAGCCCCACTGTGCTAAGGGAAAATCCTTGTGCAGGTTTCTGCCAGTGGGACTCATTAGCAGAATCCGACCCATAAGGTGCAATCTTAGCCAAAGTGAACCACTTTTAATCCACATTGATTTCAATGGAACACAGTTAAGCAGGAATAGCCGCCTGAGAAACAGTTTCTACGCAAATGCAATTCTGGTTCTAAACGCAGCATAAGGAGTCTCTATAGTATAGTGTATTTTAAAATGGGGTTTCAGAGTTTTTAGGGGTTTTTGAATGTTTTATGTAGTTTTTCAATTTCATTGTTCTGCTTGGGACAATGACAATAAAGATATCGTATATCGTATATATCGTGCTTTTTTTTCCTCATGGAAAGCAAATTTTTAACTTTGCTTGGATTGCACCTGTCAATTTAGCCTGATGTAAAGTGGCATACGGATCATATTCAGATTCGTACATTTGTTTGTGTATTCACTGTATATTCTTCTGTTGCTCCCAAAGGAGAAATAAAGTCAGCATGGATCAAGTCAGCATTGGGCCAGTCCCTATCTCTCAGGCTGGCCTACCTCACAGGGTTGCTGGGAGGATAAAATGGAGGGGGGGAGAACTATGTATTCCACCTTGGGCTTCTTTGGAGGAAAGGTGTGACATAAATTTACTTAACGAATAAAGTAAAATAATAATAATAATAATAATAATAATAATAATAATAATGTATTATTTATACCCTGCCCATCTGGCTGGGTTTCCCCAGCCACTCTGGGCGACTTCCAACAGAATATTAAAATACAATAGTCTATTAAACATTAAAAGCTTCCCTAAACAGTGATGCCTTCAGATGTCTTCTAAAAGTCAGATAGTTGTTTATTTCCTTGACATCTGATGGGATGGCGTTCCACAGGGCGGGTGCCGCTACCGAGAAGGCCCTCTGCCTGGTTCCCTGTAACTTGGCTTCTCGCAGTGAGGGAACCATGAGAAGGCCCTCGGTGCTGGACCTCAGTGTCCAGGCAGAACAATGGGTGGAGACGCTCCTTCAGATATACTGAACCAAGACCATTTAGGGCTTTAAAGGTCAGCACCAACACTTTGAATTGTGCTCGTAAACACACTGGGAGCCAGTGTAAGTCTTTCAAGACCAGTGTTATGTTGTCTCGGCGGCCACTGCCAGTCACCAGTCTAGCTGCCACATTCTGGATTAGTTGTAGTTTCCAGGTCACCTTCAAAGGTAGCCCCACATAGAGCGCATTGCAGTAGTCCAAGCGAGAGATAACTAGAGCATGCACCACTCTGGCGAGACAGTCTGCGGGCAGGTAGGGTCTCAGCTTATAATTACTGACTTATCCTTTGGATAAGTCAGTAATTATAAGGAGTATAATTAATGTAACCACAGCAAACATTGTCAGAATGTGCTATTTCATATAAAAAGGGTGGACCTTTACACTTTGCTGAGAACTTTGCTTCTCCTAAAAAGTCTCTTCCTCTTGCTTACCCCACTCTGGCCAAGGCAACTCCAAGACATTTTGCTGCCTGGTGACTAACATCCCCACCACAGAGTCAGGATACACAGTACCTAGGGCTGGGTCAAGTTATTTTTGCACTTGAGGCTGAAACCCACACAAACACCTGTTCCTAGCAGTAAAATAAAACAAAACAATGATATTTGCTGCATACCGGTAATTCAATTAAATAACTAGAAATTCACTGCCCTTTCATGAGGTAGCTGCCTCTAAGGTGGCCCTGTGTCCTATTTTACAAGGGACAGTCCTCCATTTGAAGGACTGGCATTTTGCAAGTCTAGTTTAATGTTTTTATACTTAAAATAATAACCATAGAAGAAGTGAAGGGGGCCAGAAATGTGCTATTTACAATGAATTCACATATTCCAGGAAAGGTCCTACCACCGATGCAGATATTCGCTTGTGGGATTCAGTTGAGGAGAGAGAGAGATAGCGCACCGGGAACAGTTTGGGTTGGTAGCTTATTTCAGGTTTGCACTCCGCTGAAGAATCTCAAGTGTAGAAAGTTCAGTCAGCGACAAGGTGGGAGAGGCATTCGAGCTAAAACTTCTATTTTTATCCACACTGCAAAATTCAATTTGAAATAAATTGGTTTTGGTGGGGAAGTCTTAGATCACTGCACATTTAAGGACGGCCAGCTAGAAAGGACAATGTTTTCTCAAGAATTTAAAGCAGATTGTGATGTTGGACTGATCAAAACATTCTGACAAAGGGCATTCTAAACCTGAGTTGTTAAGTTGTGGGTGAACATATCAGACGACACAGCGATTCTTCAAACAGCTCTTCTTTATTCAGAGGCCAGAACAGAACTGAACTGAAGGGCTCAGTCAGCCTGCTTATATAGAGCTCCAGTACAATGTTACTGTAGCAACTTTCTAAAACCATCCAATCACTGAATGTCACTTTTGATCCTTCATTTGCATAACTATCTACAGTATCCATCCAATCACCGAATGTCACTTTCGATCCTTCATTTGTATAACTATCTACAGTATCCCCCTGCTGGCCCAGGGTGAGAACTTCAGTACATAACATGAGTTGCCTTCAACATTTTTAGACCTGAGAGCCACCGTTAAGATAAAACTGCAACATGAGACAACCTCTTTTTTCTCATTTACCAGAGTTCACCTTCCTCCCATGCCACTCTTTTTGTTTACTATCTCCCTGTCCTTCCACTTTCTCTCGAAAACAATTAGAAAAGGTCGTGATGCTGCAATTACTACCCACTGTGATGCATCCAAGGAACACATATAAAGCACTTTTCTACTGATAGGTCTATATTCAATTACTGAGTCATGCACAGAAAAGACCCACGGAAATTAGAGGACATGGCTTTCTTCAGAGGCAGGCTTTGGTAATCTTTGGTAATATGGTGCCCTGAGCAAGGCCAAAACTTGGTGCCACCAAATGGCTCTTCTCAATCATGGATCATCTCGCTTTTGCTCCCCATTGGCCCGGTGCCCCATGCAGGGCAGAACCGCCTGCACCACCCTAAATCTGGCGCTGCTTACTTATGTCAGTGGGTCAAGTCTGAGCAGAATATAGTTGGATATAACCCAACATCTCCAAGCCAGTTCGCATACAAAGATTATATATCTACATACACACGGCTAAGACAAAGGCTGAAACCAGTGCGAAATATCCTCAGCAACAGGTTTTTAAAGTGCAGTAATTATATTCCACCAGGAGCCTTGGAGAAAACAGCTTTCACCTGCACACCCGGCAGGGATATGCAGCTAATCCTGGCTCTTTGATAACACCTGTGTGATGCGTCTGTTGCCACACACCTGCTTGCAGCATTCACACACTTTGCATTTTTAGGTGTACACGGAATATGTGAGGAGGTCCTTTTAACTGTGCCTTCTCAGTGGAGAATTTATGCCCAGTGTCAGTTCACGCGGGGAGTGGGGGTGAAGTGTTGTTCAGTGCCAAAGACAACCATAAATAATAGTTCCCTTCTTGGCTGTTTCTGAACATTGTATCGAAACAACGTAATTAATACAATGTATGTTTTCATTTATGATTGGATCTTCCCTAAGTTCTTTCAAGATGAACTCCTCGTCCCACCATGACTGACTTTTGCTGATATTCAGGTGGACACACAATTCATCACCTAGAGGCTGTGATCTCCAAATCGCTTATTCAGACATTCTCGCAATACTGAAGTCTAAGGGACTAATGGCAGGGGGAGTCATGCAAAGATTCCTACCAGATGACTTTTTGATTTGTTTTAATTGTTAGATAAGCTGTCCCACAAAGAGATGCCTTTCCCCTTATGAGACACCCATTTTCTACAGCTGGCCCCAAATCTTTAATGAGGATGAACCTATTGTAGAAAAGTGGAAAAAATAAAAAGTACAATTTATGAACAAAAGTCTTCCTACATCAGCCTTCGCCAACCTAGTGCCCTCTGGACGTTTTTGGACTACAACTCCCATCAGCACGACGTGGCTATGGCTGATGGGAGTTGTAGTCCAACAACTTCTGGAGGGCCCCAAGATTCTGAAGGCTGTTCTACACCATAAGACGGAACGAGGTTGATAGAATTCATGTATAGGCTACAGGTGTGTGAAAGTGAAGGAGGGGGTGTTTTTGCAGGCTCCCAAAGTGCAAAACACACCTTGTACATACTAAGAAAGGCTCCTCAGGGGTCAGCAAACTTTTTCAGCAGGGGGCCAGTCCACTGTCCCTCAGACCTTGTGAGGGGCTGGACTATATTTTGAAAAAAATATATGAACGGATTCCTATGCCCCACAAATAACCCAGAGATGCATTTTAAATAAAAGCACACATTCTACTCATGTAAAAACATGCTGATTCCTGGACCATCCACAGGCCAGATTTAGAAGGTGATTGGGCCGCATCCGGCCCCCCGGGCCTTAGTTTGCCTACCCATGGCTCAGAGCAACCTTCTTCAAATGCACTACTAATTAAGGGCATTCAAAGAACTCACTCTGAAGTATAGGAAGAACATGGTGTGTGTGTGTGCGCATACACACACACACACACACTTGCTGTCTGATACGGGACAGTCCAGAATTCTGTCTGCTACATCAGTTTACCACTCCATAAAAATACCCACGGTGTGGAGACAGAAGTTTTTATCCCTCTGCCATAATACTAGGACTGAAGCTGAATGTTAGAAAACCCAAGACAGAACAAAAGGAATTACTGTTTGATGCAGTGAAGAATTAAACTAATGGGATTCATTGCCAGAAGATGTGGGGGTGGCCGCCGACTTGAGCAGCATTAAAAGGGGATTGGACTAATTTTTTTTTAGGGCTCAGCTACCAGCGGCTACTAGCTAGGATGGCTCTATAATAGTTCCAGCACCAGAGGCAGTGTGCATCTGAATGGCAGTTCCTGGGACTCACATGGGGAAAGTATTGTTGTATTAAGAAGGCTGGCCATAGAGGCATTGGGTTGGCCACTGTGAGAACAGGATGGACTAGAGGTGTCTTTGGCCTGATCCAGCAAATAATCTTCTTATCTTATTCCTCAGAATGGATAAACCAGCTGTTAAAACTGGTAAGAACAGATTCCCATGGAACCTTTTAGTGGAGGAGGTGAACAAAAACCCATTAATTCCCTGAGAAATTAATTCACTGATGAGTCAACATTGCCACCAAAGACCAGTGGAAATGGGGGCCACCTACACGCCGTGGAAGGCAATGCCAAAATCCTCGATTGGCTTCAACGGCTCAGCGTGACCAAATAATTTGTGTGCATTTTTGCTTACGAACCGAAAGGTGAAGATGGAGACAGGCACGATTTTTTTTCTGTGCAAATTCCAGCTAGCATCCAGTGTGCGTTGCGGATAAATTTCAATATGAAATACCTACCAATGGAAACAAAATATCCAATTTCCACTCCATTTTCAGCCAAGTATGGAACCTAGTGGGGGAAATGAGAAGCACTCCCCACCTTTATACGATCTAAGGTTTCACAGAAAATGTAGTTCTCTGCCATTAATAACCGTACAAATGAGCTGTCACATCCTAAGGGACAGGAAAGATAACACCTAACTGGTTAAATATTTTGCATAAATACTTATAAAAGTGTCAAAAAAAACTTATAGCCACTTCAAATTTATTTCTTTGGCACTTGAACTGCAAAAGGATCGGGGGGGGGAGGAAAAGGGTGAGCGAACTGTGTATTTATAGGACTTTTGCCACCCACAGTCAAGAAACAGAGTAAATACAAGCTAAAAGACCGCAAAGATGGGCTCCTTTCCAAAGACATTTTAGGTTTAGAACAATAAATACCTTTTAATCAGGTATCCTGAAAGGAGCCAAGATAACTTCCCCTGAGTTGTACCTGTGCGCTTTTTGATGAGTGGCACCGCAAAGGAGAAGACAAGAGTTCTGGACCATTTTGTTCCAAGAGGACTTTTTTAAAATATGGAATTCTCTTCAGAACCTTGGTTTGTTAACTGGCGGAGTTTCCCAGGTTGGGTGCAAAGAGGAATTCTAAATCAATGCAAGCCATGATCTTTGTGCTGAAGCCAGAATGGGATGGGAAGGGTGTAGAAGCAAGGGAGGGGCAATTATCCACAGTCTCACAAAACAATTGCCCATGGAGCCCTGGATGATCATTTGAACACGGCATGCCTATGGCAATGGGAGCTTGTGATGTGAAAGTACAGTGGACGCTCGGGTTGCGAACGTGATCCGTGCAGGATGTATGTTCGCAACCCGCAGCATTTGCAACCCGCATCTACGCGTCTGCACATGCGCGGGTTGCGATTTGGCGCTTCTGCGCATGCGTGACCGCCGTAAACCGGAAGTAACCCGTTCCAGTACTTCCAGGTTTCGGCGGTCCTCAACCCGAAAAAACGAAACCTGAAGCGGCTGTAACCCGAGGTATGACTGTACTGGCTCAATATTAATGATACCATCCAAATATATAAGAGCCGGTTCCTAATGCTGTCACACTGTGCTGTGACCAAGAACCAGGATGAAGCTATGCAGGTGAAGACAAGGTACTATGAAGAGTCCATGAGGCCACCAGGAGAAGGAAGCAGGTTTAGCCTCTCCTCTGGTGGCACCTGCAAGGCTGCCCCCTCCTGCATACAAGAAAATAGCTGCCATTCACTTCTGTGGGGAAATGTTCTGCACAGTGATGACCTTCACCTTGATACTGGCTGGCCTGGATTCCATTCAGGATTGTACTGTATGCAAATCCAGGAGTCTCTCTTTCACACCCACGCACCATTTTAACAAGCATTTTACAAGTACTGTAAAACACACACAGTGTTCTTTTGGAGTTCTCAGATACTAATAAGACTGCAGCCATGATGTTTTCAAACACGCGTTACACGTTAATCCTAAATGTCTGCACAAAATCTCTGCAACAACACTGTAATGCCACAATCGGATGGCATTGCACAGACTTTGCTGCACCATAGTCCTAAGCATTTGTTTGCCAATGCAACAACCTTTAGGACCAGGCCATGTCTATGTGATGCACCAAGCACTTCAAAGTATATATTTAATTATCTCACCCAATTTAGGCTCTCATAATGACAGCTGAGTACAGATGCTTAACGCGGCTTAAACCCATCAGGAATTCTCCAGGGAAAGTGCACTTAGATTCCAATGAAATTAATGGGGCTTATGTTTTTGAGTACGTGCCAAAATCCCATTCACTTCAATGGGACTCACTCAAATGTGACCAGCTTTCTTTGATTCGTATACAAGAGCTTCATTGGCACAAAGAGGCTACATCAGGGGTGCAATGCTGTGAGAAAGTCTCGCTGAGCTTTGAAGGGCTTGCTTCTGAATGGACATGCATAGGATTGGGCTGCAGGTACCATGCAGACGTTAAGTGATATGTGGAACTCAGCTCAAGATAAGATTGCTAGGTGCCCATATGCAGGTGAAATGCAAAGACTGTTAGAGTTGTTAGGTTACATTCAGGCCGCTTATGCCTTCTTTCCTTCAAAGTGTTGGTGCTGACCTTTACAGCCCCCAACGGCCTTGGTCCAGTATACCTGAAGGAGCGTTTCCACCTCCATCGTACTGCCTAGACAATGAGATCCAGAGCTGAGGGCCTTCTGGCGGTTCCCTTGCTACGCAAAGCCAAGTTACAGGGAACCAGGCAGAGGGCCTTCTCGGTAGTGGCACCCGCCCTGTGGAACGCCCTCCCACCAGATGTCAAAGAGAAAAACAACTATCAAACTTTTAGAAGACATCTGAAGGCAGCCCTGTTTAGGGAAGCTTTTAATGTTTAATAGGTCATTGTATTTTTGTGTTTTGTTGGAAGCCGCCCAGAGTGGCTGGGGAAACCCAGCCAGATGGGCGGGGTATAAATAATAAATTATTACTATTATTATTATTATTCCTTGCAACATCACATTCAATCACACACCGATCATAAGAACATAAGGACAGCCCTGCTGGATCAAGCCCAGCATCTTGTCCTCACAGCGGCCAACCAGATGCCTGAAAGCAAGACATGAGGACAAGAGCCAGTCTCCCCTCCTGCGGTTTCAGCAAAGGGCATTCAGAAGAATTTCTGCCTCCGATCACAGAGGAAAAAGTGCTGAACTGCTTATATCACATGAATAAGGGCAAAATAAACAGCTCTGGTGCCAACGAAGGTTTCCCTTGAAATGCAAATAGCTGCTTGAGAGAGCTCTTATTTTATTGGGAGCACGGCAGGAAGAGAGAGAGAGAATCAAGCTTCTCCTCCCTAAACTTCCCCTTCCCCTCCTTATTCCTCCCCCTCCCAGTTTCAAAGCTCCTTCTGTTTACATAACCCAAAAAACACATGTTAATTGCATTCCCAAAGTTAGTGACATCTCTAGTTTGGATGATAAATAGACCCATTCTAGCAAAACGTTGCAGAGATGGCAAGTAGAATTTGGTGACTGGCAATAACACTGGAGGGCGACGCTGACACAAAACCCCACACATATATTAAGTAAAACAGAAACATCGCCACCTGACCCCACCCCCACTCACCTTTCTCCCCTCCACCTCTTTCCCCCTTTTCTTCCTAATATAAGACTAATGTAAAAATATTACTTGGAAAAAAAGAGAGAGAGAGACATTACTCATACTTTTGTAAACCAATAAAATCTTTAATAATAATAAAAAAATAAACCCTGCTCACCTGTCTAGGTTAGTTATTTGTGGCATATCAAGCAGCACCAACTCTCTCCCACCTTATAAAATTGCTCCTGCCTGGTTGTCTGATGGCAATTCTGACTTGCCAGTGGTAAATGGTCAGGTCACTACTTTCAAACTTGCTATATAAACCAACTGAAGTAAGTGCCCTTGGCTGCAATTTTCACACACACACACACACACACACACACACACACACACACAGAGTGAGAGAGAGCACGAATGAGCACCTAGTAGTTCCATTAAAGTAACTCTGGAACAAAGGGGTGATGGATTGTGGATTTAGGCTGCAATCATAATGTATACTTACATGGAATATTGCTTTGGAACCAATGGCTCGTGCATCCACACATTGCATCTGGGATTGAGATGCGATGCCAGTCTATGAATGTGACGACAACAGACACAGTCCAGCAAAAGTTACTCATGCCTATGACCACCACCACTTCGAAAGCAATGGGATAGGCATTAGTTGTGACTAACATAAATCTGCAATCAGTTCAATGGGAGTTTGCTGGATTGAAAAAGTGGGAACAGGAGCGTCCCATTAACATGGAAGTTAAGTAGTAGTGCTATTGCTAAAACAGGGCTTCAAAGCTCATAGCCCCCTGAATGTTGCTGGGCTACAACTCCCCACTATCCAGACCACTTAACATGCTAGGAGCTGTGCATAATGAGCAGCTCCTACATCTGGAGAGTTCCAACATCTGGAGAGTCACACAGGCTCCCCACCCCGGCACTCAAGTACTCTTCAGTGCTTTGTTTTGTGAGTTTCAGCCATCATGCTAGAGGCCAGGAGTGGGTATTAAGCTAAATAGAACTAAGTGGAACTAAGATTTAGTAGAAGAAACCCAGATGGCTCAAGAAAGCAAGCAGAAAATTCCTGAGAGTATATTTGACACCTCTGTATTGGAAATTCATACAAAGCAATGAGAAAGCTAAAATGTTGGGAACAGGCAGCATTTGGAGGATGTAAGGATATAAGAGCACAAAAAAAACTTTCTTTGTTGTGGAAAGTGGTAAATACACACATGTGCAAACGTGTAAATATTGCTATTCAGAAAGTAAGCATATACTATTCCAATGGCACTGGTGAGGCTCTCCAGCTGGTGAAAGCTAAGTGGTGACTTTGACTAGATCAACATAAAGCCAATGTCAAGATAACAAAACAAAACTCATGTTGACCGATGAGACATCTACAGGTTTTTCAAGCTTGGGTCATGGACATGGGTCCACAGTCCACTGAATGATATGACAAAACTCCTATTGATTGAAATGGTTATGGGAATTACTCTAAGGCTGCAGTCCTAAACACACTTAAAAGGTAAAGGTAAAGGGACCCCTGACCATTAGGTCCAGTCGTGGATGACTCTGGGGTTGCGGCGCTCATCTTGCTTTACTGGCTGAGGGAGCCGGCATACAGCTTCCGGGTCATGTAGCCAGCATGACTAAGCCACTTTTGGCGAACCAGAGCAGCGCACAGAAACGCCGTTTACCTTCCTGCAGGAGCAGTACCTATTTATCCACTTGTACTTTGATGTGCTTTCAAACTGCTAGGTTGGCAGGAGATGGGACCGAACAGTGGGAGCTCACCCCGTCGCGGAGATTCGAACCACCGACCTTCTGATCGGCAAGCCCTAGGCTCTGTGGTTTAGACCACAGCGTCCCCCTAAACACACTTACTAGGGATTAAACATGCATAGGGTGGGTTTGATGCAACACAGCACCAAATTCAGCACTGCTTCTCCTAACGAGACTGATAGATATCCTACATTCCTAAGAAAGCCTGGGTAAATTTAGAGGGATTCAACCTGTTCTTGAATGTCTTTTCAGGATGAGTTTTATTCTCTGCTGCAGCTTTTCATGGGCTGAAGCACTCCACTCAATACTGGATCTCCCTGAAATTAAGTGGTTTGCTTTTAGAATTAATTTCTAACTGTGGATGTGAGAACACACCAGAACTAGAAGATCACTAATTACTATGTAACAGCAGGCTAAAACCTCAATGCTAAACAGACCCTTAGGAATCCTGAGAGGTTCTTCAAACGGCACAGGCATGATTGTACTTAGAATCAAGCCATCCTACTTTGCAGAGACAATGATAAGAAATTGTTTCTCTGTGTAAAATTTATCCCAGTCCTGAAATACAGAAGAAGAAGAGAACTTCCAGTAGCTTGCCTGCGAGATACACGTGATGCAGTAGAAACTGCCCAAGCTTCAAGTATATCAAACACATGGTTATTTCCAGGGCTATACGTTTTACTGAGTTACTAACGGTGTGCCGAAAACAACTTATTAACTGACATATTCTATAATGCACTGCATCTGTTTCTTCAGCTAAGCATGCAGCAAATGCATGCATAACTAAGAGGAAGGCGCAACAGTTAGAAAATATAGTAGGGAGGATTCTGGGTCCTTTTCCTTTTGGTGACACTGTAATTAGATTGCAATAACCACTGACGCCGTGTCTCTCACACTCACATTGAGTGCCCTAATCTTCAAAGAAGGCTTACAAGTTTAGAAAGAACAAAAAACAAAGATTAGGCACCATACAACATTGTAAAATTCTGAGCCATATGAAAAAAGAAAATGGAAATAAATGGTTTTCATGCTCAAAAAAGCAGAGTGCGTTAGAACGGACTAACAAGAGGCTCGGGAGAAATGTAAGGAAGTACCGTATCTCATCATGCAATGTGTATGATAGCATTTCATTAGCTTGCTGCAAGATGTGGGTCAAGAGTTTTAAAAAGTATAGACAAATGCTGGGGTGCTGGGTGATTAGTCAGAGTGCAGCATCCATGTTCAGAAGCAGTACACCCCTGGCTACCAGACACTAGAGCCGAACTGTAAGATACAGCCATCTTCAACATATTCGGCTTGTGGCATTTCTGCTAAGCACCTGACAGGGGCTGCACGCTGCTTATCTACTTGCACTTGCACTCTGATCGTAAACAGATTAGGCGCAAAACCTACTGAAATAAATGGCACTTGCTTCCACATTATGAAGTCATCTGTTAGGTCATATGTTCACCCCACCAAGGCGCATATATTATCTCAAATACCCCCCCACCACCTTAATTGTGGACTAACCGTTTCATTTATTGCAACATGACACCACAGTCTTGCACATCTTTACCTGGAAATATATTACTCTGAAACCACTTAAATTCAATCCCAATAATCGGATGCCACGCACAGAAAGGTAGAAGGGCCACCAAATCCCCACTTAAATCAATGTGATTTAGGCTGTCAATCCTAAGCATCTTTTCCAAGGAGTAAGCCCCATTGAACTCCATGGAACTTGCTTCCAAGTAAACAAGTGCACGGTCAGACTGCAAACCGTACAGGTAAACACTTGGGTCAAAGATAGATTTCAGTGGGTCTTAAGTGTAGCTGATTTTCCCTGGCTTGTGTCCATTGGGTTTAGGATTGGGGTGTCATTTTAACCATCACCCACCCATGCCATTTTGTCAGTGGTGCTCAGGGTATATTTATATTGTGGATTTCAGGTATGTGCCCAGGAATAGACTTTCTGAGGTCTGAGCATGTAGCAACTTTTGGAAAATCTCTTTGCAGTGGTTTGAGACAAGTGCAGTCTGTGGTCTCGGTCCAGCTGTCAAATCATTCACCAAATCCCTACAGAGTTCACTGGAGCAGAAGCAAGACAGAGCCCCACTTCCTGATCTCTCAATGAACTTTTATCCTTCATTGGACGTTATCATGTATGATTTGGCTTTAACCTACAAAAGAGCTTTTTTAGGAAAAGCGAGCTCTGTGAGCAGCGGAGGACCTTCTGGTGAGTAATCATTTCTCCCAAACCGATTTTACACGGAGAAATAGGTTGAATAAAGCATTCACTAGCAGGGGAAGATCCACCTTTTAAAATTAAAGCCCATGGCCATCATTTGCTTTTGGTAAGGAAAATATGTCGAAAGCAACTCGGAGGAGTTGTTTACTTGTTGTTTTTAATGTCACCCAGGAGGTCTCCAAGAAGACGCAGGATAGACAGCCCTGGTTAAATCTCAAAAGCGGGAGGGAGAGAGAAAGGAAACCGCAAGCGATCTGTGTAAACAAAAACTGTTTTGACACGGAACTCCTCCACCTTTCGCTCTTGGTCATTTTCTCTGCAGGAGCGCAGTTTTGACTCTCCGGAGCCCACACAGGGGCGGCTTATTGCAGATTCCTGCTTTTAATATATCCGATTTCTCGGGCAACAGGCGCAGGACACCCACCTGGCTGAAAGAGCACCAGCTCACCGCAATCACACCGAGAAGAGAGATGGTAAATTTTCCCACTCCTTGGGAATGTTGTTTTTCACATAAAACGGCCCTTAAAGAGGAGGGAAGCGCCCTTAGCGGGCTGTATACACGTGTCCCCGAACCCACACGCCTGATTTGAACCCGGCGCTGGGTAACGCTAGGTAAGAAGAACTCCCCCGCGCAAGCCAAGCTCGACGCGCGTCCTGTCAGGGCGCCACGACGACGCCTGTGCTGAGGGCGCCTGTGGCGCGCTAGCCGGCGACGGGCAAAGCTGCCCAGGTAAGTTCTCTTTCCTCACCTGGCGTCCGCCAAGCCGCCCCCTCGGGGGGTACCGCGTGCCCGCAGCGACCCGGAGCGCGCTAAGCCCACCCAACGGCGCTTTGCGCGCGACGCTCCGGGCGAAGGGATTGGTGCGGGGACCTGTCATTCTGCGGGCGCGCGCGAGCGCATGGCACGGCGCTGCCCGGCGTGCCCAATCTCCCTCGCGCGCAAACATCAAACCAAACACCTCACGGCACACACCGCACACATTCCCCACCCGAGCAACCCGGGGCGGGTTCGGCTGTGGGCTGCCTGCTGGCGCGCGCGGGCGCCTCGGCTCACCTGCTGGCAGCGCTCGGAAGCTGCGCACCGTGTTGCCCTCGCGGAGGTGGAGCAGCTGCGGCGCGCCGGGCGCCGACTCCTCGGGCCGACCGCCGCTGTACCGGTCGTAGAGCCGGAGCATGTGTTCCGAGACCTTGTCCTCTGGGGAGACGACGAGCGGGGCGGGCTGGTCACCTGCAGCCAACGCCGCCGCCGCCCGGCTTCTTTTCCGCAGCCCGCCCGTGCGCTCCAGCGCCGGCTCCCCGGGGGCCACGAGCAGGCTCCAGCTGAGGCAAAGGCAAAGCAGCAGCAGCGCGCGGGGAGCGCCCGCCATTGCGCTCGCCTTCCCGAGCCGAAGGGACTCTTTTCCACAAGGCTGAGGGGAAGGCGGTGGCGGCGGCGCGCGAAGGGAGTCGCGCTTCGTCCAAGCGGGGCCGCCCAGCGAGTGAAGGGAGAAGCGGGGCAGCAGGTGGGTGCTTGCAAAACACTAGGCGGAAAAGGAGGAGGAGGAGAAGGGGGACGGGTGGGCTCTGGTGGCGAGGCTTCTCTCGCTTTGCGCGCGCTGCCTGAGGTGATTCTGGCGCAAGGGCTGAGGGTGGCCAAGCAGGCAGGCAAGTAGGCAAGTTGCGCGCGCCTCCGCAGCTCCCGCAGGTTCCTTCCCCGCTGCCTCGAGTGGGGCAGGCGAAGCCCTGGGCTGAGTTTTGTCTCCGGCGTGTGTGCAGAAGTCCCAGCGCTGGGTAATCAGCAGCCAATCGCGCCGCCTTTCTCTCCTTTGAGCCAAGCCGGCTGCGCGCGAGAAAGTCGAGGGGTGGCGGAGGAGGAATTACACCACCCAAAAGAAACACACACGCACACACGCCTGTGGCTGCCAAGTCGAGCGCTCCCCTGGATGGTGTCCCTTGCCGCAGGCGGCAGCAGCAGCAGCAGCAGCAGGAGACAAGAATCGGAGGGGTGGGGAGGAAGAGGAGGAGCGGGGGAAGGGGCGGCTTCTCTCTTCTCGACCCACCTGGCTCCTTTCTTACAGGGAGGGGCGGGGGAAGAACCCCCGAGAAAAGAAGGCTGGAAACGTGAAGAGGGATCGTCTTTATAATGGCACGCCTGCAGAGTATTCCACTTGCGCGGCCACTTTCGCCAGCGATCCTTAGGATCACCCGCGCAGAGATGAAGGAGAACCTCCTTGCTTAGCACACACCCGCCACCGCCCCCAGCTCAGGTTTGTGAAAGTGAAGATGCCTCCCCGTTCGAAGCGGGTGGGGATTGTTCCGTCTTCTGCACAGATTTTCGCCCTGCAGGCACATTTACACAAGAAAGGACCCCGAGATACGCCTTTGAGTTGGGATGTATCGTGTTTTGGATCGCTGGTGAAGTAGAGAGGAATTGCATGAGAACAACTTTAGAATCAATAGGAGTTTTTTGTTGTTGTTTTTTATCAGCACGGTGCTTTCATTTGACTTGCAGGGTTCGTTAGAAATTGGGCAGTTGAGAATAATCCCCTGGAATGATTGCTGCCATCAGCACAAATTGCATATTCCCTCAGGCGTCCATGGTTCGAGTGTTCCAAAATTATCAAGGCTACTCTTCGCAACAGTCCTGCGAAGTAGGTTAGGATTTGTCGCAGCCTACTTCGCAGGACTGTTGCGAAAAGCACAACAGTACAAATTTTGAACACTAGAACCATGCATGTCTAAGGGAATGTGCAATTTTTGCAGGTGGGACAGGGAAGTAGGACGAATCGAATGGTTTGCTTTGATGACATATTGTGAACATATAGCGATTTTTATTTTTTTAATTGAGGGTTACTTGGGATCAGGCTCTCTCGGCCGCTGTGCTATTCCAAAAACCAGCACTTCAAGTTTAAAATAAAGAAAACTGGAGTTGCTAAGTAGAACCCCTTACAAAGTGCTGTGTCTCATCCCACTGCTCTCTGTAACCTCGTGGATGGCTGCTGTTTCAGAGCATGTCTACACGGGCACTCCATCAGGTGACTTTTGAAAACAAACATAACCTGTGTCACTCCCCTTGCTCAGTCATGCTTTAATTTCCTCTGCACCAGCAGAAGAAGCTAGAAAAGGTGTATATGATTCACTCAAGACTGCAATCCACGAACCACTTTCTCAAGAATGGCGCTGAAATAAATAATTTGGCAACAGCTGTGTGCAAATGATTTCTGGAAATCCTCTAGCCTATTTGCAGATAAAAGAACTGGGGAGAGTGTTTTGCAAGATTTCTCCAAGGGAAGGAGAAATTCTCCAGTAGTCTTGGGGACGAGGCTTAGCAGTGTCAGTAGCACAGCTTCTTTCTCTCCCAACCCATGAGGTTTTAATTTTGCTGGATTTCTGCTGCTGCAAATGGCAGCAGAAGCAATGGTCACTGGTAGCCTAACTTCACCCTAGCTTGATTACAGAACACCTTGGATAGAAATCACCTCTGATCATGAAACAGAAATAAAGATACTGAAGAATAGTCTGAGAAAATCCTTCAAAGTCCAGTGGTACCTTGGGTTAAGAACTTAATTCGTTCTGGAAGTCCGTTCTTAACCTTAAACTGTTCTTAACCCAAGGTACCACTTTAGCTAATGGGGCCTCCTACTGCCGCTGCACGATTTCTGTTCTCATCCTGAAGCAAAGTTCTTAACCTGAGGTACTATTTCTGGGTTAGTGGAGTCTGTAACCTGAAGCGTCTGTAACCCGAGGTACCACTGTAGCCTACTTTTTCCCCAGAGGAGTAAAATGAAAAAAATATGTATCAGAAATGTTCCGAGAAAAATGCCTTCTGAGAAATTTCAGCTCGCCTCTGGAATTTAGCATGATTACAATGGAGATTGTGGTTTGTGGATTATGGTTTCAGGCTTATAAAGCAGCCTGTATTTCAGCTGGTTTTGATGGGCTTTTAAAGGTGAGGGCAATTAATTTCCTTTGAAATAAATGGAACTAATACTTAAATCCTATGAACACAAATTAATGGAATCAGTGGGATTTACTGTGCTTTTAACTGATGGGAGTGTTGCAGCCGGAGTGTCTTAACTTCAGGGTTGTAAGAATGGAGTGACACGCATTTAGTGATGCAAACTCCCCCCCCCCCACCGCCCCCTTTCTATTTTTTTGAATGCCATTATGTTTAAACACAGTTTGCATTATCGCAGTCTGGTTCTGGGTTTCCCTGAAACAGAATCATTCACAGGCCTCATTTACCACCCCCAGCTTTGCCAGTTCCCTTCCACAGCCAGCCAGAAGAAAAACACGTCCCACTCTCACTGCCCCCATAACAGGCCACTGGAATCAACTCATTGAACATGCAGAAATGTCCTCTTTCGGCTAATGCTCCAGCTAGCATTCCTCAATAGGAAAGGAGTCCCAGTCAGCTGGAACTCTTAATTCACACATCTGGAAGTGAACAAAACACAATCAATTAATGAAACCAGAGATTAAACGGAGAGTGGGGGGAAAGGGGAGGGGAGAGAGCAAACTTTTCCTAGATTTTATTGAAGTGCCTGTTTGACCCCGAATGACTAAGCAAGGGAAAGAAATGTGAAAAAGCTACATTGCAACTTTCTTCCCCCAAATGCCATTTGCTTCAGTGTTTTGAGTCTTGCTTGATTATTATCTGTGGGAGATTTTTATATATTAAGTGGGCACCTTAAACATATTACATGTATCAATAAAGCATTGTTTATTGATAAATACATTGATCCATTAAGCTTCAAAGGATTCTTGGTCTCTGGCTCTTAGCATGTGAGTGTGGCGGCTGAGGAGCAGCTTTCCATTTCAGCCACTCATGAAGACCAGCAAACAAGCAGGTGAGAGCAGAGGAATGCTCCATCTCCTTTCTGGTTTGATATTTGAGATATTTCATCTCCCATCTCCCATTCAAAACCACATTCAAAACTCTTTATAAGGTGCCTCTTAATTTCTCTCCTCTTTTGCTCTTCTTATAATATCTGGCTCACGGGAACAATCCACATGTACGTCATTGTTTTCTGTTTTTGATTATATTTTATTTTATAGGGTATTGCGCCTTTCATTATGTGAACTGCTCTGATAGTTCTTCGTGGAAGGAATAAGCAAATAGAACGTTCAGGGGAAAACACCCTGAGAGCAAGGGAGAATGAAGGCGAAGGACCACTTGGCTGAACTTCTCCTCCGCATGAAGAGCTCACTGCCCGTAAAAAGCTAGTGTGTCAGAGAGAAGGCTAGGCTAGAACTCTTATCAGTGTACTGGAAGAACTTCACCAGTGTTGAAGCAATGATTCTTCAACATCCACTTTGTTGGACTGGTCATGTTGTGCCTGATGATCATCTTCCAAAGCAACTACTCTATTCCAAACTTAAAAATGGAAAGCGTAATGCTGGTGGTCAACAAAAGAGGTTTAAAGACTGTCTCAAGGCAAATCTAAAAAAAATGTAGTATAAACACTGACAACTGGGACACACTGGCCTGCGAGTGCTCCAGTTGGAGAACAGCCTTTACCAAAAGTGTCATGAGCTTTGAAGACACTCGAACTCAGGACGCAAGGGAGAAACGTGCTAAGAGGAAGGCACGCTTGGCAAATCCACACCATGATCAACTCCCGCCCAGGAACCAATGTTCCCACTGTGGAAGGACGTGTGGATCCAGAATTGGCCTTCACAGTCACTTACGGACTCATTGTTAAAACTGTGTTTATAGAAGACAATCTTACTCAGCTACGAGTGATCGCCAAAGAAGAAAGAAGAAGAACTCTTATCCCTCAGATGCTAGCTTTCCACAGGAATGGAGCGCTGGAGCAGCAAATACTTGATTCTCCACCTGCATAGCACAAGGAGGACCTGCCGTACATACTTTTATTTGCTTCCATGGGTCCTTCTGGGAAGCTGGGATGGTAATTTAGCTTCATTGTAGTTCTGTGAAGCAGCTGAATTCTCTGTTGGACTGCCACTTCCCCTCCATCCTAGGCTCACCTCCCTTTGGTTAATGGCGTACCTTAAGAGAATTATGAGCCCCTTCACAAAACACTTCCACAGGTGTCTTGTACGAAACAGGGGCAGATCTACCAACTTGGAATTGATTTGCCTTTTAAAATGCTGATGAGGCTTATGATAGGAGCGAGACTTTGTTAAATTGCACTTTGCTTCCTTAGTATTCTCATAACTTATCTGTAGCCATCTCTGATTTACCATTTCGTGGTTTGATTGCAATAACAATGCCACTAATAAGCTGCTGGTCTTTCACTGTGTCTGCAGAACTGAAGCATTTTTAAGAATTTCAACATGAGGTCCAAATACAACTTCAGCGCAGATCGTTTCTCTGTACGCAAGACGTTTCCTAATCTGTAATTATCATCAGCTAATGATTTAAACCGCCTATGCATTTACTGTCTAATGAAGAAAGCTGCTTCATTGCGCCACGGAATAAGTTTAGTAATGCCAGCATTATTTTCCAGTGGATCCTTTAGGTGTCAGCTCCTGCAAGGAAAGCAAAGCTTTGCTCAACTGCTACATTTTCGCTAGACTGAAGCACGCAGAGGTGTTTTTGTGTGTAGACACTTTGCATGAGCGTTGGTGGAGGGAACAGAGTCTTGGCTCTGGGAGGTGTTGAAATCACAGAAGTTCAGTCATTTGCATTCTTGAAAAATTAACTCCAAAACTGCCAAGTGTATCTTTATTTCGGCTCTCTGCTTAACATTTGTGTTTTCTTTACATTGCGGGGAAAGTTTTGGTAACAGCTGGCCTTTTGTGTTTTAAAATACGGGGAGACACCATTGCTTCTTTGTTCCACAGTCTTAGGTGTGCAAGTAGATGCCTCTAGCACCTAGCAGAAACCTAGTTAGTTGAGCAATCTCCATCTTGGAACTGAGTGTAAAAGCTTTGCTGACCTGAGGGCTACAATATCCAACCTAATATTTGTTAACACCACCCACCATTGCCTTGTGCCTGATTAAAGTTTCTGAAAACTTTACAACAGTATTGTGACACAATTTGGTTGGTCTTAATACAAGTATTGCACAAGTATTGAATTTTGGAGTTTTTTTTCCCCTATGGACCAACATGGCTACCTTTTATTTTTTAGTTTGTCTTGACTAGGATTGCATAGCATGGATATTATATATCTGCAGTGCTTTTTTCCTAAAAAAAAAAATTTGGGGTACTATAATTCTGACTCAAGAAAATCACCATT